TTCTGCTGTGGCTGACGAAAAGGATGTCGACGGCTTCGGAACGAACAACATTGGCGAGTTGGCCAAGCGTGGCGGCGCTCCAATCTTCACGCCGTGTACTCCCAAGGGCGTCATGTACATGCTCAAGGAGGCAGGCGTCCAGATCGCTGGCAAGACCGCCGTTGTTCTCGGCCGAAGCAACATCGTTGGCGGACCCATCAGCTATCTCTTGCGCCATGCTGATGCCACCGTCATTGTCTGTCACTCCAAGACCCAGGGGCTGGAAAACTACCTCCAGCACGCTGACATCGTCATTGCTGCCATTGGACAAGCTCAGTTTGTCAAGGCCGAATGGTTGAAACAAGGCGCCGTTGTCATTGATGTCGGCACCAATTTCATCCCCGACGCCTCCAAGAAGAGTGGCCAGCGCATGGTCGGTGATGTTGACTTCGAGGGTGCCTCCAAAGTTGCCTCCGTCATTACCCCCGTCCCCGGCGGCGTGGGTCCCATGACTGTTGCCATGCTTCTGCAAAATGTTGTCGAGGCCACCAATCTCTTCTTTGAGAAGGAGAAGATCAGAAAGACGATTCCTCTCCCGCTCAAGTTGAAGACCCCTGTGCCGTCCGACATCGCCATTTCTCGAGACCAGAAACCCAAGCAAATCACTCGAATTGCCGCCGAGGTTGGCATTGCTCCGCATGAGCTGGAACCCTACGGTGCCTACAAGGCCAAAGTTGACCTTGATCTGCTGAAGCGCCTCGACCATCGCAGGAACGGTCGTTACGTCGTGGTTACTGGTATCACGCCCACACCTTTGGGAGAGGGCAAATCCACCACCACTATGGGCCTTGCCCAGGCTCTCGGAGCTCACGTGGGACGGCTAACGTTTGCCAACGTCCGGCAACCTAGCCAGGGCCCGACCTTTGGCATCAAGGGTGGCGCTGCAGGCGGTGGCTACAGCCAAGTGATTCCCATGGATGAGTTCAACTTGCACTTGACTGGTGATATTCACGCCATTACTGCTGCCAATAACCTTTTGGCTGCGGCTATTGAAACTCGCATGTTCCACGAAAACACCCAGAAGGATGGACCTCTCTATAGACGACTTGTGCCCGCCAAGAATGGAGTGCGAAAGTTTGCTCCCGTCATGTTCCGCCGCTTGAAAAAGCTGGGCATTGACAAGACCGACCCTGACGCCCTCAGCGAGGAGGAAATCCGACGATTTGCCCGCCTTGATATTGACCCCGACACCATTACCTGGAGACGTGTGCTAGACGTCAACGACCGCCATCTGCGCGGTGTTACTGTTGGCACTGCCCCAACCGAGAAGGGCCAGTCCCGTGAAACTGGCTTCGACATCTCTGTTGCCAGTGAGTGCATGGCTATTCTCGCCTTGAGCACGAGCTTGGCAGACATGCGCGAGCGCCTGGGACGCATGGTTGTTGCTACTTCCCGCAACGGTGACCCAGTCACCTGTGATGATATTGGTGCTGGCGGTGCTTTGACGGCCTTGATGAAGGATGCCATTAAGCCCAATCTTATGCAGACCCTGGAGGGAACACCTGTGTTTGTCCACGCTGGCCCGTTCGCCAATATCAGCATTGGACAGAGCTCCATCATCGCTGACAAGCTCGCATTGAAGCTGGCCGGTACCGAGCCGGACGAGAACCACAGCCAATCAGCTGGATTCGTCGTCACTGAAGCTGGCTTTGACTTCACCATGGGCGGTGAGCGCTTCTTCAACATCAAGTGCCGCACTTCTGGCCTTGTCCCCGACGTAGTCGTCGTCGTAGCTACCGTTCGCGCCCTCAAGGTCCACGGCGGCGGCCCCCCCATTGCTCCCGGCGCTCCCCTAGACGCCGTCTACACGCAGGAAAATGTAGAAATTCTGCGCGCTGGCTGTGTCAACCTCAAGAAGCATATCAGCAACGCCAGGTCGTTTGGTATTCCCGTAGTTGTCGCCATCAACAAGTTTGCCACCGACACGGATGCTGAGATTGCAGTTGTTCGCGAGGAGGCCTTGTCTGCTGGTGCTGAAGATGCTATCCTGGCCGACCACTGGGCTCACGGTGGCCAAGGAGCCGTTGACCTGGCCAAGGGCGTTATCGCTGCTTGCGAGAAACCCAAGAACCTCACTCTTACCTACGGACTGGACGGCACTATCCAGGAACGTATCGAGGCTATTGGGCAGAAAATGTACGGTGCTGCCAAGGTTGAGTTCAGCGAGCTGGCCCAGAAGAAGGTCGACACGTACACTAGACAAGGATATGGCAATTTGCCCATTTGCATCGCGAAGACGCAATATTCTCTCTCTCACGACCCTGATCTGAAGGGTGCTCCTACCGGCTTTACCGTTCCGATTCGGGACGTCCGTATGGCCGCTGGTGCAGGGTATCTGTAAGTTGATGGATGAGGACTTTGCCACGGGGACCCAAGCTAACCAACGTGAACAATACAGGTACGCATTGGCCGCCGACATCCAGACAATTCCTGGTCTTCCCACAGCTCCAGGATATCTGAATGTGGATGTCGACACGGAAACCGGCGAGATTGATGGGCTGTTTTAGAAGGAGCGAACATGGTCTAATGAAAGGAGTGGCTTCATTAGAAAGTGCATGGGGTTTTCTTAGGTACATTATGATAAACACATTGTCTTCAACTCAACGTGGTAGGGCAAGCAGAATTACGGACAGCAAAGTAGCGTCTTTTACATTGATCTTCAACACATGGCGCGGACGGGGAATGGGTAGGTGCGTTGCATCTGTGTAAATGGCTTTAGATCATCTTACAATAAAGCACTTTGATAATGGACATTACGTGATTGTCCGCTTGGGTTATTTTCCCGACGACGGAACGTGTGGTAGCTGACGGTGGCGAAGTATCTAGGTCCTTGCGGAGAATGGGGATCATCGCCAGAGGAAGGAACATGTGATGATTGCAGTTTCTCCTTCTCCTTGATGAGGTATTTTCCTACCCCGCAGTCTCGTGAGTAGAGACATGGCAATACACACAGCACGCACCATGCACGTTTTCCCGGGATATTTTACTGGGTGAGACGAGGGAGATTGGTGCCTCTGTTGCAAAACGCTGTGGTCACGGGGTTTTCAGACCTCGGTGTCAGTTATTGTTCAGAGGTGGAGTCGGTGCGTGGAGCTGCTGAACCGATTTTACTTCAAGAAAATGGGCGCTGGGGAAGTGGCTTGCCCGTGCGAGAAGACTACACAATGGCAGCAGAACGGCGCTTTGTGATGCAAGTCGGCATGTGCATTTGATGTAAAGGCTTGTTGTAGCATCAAAATGGAGCTGCAAAGGCGGTGAAATGCCAAATGCGAAGAAGGTGCGACTGCTAACCCAAGTTGACATCTCTATGTCTCAACCAAGGCAGGAGCAAGGCCCCCCCCAAAACCATACGGGCGTGCATGTGCCAATTTGAACGACAGTCTAATGTTCATTCTCCAGTCCCCTTTTGTCAATGTGGCCACACTGACTCTTGTTGACGGACAGCGCACACGCCTCCATCTCGGATGAGCTGGTGTCCGACGCCAAAAGTAGCCGCCCACAGCGTCTGGTCCAATGCCGAGATACCAGTGACTCGGGCACGCTGGACGAGTCGGGCCACTGGCGCCGGGATCGAAAACACCCGAGGGCTGTTGTGGACGCTGCCATTTTAACATGGCGCGCTTCCCCGCGGTCCAATGCCAATTCGAGGCCTGCCATTTGTCGGCAGGCTCAACGGATCTTCATTGCTTGTCCATTTCGCCCGTCTTCTGTTGTTTGGACATGTTTGGATGGCGATGGGTCTTGTGCTGTCGACCCTCGACCATTTCGCGGCACAGCTTACGAGTTGAAACACGGCACGGGCGAACCAAAAATAACAAGCAACAACAACAGCCGATTCGATATTGCCCCAACTCAACTAGACGCCTGCCACAATGCGCCGCTCATCTGGATTTTTACCACAGGCCAAACACCCGCAGCCCGCGAAGCCACCACGTACCATCGGCGACTTGTGGCCGCGGCGGGCTCGGTCCACGTCCTCCCTCCCTAGGGAGTACTCCCGACGTGAACCAAGCTGTTTACAGGTATTTGCGCCCTGACGATTGGCCCAAGTGGGAACGGATGTTTCCAAACCGAGACCGGTTTCGAGGTCTGGGAAACGGCTCCCCGTCGGCTTGCAGTGGCCCGGGGACACGAGTAGCTAGTTGCGCTGTTTGAAATATATGCTGGCGCGCCGTTGGCTGTTCTCCCGGCTTGTTGTTGAAATTGGATTTTTCAACTATTTTGACACAAGCTTCCTCGGCCTCTATTTCTGTATTTTATCAATTCCGCGGTTCTTCTTCATTCTCTTCTAACAGCAGAACGTCTGAGAGATCAACGCCCCTTGACTTGTCGCACACCAGTCGTTTCGCCCACTGTTTCATGTACTCAACTTGCCAACTTCATCTCTTTAATCTCTCTCCGACTTGCATTGTAATATATGCTAAACTTTGCAAATTAAAAACCTTAATCGACTCTAGGGAATCCTTATATTGGAGCTCAAGAAACGAGTATATCTATCTGCACTGAGAAGCGTGGTTGAGTTGCGAATTGGGGGAACTGCCCGTGCGCCGTGACCATGCAGAACATCCTGCTAGTCATCGGGGCCGCTCTTTTCTATGGCGTTGTGCGTGTTATTTTGGGCTTCAGGCGGAATATTGCCATAGCCAAAGCAAGCAATCTGCCCTATCTTGTTGTTCGTAAGTCAAAATCTTTGCCGCTGCTGCTCCTTGTTACCGTTAGTCCTTCTGTCACTCAATTCTTTTATGGGATCCTGTTTCTGACTTGAACGGCGTCGCTCGTCTGATATGTAGCATGTGAAATGCTAGCTAGGCACTGGCTGGTACTAGCTCCCATCTATGCAAAGTTGATACGGCTGTTGCCCAAATCTTGGTGGGATGATTGGCTAGAGTAAGTTTTCTGTTCGCTTGATGGATATGCTTAAACAATTGAATCTTCATTTCTGACATGGAACCACCAGCCTCATGATCCCCGATGCTGCCTACAGGTTAGACAGAAAGCGCTATACACGCCATGGCGACACGTTTGCCCTGGTGTCTCCTGGTGCCATCATGATACAGACATCCAATCCTGAGGTCATTCGGCAAATCATTGCTCAGCGAGAAAACTTCCCCAAGCCGTGTCAGATTTATCGCATGTTGAGATTGTTTGGCGAAAATGTTGTCACGACTGAGGGGTGTGTGTGGAAAGCTCATCGCAAGGCTACAGCACCAAGCTTCAATGAGAAGAATTCTGCTCTCGTCTTTCGCGAAATCATCGAGCAGACGAATGGCATGATTAGCACCTGGGTGGACAGCTTCGGCAATAGGAGCGAGCCCCTGACAACCATCTCGGCTGATATTACGCGACTCACCATCAACGTTATTAGCTATGTTGGATTCGGACTACGACTTCTCTGGCCGGGCCAAGTCTTGCCACCTGGGTCAGACACTGCCGCTGCAAAGTATGCCTCGCTGGACCCGCCACCTGGTTACTCATTGTCGTTCGTAGATACGCTGGTTCGGCTACTGAACAACATTTTGATTGTCCTATTGTTTCCCCACTGGATGTTGAAACTGTCGCCGTGGAAGGGTCCTCGCCTGGCTGCGGCAGCTTACCAGGACTACGTCCGGTACTCAAACGAGATGATGAATGAAAAAATGGAGGCTCTACAAAATGGGACACAAGCCGAAGAGGGTATGGATTTCATGGGTGCGCTGATCAAGGGGTCATACGGGTTGGATGCAAAGGGTACTGCAGACAAGCTTGGAAAGCCACTGGTCCTCAACCGAGAGGAGATTCTTGGGAACGCATTCATCATGTTTGTTGCAGGCCACGAGACATCGGCAAACACAATCCACTTCACACTTATTAATCTTGCGACGAACCCGGCGGCTCAGCGGTTGATCCATAAAGACATTGACGAATTGGTCGGCAACTCGGACCCCTCGACTTGGGATTATGAGCGATTGATTGGGCCCATGACGGGCAGCGCAATCGCGGCGTGTATGAATGAGACCCTTCGCCTCATTCCGCCCGGACCTGCAATTCCCAAGCAGGTATCCCGGGATCGTGACCAGGTGGTCAACGTTGGGGGAAAGGAATGTTTACTGCCAAAAGGGAGCATGATTATGCTTCAGGTTTTGAAAGCTCACGAAGACCCTCGCTATTGGCCATACGAAAAAAGCCAATTGACTCCAGGACAAGACGACCTACGAGACTACAAGCCGGAGCGGTGGTTTGAGACGGTCCCTGGGCCCCGCTGTGAAAGGAAGGAGGCAGACGAGGAACGGGCGCGCTCAGAGTCGTCAGACGGCGGCGACGATGAAAGCGACGAGGGCATCGACCGCAAGCCCGACAGAAACGCGCGCTTCTTCCGCCCTCGTCGCGGCGCATACCTCCCCTTCAGTGATGGAGCCCGATCCTGCATCGGACGACGTGTCGCGCAAGTCGAAATCATGACATTTCTGGCCGTCCTGTTTCAGCGGTACAGCGTGGAACTAGCGCCAGACCAATGGGCCAGCGAAGGTGAGGTACAAAGAATGGGCAGGGAAGCCAGAGCCGATGTATACCGGACGGCGCAGGCATTCAGCAGAAAGACTCTGGCGGAGGCCGAGTCTGTGATTACGCTGGGCTTGCAGGGCAAAACGGTACCGATGCGGCTCGTCAAGCGGGGGGAAGAAAAGTTTATCAACTGGATGTCGGATGCATAGTACAAAGGTGAAGGCGAAATATGTTTATAGTGGCGAAATTGGGAGGGGAAATGGAATCGGTGCATTTGTTTTTTAACATGGCATGGGGGCCGAACTTGGGCTAATTGGGTAACTTGGGCAATAACACATAATCAGAGGAACGGGCGTGAGGTAGCATGAGCAGAGAGGGCAGCGGCCATTGGATAGTGAGCCATGTAAATTGGCCAAAAGGAATACAATACAATTCCGAAAGTATGTCGCCGGTCGAAAGACGCTGAATTTCACAAACGTTGTAAATGGAACGAGGCGTGAGAAGTACAGTCACAGGGGTGATGGTGACCTTCCAGTGGTGGTTGTGTTTGTGCCATTACCAGCGTCGAGACAAATTGGTGATGGAAGTAAGCGATCTCGGTGGACGTCGAATGGAGCTGCGAACTGGAAACCTAGTTGGGAGTTAGAACTGGACACTCATTCAGAGTTCCATGCACGGGGAGATATGTTGAACCCTCGTAAGTTGATGATTGCTTTGGCTGTGTTACATCCAATTATGCCTTATTAGAGGGTGGGACACTCGGATTTACGACAACTATAACTTCCGTTTATTTAGATGTATTAATTTATAATTTTATTATTTTGTCTAACTTGATCTATCTAATATTCGTGCCAGCACTATGCGGAAGGGCTAATTTTACAACATTAATTAAACACCGGTTCGTTCCTGGTCATACTTGAGCCAGGAACAGGGACATGCCGAAGGAGACACGGTGCAAACACGCATCGCAATGCGCGAGGTTATCTATGTATATGGTGCTACAAAAGAAGGGGGGGGGGGGGAATATTGTTAATTAATGTCTCGCGCCCTAGCTGGCGGTTTGATTAACTTCTCAGCAGACTTTACATTGTACACAAGTGTCAATCAGAATGGGGCGGCCTACGATGTGGTGTTCGTCTACCCTACGGCACCGGCTTGCGAGAGCCCCGTCTCTCAAATCCCGTCTGTGAGACCCTGAGTGCCTTGGTATAGAGGACTTGTTTTGTTCCTGCGCGAGGACGTGCACTAACTGCTGATATGCGGGTTACAGACAAGATGACGGGCGTGGTCCTGCTCTGCTCGGACGGGAGGGAAGCCAGCCTAAGATAGGATCGTTTGCCTCGTTCAAGAACACTGCGGAAAGCGGCGGGTACCAGGCATCTGTCACCTAGCTTACATAAATTGTCGCGCTTTCCGGATGCATCTCGTTTCTATTATGAAGTATCCTACTACGGATTACAGGGTCTGGAATAAACGCTGTGGCAGGGTTATTTATTCTCCTCCGCTTTTCCTAGGTGATGGAATTTGGCCTGCTGGCTGGCTGGTAGGAGTGTCTTGGTAAAGTCAATGGAGCTGGAGCTCACAGAGGATGGTAGCTTTGTTACGAAGATGGAAAACGCTGGCAACATGATAGCTACGTATGCTTGAGATGGATTTGAGATGATGATGTATCGCAATTGCAAAGGCTCTTGGCCGATTTTGGGGGCACTATTTAAAGACTCTTCTACTCTTTGGGTATGGTATCCGGCTTCTTTCCACCGAGTCAAGGTTCGTTATATGGACACATCTCGCGTGTCTTCCAATACATGATTCCCAAATTAATTCTATGGTAGTGGCATCTGTTTCGGTCCGGCCACAGGCAAAAGCCACGCTCGTGATATTTTTGACCTGATGGGCAAAGTTCGACAGACGCATCGGACTGGACCGAGGGATATATCTTTCTCTAGTCGTGAACCATGGTATGATGACTCTCAAATATGAGCCGAGATTTTAAGCCATCTTGAGCTAAAAAGGAAAGCTCAGCATGAGGAGTAAGTAAAGGGCGTTGATGCCAAATGCTACCCATGGTATAGGAAGTGTAAAGATTGCGAAGCAACTCACATCTGAAAGTGTAGCAATCGGAAAGCAAAGCTATAGCGGTGCCGTTGTTGCGGCACTTCTTGTGCAGTGTTTTAAACGAATAACATCTTCTTGCCATCCGGAGCTTATATTCGCTTTTCCCGAGGGGCCCCATTCGCAGCGGTTACATGATGATAACCAGCATTTGCGCCAATTTGACTGGTCTATCCGTCATACGTGTTTCCGCCTACTCGGGGACGATTGTACCCGAGGGGGATAATTCTAAGGCGCACCAAACGGAATCTGAGAACACGAATCTTGCCATCTACTGAGCCAGGGCACAGCAATCGCCCTATGTGTTGAAGGCGATTGCTTGGACGAGGTCCTTCTCGTGTTGGAGGTTCAAATCGAAGACTTGCACGTGCTTCTCTGAGATGAGGGATGGGGCCCCGAGGCGATTGTTGCGGCAGCCATTGTTAAGGGAAAGGGACCCCAAATAACATGAAAAAGAAGATCAAAGGGACGAAAAGAACAAGAGGGCACGTGTGACGAGAAGTTTTGGCCCACATGTCGATGACTACTGTGAGAGAGGCCAGAGCTTCAAGGCGATTGTTTCGAGTTTGTCGGGATGCGCTTCAACCTCGATTACACCGTTAGACTTTGGCGTTCCAGTAACATATAGACTAAGCAGCGTCGTCATTTCATTCCCATGGTCCACCAACTGGCGGATAGGTGTCCCGATCAATAGTCCGACCGCGTCCACGCTTGCACGAGAAAACTTGAAAGTGCCGCGGTCTTCGAGTTCTACATCAGGACCCTGTTCAACCTGAAGAACCCATCCTGTAGACGTCTCCGCAAGAGTACACCCAAATAGTCTGATTGCTAGATTCGGGATGGACTCTGGCAAAACAATGATTCTTAGGCGACACTTTGTAACATCTGGATCATGAAGTATCGCGACTTCTGCATGGCCATTTTCTTGCAGAATGCGGTCACACATTCTTGGATGGAATATGTGACGAAGGTGCTCCGTACGTGGGCTCCTGAGGTCGCGACGTTCTGACACTGGTGTTTCCATCTTCTCCGGGGAGGCGATGTGGTTGGGTGCCTCTTGCTGTGCCTCGCGGCTCTTTCGCTTTTGACTTCGTTTAGGAGCGTGTTCAAAATCAAGTAGCCTCTCAAGGCCTGCCCTTTTGAGCAGATCTGATGCCTGCGTCAGTTTAACTACGTACTTTACCTAGGTACACAGCTACTCGGTGTGTTGACAGCGACCCACCTTGGCGTTGCTTGGGAGCAAAAAGCTGTCGCATGCGGTCTTTGGTAGCGGCACTGGGTGGTGTCGCTCGAATGATCTTAAAAAGTAGTTTCTCCTCCCTCAGGGAAAGCTGATTCAATAAATTACACGTATTCCTGCTAAAGAGCAAGGACGCCCAGGCAACTACAGACTGCTCCAGCAGCCGCCTCTCGGGCGACTCTTTAGATTCGCATACCTTGGTTAAAGCATCGTCAAACCCGGGAGGGACTCGTGTGCGGGTACTATCGCTCCAGAGCTGAACCCGCATGTCGCGCAAGACACAGAACAGATTGGACATTCTGGTAGTATTACGGTTTACCTAGCGAAAAGTGGACCAGAAATGCGTCAATACTGGGACCACTGACAGAGCAGTCCAGAGCAATTTCAGAACAGTTGAACCTGTCTGGTGTTTAATGTTCGTTAACATTGACATCTGGAACCATTTACACCAGACTCATCTAGGCCCCACCCCGGCACCTGGTGGCAGCTGGCAAGGACAACAGCCGCGCGCCTTCCTCCCACCTGCTGCACCTGCCCTGCCGAGTCCCCAGCTCCTGCCGCTGACGTTCTTGACAACCCTTGGCTCCACCTCACCCGGCCAAAACAAAACATATGTAAACAACACAGCTCAGCTGTCACCCACAACAACCAGCCATCCACCCGCCCCTCTTGCATCTCTTGAGAAACACCATAGTCAAAATCCCATCTTTGCTACTTTTCATATTACCTGGTTCCCCGCTACGGCTCACACATCGTCAAAGCATCAAATCCTTGTTGCTCAAGACAACCAACCTTGTGGCCCTCTCGGTTTTTACTCCATTACAAGGTTGCTTTGCGCGCTTGCATCAATTACACCCAACTTTTGCGCAACAACCGAAATCCAGTCCACCATGTCTTCATCACAAACCAACGCCTGGCTGCGTGCGCAGCGCAAGCTCGACCTCGTCCAGGTCGCCGACAGTGTTGGCCTAAAAAAGTATGTTGTTTTCCTTTCTTGTACCTCGTCTATTTTTTCTTGCGGGCAGAGACTAGTGGTGTTGGGCTGTGGGCGCGTCGGGTTCGCGACAGCTGGAGCTCCCGCGCGCCAAAACAGCTTGATGCGACCATGGGACATTGGACTATGCAGCATCGCAGCATCGAGAAAGAGACAAAACTGCCCTTCCTCAAGCTGCGCGACATACGCCAGGTCGGAACGCGCCAGTTTTTGCACCTCCTCGCCGTCGTTGCACGTGGCGAATTGAGCAGTAAACAAAACAAACCGAAAACCATGGTGTGCTAACCAGTCTGCGCATTCTCTAGCTACGAGGGTCTCAAGAAGAGCGAGCTCGAGGTCGCGCTCGACGAGTTCATCGCCGAAAACAGCAGCCGCCTGGCCAACCGCTCCGACTTGGCTCCCTATTTCACCAGCCGTTCCAAGGCTCTTGGTTCCCCCGTGAAGAAGGAGAAGGACTCTTCTAAGGATGAGAGCGACAAACCTCTCAAGGTTACCAAGCGCCGTGTCACCAAGGCCCTCGAGGAACTGACTTCTGAGTAAGTATCCGAACGTCGTTTGGTCGCTTTCAACGGGTCATCCCGCCGAGGGACGCGACAAACTTGACTCTGGTCTCGCAACGAGAACCTTCACCATGGCTAACCCATATGCTTGCACCAACAGAAGCGACGAGCGTGGATCCTCCACTGCCATTACTCGTACTCCTGCCCGCAGCCTTTCTCAAGTTGCTGCTCGCATTCCCCTGCCAGCTACTCCTGCCGACGTGGCCAACGCTTTTGACCGCTCAACCATCGCCATGCGCAAGCGCGTCAGCTCCATTTACCAAGAGACTGGCATCACGGAAGCCTCTAATGCTACCCGGGAGACTCTTAGTACCGTCACCAGCATTCTTTTCGTCGTCGCTGCTTTCGAACTGTACTTCATCCGACCCGAGATACTGGCTAACCGCTATGCCTTCACCATCCCCGCCATCCGCGCCATTGGCACTTCCGACTACCCCATCTACCTGCCCGACATGTTCCTCATCTTGACCTCGAGCTTCTGGTCTCCGGCCCTTACCTGGGCTCTGACCAGCGTTGTCCTCCCCAGCTTATTCGGTTACTTCTTCAACCTGACCGCCACCAGCCACCCTGGTCCGCGAACCCGCTCTAGGGCAGCGCTCAACGACACAGTGGTCGACCCTCTTACGTTCAGCATCGTCAAGGCACTGGTTTCGTACGTCGTCTATGGCCAGGGCGTCACCTTTGGTGGCTTCCTGTCTGAGACGTCCATCGAGCGTCTCAACGGCGCCGTCTATGGTGGCTACAAAGGTATCCTTGTTGGCACAGCCGTTACGGGCATCGTGAGCATGTACGAGGCTGTGTTGAGAAAATAAAGGAGAACCACGACATATTTTCTCAGCCCCTGGCTTGATACACGTTGGTCAATACATGTCGCAAACAACACGTGCAATCAACTTTTCAACGCCTTCATGCCGCGATATCACTGGCAGCCGGTTCTCCTTATTTTATGCTTATGACACGACATGTCCTATCCTCTTAGTGCGATGTTTGCTTTTTCTCTTCTCTGGGGATTCTCATGTATCCCTTTCGAAGTGGCGTTCAGGGCGTTGATGGCGTCGCGGCGTGGCTTCGATACCTCTTTGCTTCGCTTTTATTTGACGGCCAGCGGTTTCACCTGATCATCTGCTGCTAAAGCTACTATTTAATACCCACCTTTTTCTCGATTTTCCCGATGTCTCTACTCGACGTATTCAGGCTGCCTCGTACGAGGTGATGGCCCATGTTGGGCTTGTTTATGTTATTTGGGTTGCCACGAACTGCATACGGAGGGACGGCTGACGCTCGGGGGTGAGCTTGTCAAGCCGAGGGAGGCTCTTTGGGTTACTATTGTTTGGGGGCGGCATTCATCACTTTTTTGTATATTGGGGAACTACTCGCCTTTCTTTTCCACATGCCCCTACTGCGGCCACAGCCGGCCCCGAACAATCATCGATTGCGTTGCTAGGCGATGCGATGGGTGGAACCCCTTGATGGTGGCTATCGTTGGTCTTTGTGATTTACTTGTCGTGCGCCTATACTTGCCTTTTGCAGTGCCAAAAGTAAGTGAGGTGCTTTTGCGTGTCTTTCCCTTTTCATTTTATCATGGTGCGGAATTTTTGCTTGGGTTGGGACCGGGGATACATGGGCGGCGAGGGCCACAGTTGGCTCGGTGTGGGATGGTAGAGGATACGAGCCGATGATTGGAATATATGTTTTTCTTCGTTCTGAACATTTGAACCCTTTGACAGGTGGTGCATGTGTCTTTTGTCGTAGGGACCAGTCTGTTCGAACCCAATACAGCCCGTGGGTTTGGAAGGCTTGATTGGCGGCTGCGCGTTGGTCTGCACCACATTCGGCTTTGCACAAGGAACTGCGCATTTTAGATGTCAACTGGTACGTCGACGTGCACTCCCCTGACTGACAATGGGGCCGCTTCCGTTGAACGCCTACCCAATCACCGCATCGTCGCTGACAGGCACATGTGCAGATCCGACTAATTCTACTTCCCAGACGAGTACATGATAAGACTATCGAGAAAAATACAAAATCCCGGCTTGCCAAAGCACCTTTTCCCGGCTGACGCAACTCTATTTACTTTGCGACTCAAAAAGCACCCAGGTTCCGAAAAACGCCCCTCCAGTCCCCATTCTACGTGCCCGACGGCGCCGATGCCCAGGCTTCCCATAACGAAAGAAAATGTCCGGTCCACCCGTCTTGACCTGACTGACGGTGGGTATGCTTACGCCTTGCTGTCTATGTAACGAGTGATATAAACAAAGAAAAGAAAAGACAAAAAAGAAGAAAAACTGCAGCGACAGACTACTCAGGACCCTCCGACTTGATGGGGTGCAGAAGCATGCTCCGCAGACACATGCGGCCGGTGCTGTCACTCCAGCTCTCCTCCTCGTATCCGCCGCGAAGGGTGCCGGCGCCGCGGCGGCCCCCGAATGGTCCACGGCCGTCCATCTGGGCGTACCCGAGCCATCGTTTCCACAAGAGGCTGGGGAACTCGCTGTTGTAGTAGAAGCTGGTTCCCTTGTGGTTGTGTTCGTTGAAGAAGTAAAAGGGGCTATTTAACCCGGATGTCGAGCGGTCTCTGCCGCCGTTGAAGACGGCGTCGACGGCGGAACCCGCGGGCGCCCAGGCCCGGTCCAAAAAGACGGGATGCGGAGCGTACACGGCCTTGAGCCCGTGGTGGAGGGCCACCGATGCGGGAAACATTTCGGCAAACATGGTGCGGTGATGGCGCCAGACCTCCTCGTGCATCGACATGAGTAGCCTCCTGCTCAGTCGGCCTGCCGTGACAATGGACGATCGCCGCGGAGGATTGTCGTACGACGGGTTCTTGTAGCCGACAATGTCGTTGGAGAATACCCACCCAGAGTAGGCAATGTCGAAAATGGGATTGAACGTGATGAGGTCGGCGCCTTCGCCAACTCCGCACTGCGTAAGCTTGTGGCCGGCGCCGCAGCTGTCTGGGAGAGCCCTCTCGCCGCGCTCTTCGAAGAAAAGAGATTTTCTGTCTTCGTGATCAACGGGCCCGAAGACGGCTTGTCTGCCCGACTGTACGAGGTCGATTTCAACCGTTTTGGTAAAGTTTTCCCATGTCCCATGGTACGACGGAATGTAGTAGCGTTCGTTTCGTTCCCACAGCAGTGGCCGAGGTTGGTCGTCCGCCCATCGTCCAATTCTGTCAAGCAGCTCAAAGTAGTTGCCAAGATAGCGCAGGTCCATTTCCCAGTTCCAAAAGTATTCGTACTCTGGGTGTTGAGAGGCAAACACTTGCAGCGGGAAGTGTGCGCTGCGATAGACACCGTGAATCGGCGCGCTGCTGGGGTTGTTGTAGGTGTCCTGAAAGTCTCCGGGGTAGAAAAGCTCCATCTGGGCTTCGCTCCAAAGAGTCGCCAAGCTTTGAAACTCGGCAGGGATGTGGCTATCGAGAATTCGTTGAACAACTCCGTCATCAGCCCAGATAGGTTCATCATTGTCGAGGACGTGAAGCAGGATATGGACTGTGTACTCGCCACCGGACTTGAGTGACAGTTCCGTGATGAGAGCTCGGAAGTTGACTACGGCGAGATCTGTCCACTGGAAGTCGGTATAGCAGCGCACAACAACCGCTTGGCGAGGTTTCTTGCCCTTTCGATCGCCTGGAGACTTGGGAAGCTCCCCGGACTGTGAAACGGGCGCCAGTAGGCGATGCTTGTTTGCGTCAGAGCATTGGTCTTGAGCCTCGCCCCAATCAACGTGGGTGTAGTTAATCTTGCCGCTCGTTGCCCAGATCAACTCGTTGTGTGAATCTTCGGTGTCCTGGCCAACACCCAATCCACCTTCCTCTTTTCCATAGCCCAGACCATAAGGGCCAAATCGCCCAAACCGGTCAAAGCAAATGTCGTCTCGTATTCCGAATATCTCGTATGATCCGAATGCCGCGTCGGGCATATGCTGGGGTACACCATTGTATGCATACACGTCGGGTGCCGGGATCTTTCTGTTCTTGTCGAGATAACAAGTCTTGATATGTTTGCCCGCTGTGGTGTATGGGTTGTATGCGGTCGGCTGAAGTAGACGGCCGTTGTTGACAGGAGGTGCGGGCAAAGGCGCTGCATCTGTGGTATTGGGGTACTCTGGTACGAGTTCTGATGCCTTTACCAGCGTCTTCAACCCATGAAAGTAGCCGTCGAGGCTAGATTGCGAATGGTAAGTCTATGATTGGACCAAGATGCTACAACAAAGAAAGCACCTACTGAGGGAACCGCAGCCAAGGTTTTTCATTGGCCTCCTTCTCAAATTCTTCCCGTTCCTTTTCATCCTCTTCCCGATCGAGTTCATCAACTTGCACTTCCACTGCAGGCTTCTGGGAGCCGTCATTGACATTGGTGATGTCAATTTCGGCAGATGTATCTTTCCCCGCCCCTAATCCTTCGTTACTAGCATTTTTTGGAGTATTTTGTACATTTGGAGCCTGACCTTTTGCGTATTCAACCACGTGCGATAGTGAAACACGGCGGCTTTGAGACAAGAAAAGGGTGACGAGCACCAGGCTCACCACAGCCCAGACCAGAACCCTCTTGTACAGACAGTGACTGAAAACTGCCTTGATCCTGGGAACCCGTTTCTGAAGCGGCTTTTCAGAATATGGTAGCAGGGGGTCACCGTTCTTGAAGTCTGGGCCGTTGCGGATGCCTCCGAAGCTGCGCAAGCCGATCAGAGGTGCCGGGCGCTCCATACCAGATGGAGTCTCCAAACAAATTACATGTACATGAGGATGTCGGATTTGTTCCAAAGAAGAAGCGTCTACTCGTTTATAGGTATGTGTATGTAAAGGAGGGCGTGTATTGCACTGCTTTCGTGGTCGGGGTGGGGTGCAGCGAAAACAATGACGCCGTATGACAAAAGAAGCAGTAAAGGAATCTTTGTTGAATGCCAATCTTAGGTCGTATACTTTGAATCAATCGATGATGGGAAACGAGCCTTTACTATAATAATAGTCGCAGGAAGGAAGACGTCAACGTCAGGATCTATCTTTTAGGTCTTGGCGGTTGAGCCATGCGATGCCGAACCGGGTGTCGAGACCCAAGTGGGCAGAGCGACAGCAATGCAAATCTTTGCAGCTAATAATTGCGAAAAATGAAGAAACCAAGATTTAAGAAAAATGAAACGGTATAAAAACCTAAAGGCGACAGCGATGATGAGTGTATGCTGAAGGTGAAGGGTGGTTGGGAAGAAACGCTTTCAGATGCAGAGCAATAGCCGCGGAGGGACACATGAAACTAATAGGAAAGCAGATCAAGGCAAAAGTAAGACACAACAAGGAAGGAACCAACAATATTGACTGTACAGTCCAAGGATCAACAACTCGTAAAACCGGCCTTGGTGAGAAAAAGAGTGGAACTTGATGGCCAGGACAACGCCGTGATTCGACAGAGGCCTAGCAATGCCCCGATGGGTCAGGCTTTGGAGGCGAGATTCGTGGTGCCGGGATGGATGTCAAGATGGCTTAAGGGGGGTTAGAAAATAGCAACAGAGGAGTAGTTGAGAGGGCGGCATGGCATCGGGATAGGCTTACTCTAGCAAGCTCAGCAGCAACCAACTTGAATGCTCGGATCAAGGCCGATGACGGTCGAAATGAGTCTAGCCGAGACCGCCTTTGCCATATCTACGACGTCCAGACGCTTGAATCGTATTATTTAACATGGCCCGTCAGAAACATACGCAATCCTTTCAGCCGCTGCTGCTGTAATGCCGCACTGCCGCAGAGGGCCATGTACAACCGGACTTCATGGCTGCATTGATTCTACCCTCTCCACACATCCCACTGTGCCCTCATGCTCAAGAAGTCGCCGAGGCGTTTAAGAGGTACGGCCATAGGGCCATGGCTTGAGATTACCCTTTGAGACGATTGGGTCTTTCGCTTTTGATGGAGGCCACGGCCAAGTATCACAGAAGCCAAAAGATCCTTGTCTCTGACTAAGGGATCGACTCTGCGACTGTGTTTTTGACGCACAGCGTTCGCGCAGGTCTGTCAGGAATGGCCGGAAGCCCTGCAGTCGCCTTTGACCCCTTTGACCCTCTGACAACGGCAAAACCGGCCACAGTCCATACTAAGCCATTGATTCGTTTATTCCTGTACGGCGTCTTTGTGGAGCCGCCATACTTTCCAGCCACGCGGCCTTGAACTCAAACGTTATCACAAAGCGTTTGCGCCCCGAACCAGTGCTAAAAATGACCAGGGGATGGCGCGGCACCTTGGCCCAGAATGTTCAGATGGACAACAAATCAGGACGAGTTTTGTTCATGTTACGGGAGTACGGCAGTGGTGGCCGCCAGTTCTAGCAGAGAACATTCCGACGCACTGAACTACTGGAGTATCTGAAGGAAATAGTAGCCCTGTGCGCATCAGTTTGGCTCGACACGGCACTTTGTTCATGTTTTTTGTGCTAGTAAGCAGCTAGAGCAAGAGCATGCCAGCCTGTGTTTGTCTGCTGTCGGTATCGTATCTGCTGTCGGCGCTGAGATGGTGGCGAACAGAAAATACGAATCGAGTTCTTTCCCGAGAGTAGTTGCTCCGTCTGGGCGAAAACGTCGTCATCGCCCTAATAAATGCAAGCAAGGAGTGAGTAGTGGAGCGAGGTCGAAAGATGGAGATCGTGGGTACCAAACTACCTTGTTCATGCAGACCAAATGCGAGCGACGGAATGAAAGAGCTGGACGTAAAACATCAAGGTATGAGATATACCCGACATATCATTAGGGCATCATGTTAGGGTGAGGAACCACTTTGAGCCGAGTTGCCCTGTTTTTTTCCCTCGTCATTTTTCACCTTTATCCTTGTTCGCCTTCCATGGTTCACAGAAGCCTGGTCCGCGTTTACCCACAGTTGGCCAGAACTATCGACGGGGAAGGAAGGAACAGCGTTGAGCGGGAGCCAAGACCCCCGTGGTGGTTCGTGGTTTCCCTGTAGCTCCCCATACTAGCCCAAGGTGACGTAGCCACTGTTGCGTCCCATCCAATCATGTCGCCATGTTGCATCTCGAAATTTACTGCCGCCCCCAAATCACCGTACCATCCGATGGGAAGAACATGTACGGAGTACGAGACTCACAAAATGTCAACAATGTCCAGGAAACGTCCAAAGTCTGCTGCTTCATCACACACATGGCGCCCCCCCTTTCCCCCCTTGCCGCTCCTGCCGCAGGCTCGTTTTTGACACGTAACTCTTGATGGTGTGGCACCTGGCAACTCTGTACGCCCATCCCTCCGTTCTCCAGCCTTAGAACTCGACACGCCTTTTCGCGACGTCGAATCCTTAATATCTCAACATCTAAGCTGCATTGAAAGCCATCACAATTCACTATGATTTGCTATGCTGGCTGTCTATCATCTAGCACGCCATTCTTTGCCGGCGTATCCTTTGGTTCACGCTCTGGCTCCCCAAGCACCTGCCCTCTTGAGGCATCGTCCTGCAACCTCTTTTCCAACTTGGCATCAGTCGCCTTTCTCCACGACTCTCCCCATCTGATGGCGGCCATGACACCGATGGTAGATGCACCCAGAAACAGGGCCGAAATGGTAGAGAACCAGCCGACTCCAACACCCTGAATCGCAGGTAGTACCACCCCCGTGCCCATGCAACCCGCCAGATATCTCACAAAGTAATTGGCTGCAACGACTTCAGCTCCCTGTCCTGGCATCACATCGAGACAATACGTGTTCAGTGATGGGAAACTGAAGAGTTGCGCGATGCCTTGCACGAACAAGGCAATGACTGGAACAGGGATCCCTCCCACAGACATTTCCACCGTCCAGCCGTATATCAGAACACAAGCCGGCATCACGAGACCCATGAAGGGAACAGCTGAGCGTAGTCGATCCTCTGGAACACGAACTCCATTGCGCTTTTTAACCCATACTCTAACTGTCCGGTCTGCCCACCTACCCCCCATGAAAGTTCCAAGTATATATCCCATTCCGGGGGCAAGATAAAACAGCCCACCCAACAATGGGGAATCCAGGTGAAACCGCGGGTTAAGGACATATCGAATGGGTGTAAGCAAGCTGTACATGTTCCAGAGCAAGGCGGAACTGGCACATGCCACCAGAACCTGGTTCCAATACCGAAACAGTTTCAGCACTCGAATGGGACTGATCATGTGCATTATTGCTCTGAGCCGTTCTTTTCTAGACAAATGTTCCAACTCGGTGATCTTCTTGTGTTGCGCAGTCTCGGGAACCAGGAAGAAGACGCCGAGGACACCGGTCCCCGCAAGAGCAGTTTGCAGCCAGAATATCGACCTCCACGACGAGAATGTAACGATGATACCGCCTATGAATGGACCCATAGCAGGCCCAATGAGAGTGCCAGACAAGAACCAGCCCATGGCTGTACCTCGTTCAGTAGGACGATATATGTCGCTTCTCAGTATTAGTCCATGACACCCCATACAAAATAGCTTTCATACGAGGGCTCGTGCAAGGACGAAGCCCGAGCAATGAACTTACGCCAGACACGCGCTCCCCAATAGAATAAAGGCCGTTCCCTCAAACGCGGAGAGTGCACGAAATACAAAAAACGACACCAGATTCGGCGCCAGGGCAGTCGCTAGACTCAGAAGGAAAAATAGCACTGCCGTCAACATGATGACGGGCCACCGTCCGAACACCTGGCTCATGGGACCCCAGATGATGGGCGACAGGCCCATGAAGACCATGTAGCCCGCGTTGGAGGCGTTGATGACGGACCCCGTCGTGTCGTATTCCTTTGCTACTTCGGGAGTAGCGGCGAGTATGGAAGTACTAGAAATGGGGGAGAGGAAGGCGCAGAACGAGAGGACCGCTACAATAATGGTCTTGCGACGTGGCGAGAGGCGATTGTAGATTTCGGATGTGTCTTCGTCGACAGTTGCCGTCAAGGCCTGGGGTTGCAAGTCGTGGCCCGACACATGAGAGATGGAACGGTATGCCTCTGGTGTGTTGTCGGATTGGTGTGATATCGACGTGAGACGAGGTGTTGGCCCCGTTGCTTTTGGGTGAGCCATTTTGCAGCAGTTGCTCATGAGTATGCCGTCTTGTGTGAGGCCGAGTGACGCTGGCGCCTTGGGTTCAAGTGTTTGGCGGAACAATATCCGCCACAACTAAACAACCTCATCGAAGTTCAGCAAAGTCTTACTTACAGTTGTCTCGTAGAAACAGCCCACTGCAGAACAAAGGTGACTCAAGACACCAATCGAGCGGAGCTGAGGGCTAGAAGAACGGGAGCAAAGCGCAAAAGCGGACGCAGGAGAGGATTTAAATGAAACTCAACTCTTGCCCCCCTCCCCCCCGGGTCCTCAACCTCCCAATGGGAGGCACGGCAACAAAATTCTCCCCCCATTGGGGCTCCATCCATGGACGACCAAGTCGCCGATCAAGTAGCTTCGTCCGTGCCGTCTCCGTGCCTCACCCCGGTCATCGGCCGCCAGTCCGGAGGAAATTGTCACTACGCCTCGGAATGGGGGGACGGGGAATTTCCGACAGATGCACTAGCAGCGCGGACTCGACGTGAAACACACACACATGCACATTTTCCATATCCGGCTAGTACTTGAAAAACTTTGGTGTACAGGATGCTTCTACGGCCGTGTTATATCCGGCATTGCCGAGGCATAGTTAAGACACCAACCGTTGGCAAGGACTGCCGTATCCTGAACACCAGGTTTCTTGCGACTTGGTTGGTATTTGGAGACTGTGATGCATTAAGCCGTAGGTAGTAGCCGGCTTGGCACACTGCTTGTTGTCATTGCATACTCATCGCCATTTGGCCGATCACCGGCGATCGGAGCGCGGATGTGACCCATTGCACCGGGGAACCTGGATCACGGGCCGTGGGTCCACGGAGTTTCCGGGCTCACCACCGCACAGGGGGGGAAATGCAGCTTTAAAATCGTTTGTATTCAACTATATCCATCTGGACATGAAATGCGCCAATGCCATGCAATGATCTATCCAACGCTCCGTCAAGTAAAATGCCTCCAAAGCCTCCTTGTTTCCCAACTTCAAAGTCGGTGCAATGCGCGGGTATCTTGGTAGAACTATGTAAATGATGCACGTGCTCACGCAGCGAGCAGTTTCTGCACACGCTCGCGGATGACTCGATCGACGGGCTGGCCGTGCCGCTGGATGACGACGTTTTCTCGGCCGCCAATGGCCACGATGCGCAGCCACTCGGGCGCGACTTCGGTGGCAATGAGCCGCACGCAGGCGACGCCCTCCTCGGCGGAGAGCGGGACGCGCAGCGAGTCCCTGAGCTTGTCCGATATGGCGGGCATGGCGAAGGCCTGCCGGGGGAGGGACAGCGGGTTCGACAGGCTGAGCATGGAGATGGTGGCGGCGACGTCGACGACGCGGTTGAGGGCGGCGCGTCGCTGGAGCTCGGGGCCGGAGGGCGGGACGGGCTCGTTCGCCCTGGCGAGCTGCTTGTGTCGGAGGCGGTCGAGGAGACTCATCTTGGTGCCGTCGGGGTTGAGCAAGGGGGGCTTCTGCGCCTGCTGTTTTTCCCGCTTCTCCTGCTGCCTGGCTGCGATGCCGCCCCTGAGCTCGGAGAGCAGGCTTTGGCCCTTGGCCATGAGGGGGTTCGCCTTGAGCCCGTTGCCCACGGTGGTGATGGCGGCCTGGGGGAGGTCGGACAGGGACAGGCTCTGCAGGGGGACGTGGACGTCTGTCATTTCGTCCGTGGCCTTTTCGGCACATAGAGCCCGGATGTTGTCTTGGAATTGTCTGTTTAAAACGTCTTCCTTGATGGACGCTGCCGAGACGCCGTGGGCCAGCTCGACGCAGACTCTTCCCCGTCCGTAGTCGGTGATGATGAATGGTGATGCGGAGTCCTCGCTGCCGTGGGACTGGATCGCAATGCACCGTCGGATGTCGTCCACGGTGACTTGTCGTTTCCCCCATGTTCGCGAGACGTTTGGTGAAATCACCCTGATGTCAATGGGCGCTGTGCTGCCGCTGTGGGAAATCTGAATCATGATGGTCTTGAGGAACGCCTTGTTGAGGGCAATCAGGTCGACCAGCTGCGGCGGCAGGGACTTGTCGTCTCCGTTGGCCTTGGCTCTGTCGGCTTTTTTCTGGTAGAGGACGTCAATCTTGGTTTGGATCTTCTTCTCTTGTTGTATGGCCTTGGTGATGATGGTGGACTGGCTTGGTCTGTGGGCCGTCCTTGTCTTAGACGGCGTCGCCTTGGCCGTGTGTTTTCCCTTGCTGGGGGTAGAGACTCGGATGCATTCCGCGGCGGCAGATGGCCCGGCCCGTCTTGGACGCTTCGAGGAGGTGTGCTCCTTCTCGTCTTCGTCACTGCTGGGAGGGAAAGAAACAGTGCGTCGTGCCAGTCGTCTGTCGGTGTCCTGTTCGATGGAGCTTGCTTTCCTCTTGCGTGACGAGCTGGGAGCAGGTATTTCCACGACGACGGCCGATTTTGCGGCTGCATCGGGCAATGTTTGCGTCTTGGCAACGCGTGTGAAGTTGGTGATGGGATTGGCAGAAGGCACGGATTCGACGGCCTGCCGCCTTCTGATTGCTGGGCGAGGCATCTTGCGAAATCGAGGGAAGTGCGTCTACTCGTTTGCGCGTTTCCGAGAAAGGTCGGTTGCAGTCGGCCCTGGTGTGCAAGGAGGCTGCGAGGCAGAATAGATGGGATCAAGGTGGCCGTTGTGGTTGCCTTGCCTGAAAAGTGAAAAAAAAAGTTGCGTTGGAAGTGCAGTATGACGCGGTGCTGAAAATGCAAGAGCAATGGAAGTCGTGATTATGCAGGGCAAGAAAAGATGCGAGGTCAAAATGGCCAACATTTGAAGGGCGCCTAGGTAACGGAGTGGAGGTGGGACAAGCCAGGGTCAATGAGCTGGAACGCGACGATTGCAGACGCGTTTTTTGGTGTTGCGCGCGTAAAGAGCATTGACTGGAGGTGGCACGCGCTTCTGCCCCACCTTGTCATGATTCTCATCACCATGCACCACCATCTATCTTCTCGACCATCATCGTCAATCAGCACGGCGCCATTAAAATCACTCGCGCGACAACATTTGTGTATTCTGACCGTTTCTATTTCAAGCTCCATATTAACAACTGACACTGGTAGCTAGCTAGATGCATCGGCAATCCATCATGCCTTGCGGATAATTGCTTCGCCATTCACGATGCCCAAAACTGCATCTTCTGTCGCTGCCCACGTCTTCCAAGCATCCACCATTTCCTCAACCTCCTCCCTCTTCACAGTTCCGTTTTCCAGCGCCTTCCCCCACACCGGACCACTCTGCAGACGCTCCACCATGGAATCACCTAGGCAGAAAATATTAGCGGCCAAACTCGATCGACATTGTGCGATGCACTCACTCCATGGCTTTCGATCTCGGTCCGAGCCAAAACACCAGGTCCCAAAGCTCATCTCGACGTTTTCCCTTTTGGCGCCAGCCTTCAGCACCCAGGAAAGCAGCTCCCGCCCCGCCGTGCCGCTCGCCCCGTTGGAAATGTGCTGCTCAAGGTTGAGCTCGTGAAACCGCTGCAGAGCCGGCACCTCTGGCCAAAAGCACCACATGCGCAAGTCCGCTTCCCGGAGAGACACAATTCCGCCTGGCTTGGTCACCCGCAGCATCTCGCGAATGGCATCGACGGGCGCATCCAAATGCGTGAGGACCTGGTGCGCGTGTGTGACGTCAAAGCTCGATTCGGCAAAGGGAAGCTCATAGACACTCGCCCTTTGGTAGCTGATGTTCTTGACGCCCTCCTTCGCTGCGTGAAACTGTGCCCGCTGTAGAATGTCGTCCGAGATGTCTGTAGCCGTTACTTGGCCCTCGGGCATGTACTTTGCCAGAGAGGCGGTGATGGTGCCCGACCCGGCGCCCACGTCTAGCAGCTTGAGGTGCGGATTCTGGGACGCGCTTGTTTCGAGGTGCGGAATGAGATGGGCAGCGCTGTTCTCGGCCGTTCGCCATTCATGATGCTGCACCTGGGGAAGAGCATGGCCAATACTGTAGCTGTTGTGCTGGGTAGATGCCATGATGATTCAATCCTTTGGTATATTGTAATTGTCCAGTGTATTAATTGATTATGTGATTCCTTGTGCGCGTGTCTTCTGCCATGAAAATTGTAGTATAGAGAGGAGAAGAGCAGACTGTCGTAGTTGAAGCAAGCGCTTTATACTTGGAGCTTCCGAATGTACGTTGTGGCGACACCCCATCATGCAAGACGCCTTCAACACCCATTGGCTGGTCATGTCGGCATTGACGGAGTTGAGCGGAGTTGAGCGGATCTGAACGGCGTTCACGATCCATCTAAAAATAACCCACAAGGCAACTATACTAGTATGGAGTATGGAGTCATGACTACATAGTCATAGAATGAAAACAAGGGTAGTAATTATGACACAGCTTATTTAAGGCACTCAATCGAGCCTGCCATGGTCTCGATGATGAGAATACATTTAACCCTTGCTAAGACGCCCGGATCTATTTACGAGCAATAGCATGGAGAACGTACACTACTCTACACAGGGTAATGATGCGCTTTCCAAATATTTATTAAAGTACTTACGCCTATATACCTAGTATTGGCAGAAGCATACTATAAGTGGCAGTGTCATTATATAATATTTCTCTATTATTCAATCATTTCTCAACCAGGAACTGACGAGGCACTGTCCTCTCGGCCAATGCAACTCCGACGTCGTAGTATTGGTCCAATATATCGGCAAGATCTCCACAATGCTTGCATGGTGTGTAGAACCTATCATGTTAACGACCACGCCAATAGTCTCCTTGAAGATACGGTACCATATCCACGCATTGCTATTGACCGGGACCTTCCACGGCAGAACGCAACCAACATGAGCCCTGCAACGCTCTGGCGATAAGGGGCATCACATCCTATCACCTTGGATGGTACAGCCAAGAGCAAGTGTATAAGTGTTAGAGAAAGGATTACTAAGTGCTAATTCCAGGTAGATCAGTTTAAGGAGTCCTCACGAGAGAGCTATAGAAGACTAAAGGGGGTGGCTATATTCTTGCGACACAAATGATGCATGAGCTGGAGCTTGAATGCCTTTTGCATGACGATATACGCTAGCGTTGGGCCGCATCCTTGCTTTCTCTCATCTCTCCGCTCATATATTCTAATAGTCCAGCCACACTATCGTGGTAGTTTCCTTGGCATGAATTGAGTCCTGTGTTATTTTTAGCCGTTATTTTTCTTTTAACTCGTAGCAGTCTAGCTGTGAAAATATATCTTTAGCAAAAAGAGCAGTTTACTTATTGATATCCTGGCATGGGTAGTTAAAAAGGCACTTTTTCCGCAAGAGGCGAATGCTTCGTTGGCATAACTATGCCGGTTATTAAGTTCTAACATGTATTCCACGCACGCAGGGCTCAGCGTCTTGTACCCTCTTACTGAAAGTATTCTCTAGTCATGAAATAGTATTCGTATAATACTTGACTTTTCTAGCATGTAGATTCGGAGTTGTAGTGATTGACTTTTCGGCAGCTGGGGCTTTATAAATCGCGACTTCATACACACATGTTGTCAGCTCGCCAGATCAGGTAATCTTTGACAAGAAGACAAATTACATTAATTTCTCAGACGCCCATAGCTCAGGAGCCTCAGCTTCTCTGACAACAATCTTGGCCAAAATCTCCCCTGCAAGTCGCAGGATTTTGCATCTCGACGCCATCTTCGTACGCCCTCTGCTGTGTTACTGTTCTACTAGGGCTTTCTCCTAGAGTGTGTGCCTGACTGGGTAGCAGCGATGACGCCTTCTGCCCAGCCTGTAGATACCGATGTTGCCACTGGACATTTTCACGGTCCACGCTGCTTTCATGCAGCCTTTTCAGGTAGAAATAAGGCAAGGGCTTGCGCGGATAAGCGAGATTTTGCTCCCTCGCCTTGTATGTGTGCGTCATCAAACCCCGATGGCGTTTCTGAACTTTTTTGATCCTTTGCAAGTTGTCCGAGTACTCCAAGCCCATGTCTGCTATGCTCTGCCGTATACGTCCACCCCAACCACACCGCCACGCTTGATGAGTGGGGGTGTTGTAAGAGTTTCTACGAATGCTTCTCCGAGGGTAATCCGTATAACTGCGTTAGGGGTCCGATCAAGGCCACCGTCATCTTGACTCTGGCACGAAAAGGCAGAGAAATGATGGAGGCAATGGGCGTCTTAGCCTCTGCATAATAATATAATAATGCTATCATTTCCACACCGACGGACCCTTCCTCCACGAGGGCGGGTAATTTTGAGAGAGAGTCTCCGTTTTTAGAGGTAATTGCGGCAACGGATAATAACACGCTCACATGAAAACTGTAAAACGAGATTGCCTTGATTTCTAAAATAGTGGTAGTGTCGCTAGCGGTAATTATATTGTTACGGATAATATTACCAAGGTACTTGCCGCTGATAAGCTAGAGTCGTAACAGAGAAGGTAAAGCCCACTCTAATGCGGGTACCGTCACACCAGAACCCGTTCCCATGAAGGTTAATAAACTTTCAATTAGAACCTTTTAAGTAACTTCTTCTGGAACTATAAGAAAACCCCGAAGAACTTGTAGGAAAGGTCTAGGTCAACCAGGTTAAAGAACCAGCCGTCTTCGCTCGGCTTGCATGAGAGATACTTGCTGTTTGGATCCTCAAGTGAAAGCACTTTGAGAGTCATTTTATGAGGGAATAAGTAAAATTGTAATTAGTTTATATCTCAAGTATAAACAAGTTGAAACGTCTTACTAGACTTGAATTTTAGAACCTTGATGGCAAAAGTCGGTATAGTATAAATATGGAAACTGAGGTAAGCAACAGAGCCATGGGAACAATTGGTACCTAGCTGAGCAGAGCTAGCTGTGCTCCTCTTTCTTACGGACTCAAGGTGGATGGAAGCAAAAAGTCAGGTCATGCCGTAATCGAGCGATAGCTTAGTAGAGGCTTGGGAGGGATTGAGAGGTTGACATGCAGGAAGAAAGCCAGCGTGGCAGACTGCATGCCAATCCACCGTCCAGATACATGACGTATCAATTTGATATTATGCGTGACATGACAGTGGCGCCGGACCAATTCGATATTGTGCACTCGGTGCTCGGCACGCAGTACATGAATGGAGAAGTTGAACATGGCCACACCACCTTCGATCCATGATTTGCAAGCATGATATCGTCTCAAGGTTGCAATCCAGCTCGCCACAAGACTTGCCGTGAGTCGTGATCAAGACTCACTACTCAGACTCTGCATTCAAGATGCCGGAAGAGGGGTAGCAAAAGACTTGCCGCTCACATTTTGGTGTCAGAGGATACGACCTTGACTGACTCAGAATACGACCTGGACTGAAGAGATGAATGATCGACTGGGGATATGACTGACATTGACTGAGAGCGAGATGACGCGGACAAGGAGTAGTGTGGTTACACGAGGCCGAGTGCCTTGCTATCAATCACTGCTACACGGCCAAGACCAACGACAAAGCCCAGCAAAGTGGTATCGCCGACAAAAGACCTCGAGGCTACTCAGTACACAGACTGAACACATGAGCCGGTGGAAACCTTGGGCACAGCCGTTCCCGTCAGGTATATATAGTGGTTACTCGTCCCTCCTATCTCTGGAAAACCAAGGACTCTTTTCTGACTCAACCATCAAGCTTGACTCACATCCGAGATTTCGCTATACTCGGTACTATTTCGAGCATTATCACTACACATCTCAGACTAGTGGGCATTCACTCACTGCAAGTAAGTTGTCATGTATCAATTAACAAAAATCGCTAACATTTGAGATAGACAAAATGAGCGGCATCACAGTAGTCAACAATACGGCCAAGGAGATTTATGTTTGTGTCACTGCAATGCGTTCAGACAGTGGCCAGGGAAGCGAGGCGTGGTATGTTCTTAATGGCCACGGAGGAAAGGACACATGGACCAGGACACAAATGCAAATTGTAAATTTCGTGAGGAGCAAGACGCCAGGAATATTGGTCGAGACGGTCCTTGGCGTCCCAGGCGAGACTACACGTATCAACTAGTTGAAATAGTTGCCATCACTCATACCACTCAGTTGGTGTGAAATAAAATGGACTAATTCACTCCTAAATGCCTATTTTACCACTCTATAAGTTCAAGTCGTCTCCCTTTACCTGGGTACGTTGCTTCTACAACGCTGTTGGTAGCAGAAGTAGTCGACACCACGAGTGTTACACGGATGACACGTTGCTATGAAGGCACGGGCCGATCCTTGAACCGACGATAGTTACACAAGGGCTCTGATCACGAGACCTAGGGCAAGGTCCCTCACCGCCTCTTAATATAAATAAAGGTCTTCCGCTATTAGGGCTTCAAGAAACAACCAAGGACCTTTGATATTAAAGCAAAGTATTTGCTGAATACGAACCTTGTTCCAAGCCTAAGCCCTTATCACAAATGATAGTCTTCTATTAAAGGTATAAATCCTTCCATCCTCTAGTAAGCAACCAGCCTCTGCGAAATCACAAGGATGTAAAGAACCTCTTTCTGCGCTAGCAAGCAGGTATTCCTGCCTCTGACTAAATCTACGGGAGGTTATAGCCTTACAGCGCTAGCATTCAGATATCTGACCCTGACTAGGTCCTGCGGAGGTCATAGGAGCATTTTCGCGCTGGTTATTATACCTGATACCAGGTCCTGCGGATCATCATCATCATCATCATCATCATCATCATCATCATCATTATTATTATTATTATTATAACCCGAATAACAGCTCGAGGTTAAGCTAGAAAAGGGGGGAAGCTTGTGTCACACGGAAATGGGCCAATATCACACGGTTACACAAGGGCTACGGTCACGGGATTAGGGCAGAAGGTCCTCACTGACTTCTTGTATTTAAAGACGTCTTTGACCTTCAAGGCCTTGAGGAAAACCAATGACCTTTGACACCAAAGCCTGTTATTAGATGAATTGAGCAAATGCTCCAAGCCTCTAGCCCTTGTCACAAATAACAATTTTGGTATCAAAGGTCCTTGGTTTTCCTCAAGGCCTTGAGGGACCGAAGATGTCTATTTATACAAGAAGTCGGTGAGGACCTTCTGCCCTAATCCCGTGACCGTAGCCGTCGTGTAACCGGCCTTTTCCATGTGACAACGAGAATGCCAAGAGAGCAAAGGCAGCATCTTTTCTTTCATCACTTACGCCAATTAGCGGAACTAGAAACGGCACTAGAGTTGCTATACAAACATCTTGGCCATCTCCAGTCACTTGATTATCTTTGATAAGCCAGAGCCTGCGATTTTATGCACCAGCTGCGGCCTTGCACTTTGACGACAGAAAAGTCGACCTGCCAGGTCAAATATAGGCATTAGTACATTTTGTATCTGGGAGCCCACTTTGTAGTGTATATTTTGAGAATGATTTGAACGGCCTTCTGTAACTTTGCCAATTAGACTCGCGAAAGAGGACTAATCCTGAGCAACTTGGCCTTTTTGTAGTCTTTGCTGGAAGAAGCAGGCGAATGCTGTGACAAGGGCCTAGCTTGGAGCAATTTACTCAATTCATCTAATAATAGTCTTTGGTATCAAAGGTCCTTGGTTTTCCTTAAGGCCTTGAGGGACCGAAGCCGTCTATTTATACAAGAAGTCGGTGAGGGACTTTGCCCTAGGTCTCGTGACCGTAGCCCTTGTGTAACCAGCCATTTCCGTGTAACAAATGCTCAGTAATCCAGTGCCGCTCACATTACTGAAAGATACTGCATTTTGGTGTTTTCAAAAGCAAGGCCAATAAAAACTGGAGAAACTTCAGGGATCCATTCGTATACTTTATGTACATGTAAGACCAGACGTTATAAATAGACCTGAGCCGGGCAGAGCCGGTGTGCCTGAACTAGTGATGCAGCTCGTACAACAGACCTGGACTGTTGCATCCGACGGCAATGATAATGTACCCAACGGCTGAAAAAAAGAAAAAAAAATAAAGTTGTTCTTTGTCAGCTGAGGAAATGGATTACCACGCTTGGCGAGGTCAAAACGTGCGGTTGCGTGGATCTGATAAGCCGTGCGCAGCCTCATGTCTGCGCGTCGAATTGTCTGGTACCTGAAAGTGAATTACCAGTCTTGGACTAGCGGCCACGTTGTCACGCCCCAGGGTACATTTCTAGTACAAATATATGGTGGAGATTGCCCTCATTGAGAATGTGCTCATGGAACTACATGAATTGCTCAATGACACAGCGCCGGGCAGGATCTAAACGCCATTACGCTGCTGACTGAATCTATCGCATTAAACAAAGAGGAAAGGCAGCAGCTGTGGCCGCGTCGGTTTTTTTTGGCGTTGTTTCCTACGCAATTACGCCATAGAAAGATGTAGCAACAGGGGTGTGAGCGTATGAATTCATGGGTCATTACAGCTCCCATCAGACTTACTCCTGCGCCCCGAGCAAAAAACGCTGCGGCCCGAGCAATTCAGGTCGGATACTACGGAGCAATGTGGGCAGTTATACGAATTGACACGGATTTGCCGGTCTTGCGTACGCTCTGACTCTATTTTGCAAATTTGCCAACTTCCTCATCCGAACTAGTGTCATGGCCTTCTTTGGAACCAAACAAGTCTGCCCCTTGCAAATTGGATACGAACGTCTTTGAAAGGGGGCCTCGGCTTTGCTCCGTGCTCCCGCCGAAAGTACTTAAAGATGAACCGTGATCCGTAGAATGTCGGTGTTTGCCGACGTGCATTTCTCCTTGTTCTACAGAGAAACATGATGCGCTCCGTCATACTCGGGCTGCCCTTTGTGGCGCTCGCCCTGGCCACTCCCGTGTCGAATAGCATCAGCAACATCGACGGGACACCGGACGATGTAGCGAAGGTTCTTGAGCGGGGGGCTCCGGGAGACTTCTTCAAAGATGTCGCCGGGATAATCAAGATCCTGGAAAAGGGTCTTCCCGCAGACATCCCGAGCGAAGCGGCTGCGATAGCGGCCGTCCTCGAACAGGGTCCTCCTCGAACACAAGGTCGCGCCCCTCGGTACTTTTTTGAAAATTTGCATCGCACTAATATCGCCTAGCTTCCTCTGACGTATACGAGAAACTGAGCTACTACGCACAATTTCCAGGATCTGCAACGGCATGCGTCCACAAGCCTGCGGAAGGCGTGGTCGAGCAGCTTTACGTCAATGAAACCACCACCGACACCCAGGCTATGATTTACCGACTCGATTCCAGAAAGGAGTTGATTCTAGCTATTCCAGGGACCCAGAGCCAACAGGACTGGGAGACGGATGAAAACTGGCGTCTGGTTGACTACAAGTCCTGCCAGTCCTGCAAAGCGCATCACGGGTTCTTGACTGCCTGGGATTCAATCGTCGACCAGGTGGAGCGCGGGTTGGAGTCGGCTCTGCACTCATATCCAGGCTACTCGGTCACCATCGTGGGCCACAGCCTCGGAGGCGCCCTCGCGGAGCTTGCCTTTGGCAGCTTGAAGCCAAAGCCGTTGAATGTCACGCAGGTCATCACCTATGGCGCGCCGAGGGTCGGGAACGCAGGATTTGCCAATTACCTTGACAAGCTGGCGGGCGCGTCAAACTCGAATGCCGGCATTGCGTATCGTGTGACGCACTATGATGGTAAGTGCTGGCCGCGCACAAGACGTCCAAACCGGCGCTTCGTTGCCTGTCCAATACGGTGGGATGGTAGTACTGACTTGTAGTAGACATTGTTCCACACTTGCCCCCTTTCTTTCTTGGGTTTACTCACCCTAGGACCGAGTACTGGCAGTCTGCTGATAAGCCCACCGAAGCCACGACGTATAGGTGCAACGGCCGCGAGTCGCTGGACTGCATCTTTGGCAAGGCGCCATCATCAAAATCAGATGCACATGGTACTTATGCTGGGATGAAGGTTTTTTGCTAAAGACTGGATCTGTCGTTTGGACGCAAGAAGGCGTCGAGTCTATTGTTTTTCTGCAATCGCACATACCTTAATCACTCACGTGTATCTACCGTCCTATATCCCGTGATGTACTTGAACAAAATTTTCCAAGGAGGGCATTTATAGTCGATAAGGCCGTCGTTGTCTAGCTGCTACGCGGTTTGAACATCTTTCGGCTCAGCTGCCCAAGTCAAGGCTTGTATATATTATGAGATGTTGGTTTTACGGCGAACTGTTTGTCCTCAAAGAAGTGTGTCTCGCGTTGTGCTCAGGTCTTGCGACACTCTGCTTGCTTTCGGCGCTTGCTTATTAGAATAATGATTGTGACTGTTTGATGTACTAACGTCTACCATGTGCTCCCATTTTGGCAGCGCCAGCAAAAAGGCACGCCCTTGGTGCCAGCGCTCTCTGCGTTATTGTCAGAGTGGTGGTTGGGTTTGACCCTTGAGCCGTGGAGACAAAATATCCTGTAATACCGGTCCATGGCTGTATATCCGCGATATCCATATTATTAGGGTGCACATCTTGGCTCTCTCTCTAGGGTGGCCTTTGACAGTCATCGTACATCTCCCAACAACCGCAACATCACCAGCCGCCCCAGCCGGAGTCTTTGTTATTACCGCGTTTATATTTTGTTAAACTCTATTTCGAGATACGTGTGGTAAATAAGCCGTTTTGTCCTGTGGAACGATGTACGGATTCGGAGTCATCGGGACAAAATACTCGCGGCTATTAATACCTTGCACAAATTCATTTTATATACAACACTCTTGGACGCCAGGGTCCCAGAAAATTCCGACTCCCTCCAAATCGCAGCCCTTTCTCACCGCTCAATAACCCTCAATCTTTGGTGCCAATGTCAAAGATGACGTCAAGTCGCAGGCGAAAAGCGTCGGGAATCCGGGATAAGGATGCCGGCAGTCGGTGACCCACGGTGGCAAGGACCCGGGCGCCATACCAGATCTGGACTGGCCCCGGGCCCGGTCAACCGGAGCTGTCCAGGTATTGGGATGACTTACAAAGCATAGGACGCCTTCCTGTCAGGCCATGACTCTTATGGCATACAGAACAATAGCCTGACAGAGCAGTGCTAGAAAATGAGGCTCGATCAAGGCGTTGACTATGTGGATTAAGAAAGAAGGCGACTTCGAGAGCAGCTATTCAAATACCCCATGGCCTGCTGTTGCACCACTGCCCACACATTTCAGCCGCACGACTGTCATGAATAATAACCGCTGGAATTGCCGTTGGACTGGAATCAAGTCTCTCGTTATGCTTCCTTGCCAAATGGCTTCGAAGACTTCGACTTGTCGTGCCCGATGAAGAAATAGTGTTTGGTGGTACGCCGCCGAACCTTCAACCTCGATGCAACGGCAAGTTCCCCAAGATCAGAGGAGCAACATTCATATGAAGCGTAGATGAAATTATTACACGGGTATTTTGGGGGATTTCTGGTGTTGGTTCTGGCGCCGCCCCAATCCGCCACTTGGACCTTTAGATGCGAGCGCCCACGCCAGAACGCTGGCAGCTTGCTCTCTGGACCTCCTGTATCCTTAACACCTTATTCGTAAGCATAAAAATGATGTTCATGTCACATGTATGGAAGAAGCGACGCCTGTGAAGAAAAATCAAGAGTAGCCGCAACTTGTCAACTTTTCATTCGCCATCAAGAAACGATGCGTGAGTACAGCCTGACGAAGCCATCGTTTTACTTCGGTACAACTAATCCATCATCGCATCTAGTTCTGTTCCTAAACGAGGCAAGACGGAGATAGATAACCAGCAACGAAAGCCCCAGGACCGGCGTATGAGCTTAAGGGTCTACTGGAACTTCCCTTCTGCCTGGCGTCTCAGTAAGTCCAGAATGAGGTCTTTGACTGGCAGCGAAATCCTATTCCTTGGGAGAAGCGAAGGGTGCTGGACCCTGAACACCTCGCGAGAGCAATTGATCATATGCAGAGAAATCGCCTTTTGACAGTGGACCAAGCGGAACATTTGCTCGACACGGTGCCAGAGGAGCTGTTGGTGCCTGGGGATTGGAGGATTCGGTCGGGAGTAGTTCGATGGCAAACCAAGTTGAATTGGCGGCTGAAAAAGGGACACAAGCTGCTTACAAAGTCTGCGGTGACTCTGGATTCTACACCATTCACATCGGAAAAGCACTCATATTATTCCGCTGTCTGATTGCCCTTGAATAGTTGTGACCTACAGGCAGGACAATACGTTTAGTTACGTTATTTAGGTAGTTGGTTCCTATATTGATTCTTTGCGTGTTTCTTGAACGACGTGTTACAGCCATACTAGCTGAGAGGATGCACAATTTGTTAAACTCTTCATTCTGGATGCCGTGTTTGTAAAAGTGTCGCATATAAGCTGAGTACAACCCCAAATCACCTTTGGACACTCGCAAAGTCCTCTACACAATTATATATACGCATAAGCTGTGGTTTTGGCTCTTTCTGGCACTCAACGAAGGCGATCCCGAACGAAAATTAACCAAGCCTACATCACTGCCTCTCGTCTTCCTTTTGCATAATCGTGGCTGTTACTCAAGCATGTCAAGTCTCTGAGCACGTGGTTTCCAGCTGGTCACGTAAAGCGCGATCCCCGGCGAGTCACTCCCAGTCAAACCCAACCTGACTTTCAAGCTGCAAATAATCCGACTCTCATTGCACATATCTTTACTGGGGGCCGAATCAGATCGCCCGACGACGACTTTGGCTGTGTTACCTTGGATGGGTGGCCCGTATACTAGACTGGACTGACGTCGTCTGCCCAAGGTGTCAAGCCGATGCTTCGTTTCTCTCCAAATTTGTTATTCACAGCCAATCTATTGCATTCCAGACTTTCTGGCCGTTGTGACATTACATTGCCTGGGACCAGGTGATGCACGCTGTGGCTTTTGAGTCTTGACTGCGCCTCCACAACCCGCTTCTTAAGCTCGTCGCAAACGATGCAACATAGTTTGCCAAGACGCCCAAACAGGAATTGACAAGCCGGTGGCACAAGGCTTAATATACGCTTGGTCCAAAGGCTTCACTTAGCACGGAAATCGACTGGGGGCGAGGAGCGCATGATGGCATGACCACTGTCGCCGCGTTCGCCACCAGTATGATGAAAAATGTCCCGCCAGACCTTGCAGACATTGATCATCATGCCCCCCTTACAACCTGACGACAATAGCATCATGGCGTGAGAAGCATCGGCTTCACCTCGTCAAACATGTCGCAGATTTTGAAGCGGCCGCTTGCCCCTGCCATTAGGGTCGACGTCTCGGCCATTCAGCATAACCATGGAGGTACTGAATCTGAAATTCCCAGTTCAATGGCAACTATTATTAAGTGTTTCTGAAGATAATCCATCCGCATTACAATCCCGGTCGAACGCCACGTCCAATACTCTAGACGTCCCTACCCCGACACCGACAAGCAGCCCTCGGAGCTCTTCCAAGCCCACGATTTCCGACGGCGATTCTAGTAACAGACGTACAGGGGATAATTTGAGCCCCTTGCATGATATAAACAAGTCCAGTGCCTCGGTTCTGTGGCCTGATCCCGGTGAAGAAGCATTATTCAATATCGAAAACAACCCATTCGCCTTCTGCCCCGGCCAGTTGGCGAAGCTTATAAATCCAAAAAGTCTCGCCGCTTTCGTAGCCCTAGGAGGACTCCCCGGACTTGAAAAGGGCCTCCAGAGCCATCGCCAAGGTGGCCTGAGCGTCGACGAGCGACATGTTTCCAGCCCGATCACATTTGACCAGGCAACGTCGACTCTCCCATCCCATGGCTCCCCCACGCACAGCCAGCATGATCCGAATCCACCGCCTGTTCTACCAAAGGATGGACCAGACGCCGCCTTTGCCGACAGGAAGCGAGTCTTTGGCGAAAACCGGCTGCCAGAGCGAAAGTCAAAGTCGTTTCTTCAGCTAGCCTGGATTGCGCTGCAAGACAGAGTGCTCATACTTCTCTGCATCGCGGCCGTCATCTCTCTTGCTCTTGGGCTATACCAAACATTTGGTCAAACGGAGCATCAAGGTGCCAAGGTCGAGTGGGTTGAAGGAGTGGCCATCATTGTCGCCATTGCCATTGTCGTTGTGGCCGGCGCGCTCAACGATTGGCAGAAGGAGCGGCAATTTCGAAAACTCAACGTGAAGAAGGAGGATCGCCTTGTCAAGGTCATCCGCTCCGGTAGACCTATGACCATCTCTGTTCATGACGTGCTTGTCGGCGACGTCATGCTCCTGGAACCAGGGGATGTCGTTCCCGTGGACGGTGTCTTCATCGACGGCCACAGTCTGAGTTGTGACGAGTCCCCGGCCACGGGGGAATCAGACTTGGTCAAGAAGGTCCCGGCGGAGGATGTTTCACAGGCTCTCCGTGAAGAAGCTCCAGATACCAAAAAATTGGATCCGTTTGTCATTTCTGGCTCCAAGGTTTTGGACGGAGTTGGCTCGTTCCTCATCACATCCGTGGGACCGAATTCGAGTCACGGCCGGACCATGATGTCGCTGCAAGGAGACTCCGGACTCACGCCTTTACAGTCCAAGCTCAATGTACTTGCCGGTAAGCATCCACTGTCCGCGTCTAGAGAACGTGCCGCAATCTTGGGAATAAACCGGCTCATGCCGCTTCTTAGGGTACATTGCGAAGCTCGGCGGCGGAGCAGGCTGTCTGCTCTTCCTCGTGCTCCTGTTTGAGTTCCTAGCTAGATTGCCCAGCAACCAGGAGTCTCCGGAGCAAAAGGGACAAGACTTCCTCCAGATCCTCATCACGTCCATTACCATCATCGTCGTTGCGGTCCCCGAGGGCTTGCCGCTGGCGGTGACACTGTCGTTGGCGTTTGCCACGAAGCGCATGACCAGGGATAACAACCTCGTTCGCCATCTTCAATCGTGCGAAACAATGGGAAACGCCACCGTCATTTGCTCAGACAAGACGGGCACGTTGACGGAAAACGCCATGACCGTGGTCTCGGGGGCACTCGGCGGTCGAGAGGGATTGGTCTTTGGTCATGGTGACCCGGTGCCCGAACCAGCCGGTGACGCACCAATACAAACAAAAGAGCAAGATAAGGGGCCACAAGTTGCGAGACAGCAGCAGACCTTGATCCCTTTGGAACAGCTGTCGTCGAGGCTTGACGCCGAGTTTCAACAGCTCTTGAAGACGGCTGTGGCTGCCAACACGACCGCTTTCGAGCGCGAGGAGAAGGGTAAAATGGTGTTTGTTGGGACGAAAACAGAGACGGCGCTGCTCGATTGGGCTCGTCATTGTTTTGGACTGGGACCAATTCTTACCGAGCGTGCCAATTGCCAACTTGAGCAGCTCTTCCCTTTCAACTCGCGGCGTAAATGTATGGGAGCCGTGATCCGGCTGCCAGAAACTGAGAACCACAAGGACAAGACCACGTATCGACTTTTTGTAAAAGGCGCGCCTGAAGTTGTGCTGGCGAAGTGTAGTGGCGTGATGGATGACTGGACCAAAGTTGCATCTCGGGCACCGCTATTGCAGGATCAAAAGGATGCCATTCGAAGCGTGATAGTCGGCTTTGCAGCGCAGTCGCTGCGGACTCTGGCTCTCGCGTACCGTGACCTCGAGCAGTGGCCGCCTCCCAGACCCCAGACAAATGACACAGTGACTGGCAGTGGCGATATCACGCTGGAGGATGTGCTTCAGGACATGCTCTGGATGGGCGTGGTAGGGATTCGCGACCCCGTGAGACAAGGAGTTCCTGCTGCAGTCCAAGACTGTCGAACGGCATCAGTCTCAGTCAAGATGGTGACGGGCGACAATGTCGAAACAGCCAGAGCAGTCGGCAGAGAATGTGGCATCTTGACGACGCGGCCACCAGAGCAAGGGTTGGTCATGGAAGGCCAACAGTTCCGCCAACTACCTCACGACCAGAAAGTAACCGCGGCCAAGGATATCCGTGTCCTCGCCCGGTCTAGCCCAGACGATAAACGCACTCTGGTCAAGCTGCTCAGAGACCAAGGCGAGATTGTCGCCGTAACAGGAGACGGGACCAACGACGCGCCGGCCCTCAAAGCCGCCGACGTTGGGTTTGCCATGGGCATGACGGGGACCGAAGTGGCCAAGGAGGCTTCGGATATCATCCTGATGGATGACAACTTTACGTCCATCGTCAAGGCTCTCGGCTGGGGGCGCGCAATCAACGACTCGGTCAAGAAATTCCTACAGTTCCAACTCACCGTCAACATCACAGCGGTCCTCGTCACCTTTGTCTCGGCCGTATCTGACGGCAACGAGACGTCGGTCCTCAACGCCGTGCAGCTGCTCTGGGTGAACCTCATCATGGACACCTTTGCTGCCCTTGCCCTTGCGACCGACCCGCCGGCAGGAAGTATTCTCCGCCGCAGGCCTGAGCCGCGGCGCGCCTCTCTCATCACCCTGACCATGTGGAAGATGATTATTGGCCAGTCCGTCTACCAGCTGGTTGTCTGTTTCGTGCTGTGGTTTGCGGGTCCTGGTTTCCTAGGCTATCCCGAGGCTCAGCTACGGACGCTGATATTCAACGTCTTCGTGTTTATGCAGATCTTCAAGCTGATCAATAGCCGGCGCATTGATAACCAGCTCAACATATTCGAGGGCCTGCACCGCAATTGGCTGTTCATGGTGATGATGTCCGTCATGGTGGCGGGCCAGTTGGTCATCATCTACGTGGGCGGTGCGGCATTTGTCGTCGTCCGGCTGACCGGGGAGCAATGGGCCATCTCGGTTGGCCTTGGTTTCGGCTCCATCCCTGTGGGTATTTTGATACGGCTGCTTCCTGATGCCATTTTACGGAGCTGTGGCGACAGGATGAGGGAGAATTGGCCACGGTGGCTGCGTGTGCCGCTGAAGAGGAAGGGAAACGACAAAAAAGCGCCATCTGCCAGCCCGGTGGGATACAACTCCGTCTTTGCAGGTATCAGGGATGACCTCGACTTCCTGCGCAAGGTCAGGGGCGGTCGCATCCGCGCCTTCAGTGAGGCATTGGGGGTGCCTCATGCGGTCAAGTCATCGCATCATCAGCGACGAAAGCTCCATCCTGGTACTAAGCCCGAAGATAGGAGTAACTCGGTGGTTTCTTCAAAGTCGCAGCCGGTTTCACCCATGTTTTCGGCTGTTGGAATGCCTGGTATCGTAGCTGCAAGTGTTGGTGGTCTATTGCCGATGGAACCTAGTTCGACTAGCCAGCAGCAGGACTGCTCTGGTGGAAATGAACCATCGACGAGGTGAATAGGCTCTTTATTTCTCCAGGTCATGAGACGGAAGAATCAGGATGTGTCGAGACTGCCATGTTGCCGAGACGAGAACGGGGAGAGGCAGAGAATACAATCTTGTTAAGCAGCAGGTCGAGTGCCTAGTCCTAGTCCTGTTCCTAAACATATTATATACAACTTCCCCTTCTGAACGCAACCGCCAATGGCGTTATATTCATAATAAGCATTATATTAGTTAACACGATTAGTTGTTTCAACATAATGCTTAACCTTTTCAGCTATATTATTAACTACTTACTATTATTTCACCTTATAACAACAACACTCTATATGTGTCATTTAAGTCTTGGAGTTTAATAATCACTATTCCACTCACCCATCACGCTGTACTGTAGACCAGTTCCTATCACTTTACACGTGTGTATCACGAGGGTACTGGTAACTTGAGCGCTGTGGTTTATATCATCGCGACCAGCTCGAGATGGCAGCTGGCTTTAGTTTGCGTGTCTGCCTATAGGTCAGGGGTTCTTCATCACGGAGCACACAGACGTACATTGTGACAAGGGCTTGGAGCAGTAATGACTGAATTCTACAAAAATCTCGTAGAATGTCAAACGTCCCTCCTTCTCCCCTTGGAAAAAAAGGCACGAGTGACAAATATATATACATGAAAAGAACTTTTGTGCCTAGGGTTCCTCGGTCATGTGTTCAGTCTGTAACCTCAAGGTCCTTTATCGGCGATGCCCCATTGTTGGGTTTTGTTGCTGTTGGGTCCTAACCACACAACGTACATCTCCTTTAAACGATTGGCTTTGTATTCCTCCAGCCGATTTCGGGCTCCCTTGTAGAGCTGAATAGACAAAAGAAAAGTAGACAGGCCCTTTGGTCCGAAACGCTACTCTGATGCAGCGCCCTCATGTTGGAGCATCTTTCATTGCTCGTTTGTCCAGTTACATGTCTAGGCATCCTTTAGGGCGAGGAATGTTTTGGACTCTATTTTATCATGGTGGGAGGCGTGCATCCCAGTAGAGCTCTTGCATATACTGCCGCCGACATGGCAGCATAGCGCTGCGACTGCTTATCCTTGTGGCTGTCTCCATATTCGCAGATGCCTCGTATCAGCAGGCAATCCAATGCCGATATTTCGGTACCTTCGCTTTCGAAACAGACGATTTCTTCTGTATTCGCCACCGCCTTTGGGCAGTTGTCATTCGTGAGCATGGTGGTGCTAGAAACGATCAGGCCGGAACGTCCGACGGCTGGTCGGCCACCATTGTCTGAGCTCGAATCTGGCCGCGAGTAGTCGTCGCGCAATCGAGGATTCTTGTCGAGGATGGATTGGATATCACCTTGGAGCTGGAAGCGTCCAGTCTCAGAGTCTGCCAATAGCTTTTGTAAGGTACTGCGCAGGAGCCGGGGTGGGAGATTCGAGCGGCTCTGCAATTCTAAAAGTCCATCCTGGCCCATACCAAAGTGCATCGTGCCGGAAGAGCCGACTGCAACATCCCCAAGCCGAATGTTGGCATGTCTCGACGGCACGCGCGCGCCAATGCCGACAGATACATAAACCTTGACCCCGGGAAACTTGTATGGCATTTCAGCTGCAGGCCATGCAACCGAAGCCTGCCGATTCCCGTCTGCACCATAGCACCATATCACAATACGATGTCCGTTGATCTCACCGAACTCGTAATAGCTACCGTCTCGGGGGATGGGCTGCACTGCCTTGTGTCTTGCGTCAAGGCAAGCTACTGCGGCAGCAAGGTCGTCTGGCGAAGCGCAAACCCACCCTACTTTGTAACTTTCGCGGTCGAATGAAGGCCACGTCTCGGTAGATCCGGGAGGTGGTGAATCGGAGCCGGCCGCGTCTTGGCTCGGCGCCGGATTGTCCGGAACCTTGTCATCATCGTCACTCATTTCGGCATCATCCTCTTCATCTTCTTCATATCCTTCCTGGTCATCCTCATCGTCAAAATATCCCATGCTGCGCAGAGTCCACAGGCCGAGCTGGGCTTGATGACGACCAATATGTTCCATGACCAGTTCGGGATCTCGTATCTCGTCACCGCACATTGGGCACATCGATGTCTCCGGCTCCGGCAGTCGTGTACTATGCGCCCCGAGCTCCTCGGCCCGGGTGACACCCCCCAACTCCCCGTGAGCGACGCTCAAATGGGCTTCAAAAGCTGACTTGGAGTCAAACTTCTCTAAGCAGTCCCGGATGCAGAACCAGGTTCTCCGATGGTGACTGAGCTCGTGGAAATACCACTCGCCGCGACTCTCAAATAGTCGGCCCAGTTCTTCACAATCAATGAATGTGCACACGTAGGGGAGCACATCGGAAGATACATGTCTCCTGGATTTGTCTATTAGTATCTTGTCTCTTGTCTCTTGGCTGAAGCCTCGTCTCAGGGTTCGAATTGTGCGACTTACTTCCATTCTTCTCAATTCTCTGCCTCTGTCATTGAGCAGCAGTATGGACATTCGAAAGGCTTCCCCTCCTGGCGCGTGGGCGGCATGGGGGGCACTCGGATGGACATATCAGAGCAGAGTGATGATGAAACCGAGATGACGGACGCGGTCTCATCGTCGTCGCAATCAGATGATTCATTTTCGTCTCCCTCTTCATCCTGCGGACATGGCGCTTCTTTTGCTAATTCCTCCTTATGCTCCCGGGCGTAGCGCAGAGCCCTCCTGCGACTCAGTACACCCTGCAGCAGCCTGTCTCGGAGTACCGGGTCTGCTTTTGGGAACAGCTCGTCAATGTGACTTTTGTCGATTGGGATGAAATGGTCAACGTTGACATATCTGGCCTTCTTGTACCAATCGACCGAAGCTGGCATCTCAAGGAAGATGGAGATGTGTTCCAGAGACTCAACAGCCTTTTGCATTAACGCCCGGTCTACCGAGCTGTTTGCTCCTATGTGTGTCTGTCAGCCTCAGCGTCTCCAGCCCTGGCAATGCCGAGGAAAGCTGCCTACCATACAGAGGAAATAGCAAGGGCCCGTGGCTGCAAGTTGAACATGCACATGAATCCCATCCTCTAAACAGATTAAATGTACCGCATTTGAATGCCGAGACTAAATCTTCGAGAGACTCCAGGGTGGCGGCTCGAACGTCTGGGGCATCGCGCAGGTGCTCGTCAAGGGAGGGTGTGGCCGCTCGGCCAGCGGTGTAGTTGGTATGCCATGCCTGAAAGCGCATGCGCGCATCTTGTATGTCGGAATCCCCGGCCGCGGCCTGCTTGAGAATTGCGGAGCAATACAGGATCTTGTCCTGTATTTTGCAGTCCCCCGGGTGGCATTTTGTGACGGCGGTTCGGTATGCGATGCTTGCAGCCAAAAAATCCATGTCGGTTTTCAAAGATGGTGTCAAAGGGTGAAGGTCCTTGGTTCTCCAAGAGGAACGAAGGGGCGAGCGACCACTATATATAGATAAAGGGAGCGTCTGTGCCCACTGCGTAGGACTTCTGCCCGGCCATGTGTTCAGTCTCTGTAACATCTAGGTCTCTTTATCGGTGAAGGCCCTTTATTTGGCTTTGTTGTTGGGCCATTGCCGTGAAACCCCAGGCTCAACAATGACCATGTCAGTGCGGAGGCTCATCCCGCTGGCTGTACGCCTGAATGCAGCATTGATGGATGCGGCCAGACTGCAGGTGGCTTCGACTGTCACTGAACAACGGGTTGAAAGGCCTTTGGATTCTGTGTTTCACATGCCGTCGGAGAGAAAGTGTGCCACACGGACTGTCATGGCCCAACAAAGGGGCTTCACCGACAAAGAAACCTCGAGGTTACATAAACTGAACACATGACCGGGCAGGAGCCCTAGGCACAGGCGTTCCTTTCATGTATATATACTGTTCAGTGGTCACTGATCCCCCTTCCTCTTGGAAAACCAAGAACTCGTGACGGACATGGCCTCGGAACCGAGTTCACGCTGTGATATCCCACGCACCGGCCGCAATGGACCCTTGGCTGGCCCAACTTGAGAGCGTGACCTTCACGGCCATCACTCACCGGTTTCAAACGGCCATGCCTAAGGGTTTAAGTGACAGCTCACAATTCTTGACTGTTTGTTGGGCATCCAAGCTGAAGAGACAATCGTGAATCGCCAAGAATGCCATGCAGCGGCTTCTCGACACGGACCACCTCTTTGACAGGATGGAGTGATTCACTGCTGAGAATCTGCAGGAGGCAAAGCCAGGGGCAAAATGGATGGTTCATGTGTACAATGACTGTGTCGAGCGAGTACTTGACGGTGTGAGCGCACTGGCAGCCCTGACCTGTCCAGAATACAGCACGGTGTGTATCCAGTCTCTCGACATGATCGGGAGACGACATGTGCATCCTACCCTGCCCTCTCGATCCATCCAACCAGCTGCATGTGGTTCATCGCCTTCTTCACGTGGCACGGGGAGCATCGACTTCATTACCCACCCGAGTACCTTCTGCTGACACTATGATCTTTTGTAGCTAGATAACACCGAAACGAATTATATTCTATCTATCTTCATGACCACGGAATGGACTGAGGATCAGTATGATAGATTCATGATTGCAGTCTTGGACGTGGACAATTCCGTCGAGAAGCAGATCAAGATCCACCGGCGACCGCGACGCCAACCAAAGTCGTATTTCCATCCAAATTGATAAAGGGAGACGCCCTGGGAAGAAATCCAACAGATTCGATGAAATACGGATCAAGTTATCTCTTGCGGCCTCTGTTCTGGGGCTAAGTAGTAGACCAGAGGTTTTCGCCCATGTTCCACAATCACACAGGTAATTGTGCCTGGGACTGCACAAAGATGAGTTCTGATGTAACTTTATCTTTCAGCGCCGTCACACTGGCGCCGTCAACGATCTTGAGCCCAATGGTCCTATATAACGGACTCCCTATGCTGTTCACTTCAAATGGCTGGCTGCCCAGGGTTGGATGCTCGGCTGCCGAGGCAGACGAGCTTGACCCTTTTGCAAAGTCTCACCAAGATACCAGGATGTAAATCTTATCTATATTGATCATGTCCCCAGCGTCTCGAAATTCTGAGATATTGCGATGTTTATGGAGGATTTCAAGGTCAAGCATATATATCGGCAGACACTTGAGCTTTATAAGTACACGCCCGGCGAGGACTGTTCAGGCACGCGTTAAGGCAGGAGTAATACTTGAAGCTTACTTAAGAGTCGATATAGGGACTATGTGTTTCAGCCGTAAAAGACACTCAGCAATTTTAAAGGTTAAATTCGAGCCAGTCCTACAGAAGGATATACACTAAATTTAGTTAAATCCACCTACCCACGTGTTGAGGTATATATATTCGGTTGTTGAATCATGCATATGGAAAGGCTAGCGAGATGTCATGTCCTGATAAGTTTCGTCTCATTCGATTCGTTCATCCCTTACATGAAAGCAGATTCAAGGCAAAGTCCTTCACACAATAGCGTCTGCACAGCAACTAATTGGACTACAGAAAACGGTTGGACTAAAAAGGCTCTAATGTCTATTTTCTCTAATTCGGCATCTCTATAAGCTACTTTCCATATCCAGCCATCGCAAGAGTTGACCTGTCCGCACATTGCGTCGCGAGCCTAGCAGCCCCGTTCCTCCAACTAGATCCCAGGCGTCGGTCTACCAACACCCAGGCACTCCGCAGAAACAAACCTTATCGTCCAGCCGCATTTCCCAAAAGCTCTTTCAGCCCCGTGGCATCTCTCGGCTCAAAAAGAAGCCCAGACTTCTTCGGCGCCATAGCCTGGTGCGCAGCATCAAAGCACCCCGTGATGGGATCAGCGTCGACCTCCGTACTCGCGCCAATCTTGAAGCTAGCAATGATGCGCAGCAGCACAATGTAAATCTCCCTATTGGCAAGCGTATAGCCCGCACACATGCGGTATCCCAGGCCGTAGCTGAAAATGGGAAGATCGGGGTTCTCCAGCCACCGCTCGGGGCGGAAGTTGAACGGGTCGCCGTATACCTTGGCATCTAGGGGACGTAAGCTCACGACTTTTATCTCGGAGACGGGGACACTGACCTCTATTGCATGCATACGTGTTCAGGATGACGGTGTCTCCCTCGGATATCGTCCTGCCTTCGTGCTGGATGTCCTGGACAGCTAAGCGAGGGAGGGCGAGTCGCGACGGCGTGTAGTATCTGGAGTACATAAGTTAGCAACGGCTACAATGAAGCACACAATACCATGACAGTCGCACCTTAGACACTCGCGGACCAGGGCTGATATATATTGCACCTCTTCCGTGTCCTTGTACACAGAGTCGAAGAGCTGCTTGTTGTCGGGGTAGACTTCGCGAATCGCCTTGTAAGCAGTTTCCTGGATTTCCGGCCGTGCCGCAAGAAGCGTAAGACTCCAGTGCATGGTGTTGCTGGCCGTGGCTAGCCCGCCGGACAAGAAGGTAAGAAGCACGGTGGAGAGCTCCTTTGTCGGGAGGGGATGGGGGCTGTCGAAGTTTTTGGTGTAGAGACACTCTTCGTGGCTGCCTTCCTTCATCTTCTCCTCAATCTCGCGGTTCAGCCGGCCGACGTATTCGTCTCTGCGCTCACGGAGCCCGGTGGCGCCCTGTTGATATGTGTTGAAGGGCCACACTCGGAATATGGATATGTAGTCCTGGAGGTTGTCCGTCATGCTTCGCAGACGGAGGATCTGGTCCTCGATGTAGATGATCTCCTGGGTGAGGGGGTCGCCGAGGTACATTCGTCGGCCGTAGCAGATGCCCAGGGACAGACTGAGTGTGAGTCTCTTGATGACTTTGGAGACTTCGACCGGGCTGTGTCCCTCGCACCCGTAGCAGTTGAGCTCGTCCACCAGATGCCGCGTCTCTAGATCAATCTTGTCCAGGTTGGCCTTGACGGCGGGCTTGCTGAGTTCCGCGGCCGTCGCCTTGCGGCCTCTTTTCAGGGCATCTCCGTACCCGGCAGTTCCAATAGTAGGTCCGAGGGTTCCAGCAATGAGCTAGTTTCTCTGTTGTTAGTTGGGGTGTTGGTTGGGACGGGATGACGACAGGCACCGTACCTGGTGGAATGTATGGAATATAGGGCGCGATGACAAGGCTGCTGCGCTGCCGGTGAAGATGCTCTTGGCCGCTGCGGCTGTGTTCACAACAATCACTGGCAGGTTTCCAAACTGCACTTCGATGACGTCGCCGTATACGGCTGACCATTCAAGGAATTGCCTTTCCGCATGTTGACGATAGATGGACGGCAGGTTGCCGATGATTGGCCAGACAGGAGGGCCAGGGAATTTTCGTAGCGCCGACTGTCTTATCCACAGGATATAGACTGCCGCCGAGCCTATCAGCAGAAAAAGCACGAGTCGTGAGGGAGACAAGTCTATGGAGGGGGTGTTGTGTAATTGGGTTGCAAACTTGGCAACGGATGCCGAAATCAGCCCAGCTCCGTCAGAAAGCCCCATGGTTACAGCTTTTGCAAATGATGGCTAGGAGAATGATGGAAAAGGCACGCTGAGACGTGAGGTTTTCCTGGCTCAAGCAACCTGAACCGCATCAAGGACGAACAGGTTTTATAAACGTTGTCCGAACCTCAAGTAAAGGCCGGCTGAAAAAAAAAAGGGACTACATATCCAGCGTTGCATTCATCCCACGCGTCCGAACTTCAAGCAGAGTAGTACTGCATATTGACGGCCATCCATGAGAACACCTACAGCAAGTGCTCGTTTGCATGGTTCCCCCACCAAGGTAGCATCACGGCATCACACTGAACCCGCATGGTTAAGCGTAATGCGAAGAGTAGGTTGCACCATGACAGGCCACTATGCCGCACGAGGGCATTGGCGAGAGCTGCCTTTGGGCAGTTACACACAAGAACATGAATCATTTTTGTGCCAAAAGCGGAGCTGGTTCATGCATGAAAGTTGGTCAAAACCGACTGACCGATTGATGCCAAGGTCTCTCGGTTCCGCAGGGATATCCCCCATCGGAAGAGAGCCGATGGACCAGTCACTCGAGTCGGGCGCTCAGCGAAGCTGCTGCGCGTGCAAACAATCCATGGAACAATCGTGCTGACCCCAGGCTTGCTAATAAATAGCCGCCAATTTATCCGTGGTTGCCCAGGGGGCCTCGTTTCACAACGTGTAAGAACCTATTATAGCCCCGACCAGAATGCGAGGCCGTCGGCGCGCTGCTGCTGGCCGTCGGCCTCGTCGTCAGGACCGGCCGAGGAGCCCTTACGCCAGGCAGCAGAGCGCTCATATCGACAGTGACGTAGCTGATGCGGCCGAGACTAGGTGCGAGTTTAACTTTGTGAACCTGACTCGACGGGCCACACGCCGGTGAGGTCATTGGCAATCAAGCTTAAACCAGACAAGAATAAAACAACGACAAGGATAAAGTCTGCGTCTGTGCTCTCTTCTCCTTCTACCGAGCAAACTAGAGTGTATGTATGTACAGCAGAGACAGACCGACAAGTTGACAACTCTGCGAACCCACCGTGGCGTCTTCGTACGGAAAGCTTGTTTTACACATCATCAATCTCAACCCCTAGTATTCGGTAGCCTCTACGAGAGTTATCCCGACCCGTAAAAGCGAGCGAATGGCGAGTGGCGAGCGGCACATGGCACGGCGTGCGACTATGAAACGTGGGCCAGCGCCCGGCGCGCCGATGCCGTCATGGTGACTGATCTTACATGTAGTATATCTCGGCAGCTAAGAGAAGCAAGATTTGGCCTGATATCAAGACGCGAGTCAGAGACTGCATTGCTTCCGCTGCAGGTAATGATCCGCGACATGGGTCGGTGTGACGGATCGCGATGGTGCCAAACTAAATTCCCTTTTCGGCGGGGACGAGATTGCTGATTGCCGCCTTTCCCCAGTTTGAAAATCCCACATCCCCGTGCTCGCTGGGGAGAGACGTGAAAAACTTGGCTCTCGTGTTTGTCGCGCGCGTCTTTGTTGCGGTGTAGGTTTCAACTTTTTCCATCCAGCAGCCGGGACGGTATGACGTCGCCGCCATTTCGAGTGAGCGCGCCAGTGCGCGACAATGGCTTCGGAGATGGACTTTTAAAAATGTTCAGATGAAAACAAAGCCGCGATCTATTATCCATTTCATCATGGTATTGTCCGAAGCCCTGGGGGCCTTCTTGCACAGACTTGCGTCGCGCGTCCACTCTCGCAACAGTGGACACTGACTGTCCCCTCGTATCTTTCGGATAAGCATCGTCGATCAAACAAGTGGAAACGTCTTAGTCTCGGCGGCCAAGTCTTAATGAGGCATTAACGCGACCCCTGGCTAGCGTTGTATTCCAACATTGAAGGCCAGGGGTGGCTTGCCTCGCAACTCTTCGCTTATCAGGGCGAAGGCCTCCTGATCCGAGTCTAGGGGCATTTTCTCAATGTTATCACCGCAAGTGGTTGATCGCCTGAGGAACCGTCACAATGCGGGGGATGACGCCGTTGACTGGATAGCATTGTCAATCCTTTACCTAGTGTCCCATTGGACGAGCCGTGCGATTTTACGACCATATAGTCGGCCGTATCTCGAGCTTCCGAATGGGATGACACGGTCTGCAGGGATAGTTGAAAGTGTATTTGGCTAAACAGGCTAAAATTTCCCAAGGAATCTTCTATGGAACTATTTAGTGCAAAGGCACGCTGAATAACATGGTGACTGAAACATGACTGGCTCAACCACCTACCCCGGTGGGCATCTACAGCCCGACGGTTTATCACATGCAAAATGCCTGGTACCAAACCTCTAAACGGCTGCGCTTATTCGCGGTCCGTAGGAATTTCGATGCCGCAGGTTTCACGTCGCTGTGCCTGCCCGTACGGCGGCAGAAAGGGAAAGGGTAGACGAGGAGTGGGCGAACCCCTACAGCCAGCATGTGAGTTGAAACTCTATTTATAAAAGCGACTGCCGGATTGGTGTGCTGCCGTGGCGGCAGGATATAAGAAGATTCAATTCGTATAGGCGCCAACTATTGACCCCGTCGGCTAATGCAACGGCTCCAGTTGCCGTCAAACTGGGCGGCATCGACTCGAGAAGACTAGCTGCGTTTTGTGCATACAAAGGCGTGCGGCTCCCCAACCCCCAGTCCTATGGAGATGAGAGAACGTTGAACCTTGGTCAACGTCGCGGCGGTCTGGTTGTCTTTGAAACTTGATGCTTTGATTGGATTATCCGGGGGAGCAGTGGGCATTGGGGAGTGCCAAGGGCCGCAGCTCCGGGGAGGCTGGAGCCCATGAGTTTCAATCTTCTCTTCATCATGGCGCAATCGCTGACTGGATATTTAGTCAAACGGCTCTGACTTGCCGTCGCACCCGTGAAATGGTGACAGTCGCGCTGAGCAGCAGCGAGTCCCTGGATGGTCATAGAGTGTGCGAGCTCACCGCGTTGTGTACTCGACAAAGTTTGCCCAGGCATTGGGCCGCGAAGCCCCCGGGAGAAGATTTGTCAATATGTCCTGACAATGTTGAATCAGTTACCTGCGGCGACGTAACCTCGTCGCCGCGGTTCCACGACCAGTGCGTTCCGGATCCGCCGGGGTTGGCGGATGCTGGACGCCGATTCCCGTGGCCACGCATCGTGCAGAGACATTGCGAAATTCCACTGGGAAAGCTCGGTTTTCAGATGGTGGCGGAGTGGGTGCGATACTGTGGGCTTTATATGCCGTGCATGTTATATAGGTTCGGCTTCCCAATAACGGTTATATAGCCGGACGTGCCCTCGATAAGACGCTGTTTTCATCCCACCCCGGCTCATCCTCTATCCCACCGCTTCAAGCCGCGCCATGTTGCAAATCAATGCATTGCAATAGCATAGTTTCGAAGCGCTCTTCAAGACAGTGCTTGCCATCGTGCGCCTCGCCACATACGTGCAGCAGCCGGGGTATCTGCCTCGCTGCCTGCGCTGCCCCAATCGGAACGCCCGGCGGCAGCTTCGGACTGAGATTTGTTGTATTATTCCCAGGACCTAATATTGCCAGAAGGAAAAGCATTTCGGGCCCAAAAGACGACATGCTGGCGAGGGTCAAAGTCTGCATTCCACGCCCATGGCAGCCGGTCGTGTAGTTAACCGCATGTTGCTCCCTCCCATTGTTAAAAAGGGAATTCCCAACATCTCGCTTAGCTGACAATCTTTTTCATCAAATCGTCTTCCAGTCCTAAAAACATGGACATGCAAACAGGGAACATGTTCAACATGCCGGTATGGCATTTGACAGACGTAGTCCACACTTGTTCATACATTCTGGGCGACGAGGATTTGCTCACCTGTATCATACAGCATAGCCTCGGGAAAGATGACGTTGAATAACCCGACAGCGGGTAAATGCCTGCTGACTCCGCTGTAATAACCTACGATGCTGACATGTCCGCTTTCCTACATTCTACGCTACACATAGGTTCTTCAAACTGAAGTGTCTGCTTCTTATCCGCCCCAACGTAGCTCTGTATATATCCACAAGTCGCAGCATATAGAACTCTGTTGCCTCATCAGTCCAAGTAAGAATATATGTAGGCACACTGTGTAGCCACGCTCAGGTCGTATTTCTCACCGCAACATGTACCCAATACTGACCATTTCCCAATCAAGAGGCGTGTAGCAGCACAAGGGCTGAATTTACGTGCTTCAAGCAGCGCCATTCGCGCTCCGCAATATCGGCCCTCAGACAGATCAGCCGGATTCCTTCTGTAATCGACATACACAAACGAGGATCAACACACCATCATTGTGCATATTTGGTGTAATACATCGGAACCCGGGGCGGGTTTTCCGCATCCAGCTCCTGCGGCGGCGCCCATTCCACCGCAGTAGGCGGGTGACTGTCCGTCGTAGACGCGGCAAACACATACGGACTATGACTAGAGTAGCTGCCGTGCCGATTCGCGCCGTACGCCGACTGCGGCACGAACCCCGACGAGGACCTGGCATCCGACACCTCGGCCGTGAGCGGCGTCTCAGCCTTGGCCCGTCTCTTACGCCGGAAGAACAGCCACATGCCAGCCGTGAGGAGGGAAGCGGCCGCGGCGCCAATAGCAATGCCCGCTATAGCACCCCCCGATAGACTGGAAGACCCGCCAGCGGGAGCAGTAGGCGCCGCAGTGGACGAGGGGGACGAGGCCGTCGACGTTGTGGGCAGCACCGGCGTCGGGGTGCTGCTCTGGGTGGTTGCGTTGGAGAGGCCGTACGGCTGGATGTTGTTGTACACGTCGCAGTTGGCGTCGGGCGCGGCGAGGGGGCATTCGTTTGCGAGGCAGATGGAGTAGAGCTCGCCGTTGGCCGGGGGCGCGCAGCGGATGTTGTACCTCGCGTTCATGAAGGTGGACAGCGTCGCGGCGTCCGTGTCGGAGAAGCCGTAGTACTTGCTGGCGGCGATGAGCTGCTCGATAAAGTAGCCGACCTCGGTCTGGTTCAGGTCCATGAATCTGTGGACGTAGGCTGGGGTAAGGGGAGTGAAGCTCGAGTCGAGAAAGGTCTTGTATTGGCTGCAGCTGTAGATTTTGCCAAAGACGTAGTACCAATGAGTGAATAATTTACTAGTTGAAAGAAGACGAATAAGTGACTGTATTCTAGGTCGAGCCGGAGGGGCAGAGAAACACAGAGGGATATGGAGCTTACTATTGATTTGTTCCGTTTTTAATGTCCGCAGACTTGGTAGAGCCGTTCAAGAAGGCAATGAGCGGTTCAGTGCCGCCGCCGTCAAGCCAGTCGACCCCAACGGCTTGGTTATTCAGGTTCGTCGTTGCCTCTGTTGGGTGCCGTCAGTTTAGACTGGTTGGAAATGTACTGGGGCGTCACCATACTTGATCCGTCAAACCACGGCCGTAGGTACACATTGTAGCCGTTAAACTGTCCGGGGTTGAAAATTCCTGTACTGTTTGTTGCCGGGTTTGGGAGCGTATTGCCACCGGCGTAGGCATAGGCAACGATGCCCTGCATTAGACGCAGCTGCGTCGTGCTATTACTCGCACCATAACGTTGACTGGCGTAGTAGTCGCAGATAGACTGGTCATTGGGCCGATCAGCAAGAATACCTCTTCCTAGGAGCAAGGTTAAGAGGGCGATGACTCGTTTGCGCAGCATTTAGGGCATAGTCTTGCGGCCAGCACTCATGAAAAGGTGTGCATTAACAGCGAGTGATATATGGGTAGCGGAAAATAAAAGTAATTTAGACTATTAGGGGGCATTCCCATGTTATACATGCGAAAAGACGTCATATTGGGCAAACAAGCCAGCACTCGAGTTATCGAGCCGGCAACGAGCCTCTCGGGGACTCGATTCAGCCTTCCACATCGCCACAGTCTCGATCCAAAAGCTGTTGGTGTCCATGTCAACGCCGGACTAGGCATTTATACAGCGAGCGATACAAGAAGGGCGCATCCATTGACCAATCTCTGTCTAAGCAGGGTCGCAGCTTATACCCTTGCCCCATATGAGGCAATGCTGGCTTGCCATCGAGGGCCGTCTACGAAACGTTCCAAGTCCATGCCGGCTATGCAGGCGACCGAGAACCGTCAGCACGCGTCCACTAAGGCTTTGTTTCGTCTTGGACAAGGCCATAGTTCAACATCACTCGCCGTTCATGGGGACAGTGGCGCCACAGTTCAATCCTGCACGTATGAAGCTCTTGATGGCTGGCGTGGCTTGCTGCCTCATGTGGACGGAACTTGCCGACTGTCATAGGAAATGCTGCAATGGCCTGTTCTTCGCACCTTGGTATTGGGTAGGAATCGAGTCGATACGCCTTGGCACGATGGATAGTACGCCACCTCTTCCATCTCAAAGGGACTAGACTGTTCCGATTGACATGTGTACAGTCCGCACCTCTTCTAAGCTGATGGAACTGTTGAATAAAATTCGCGACTCTCGTGACTGGCGCATGGTTACCTGAATGCTCAAGTAGACCGGGGTACTGAGATGCGAGCCGGCAGGTACACCGATGTCTACGATCTTAAGGATCTGGAGTGTTAAATGGGTCCCAAACGTACGGCGTTAAATTCTCGCAAATTCCCAGCCATGAGATACTAGTTGTTTACACCGTACAATCTGCCTAAGCCACCGGCGACTGCGCCAAGGCACACCGCGCCAAAAACTGCACAGTACGAATCCCAAGAGCGTTTTCCATCACGAGATGCTTCATTCAACTCGATTCGTTCGATTCGTGAAGAGGGTACCTGTTGTGGACATATATCTACAACCGGTTGAACCATCAAGAGGCGTGTTAGAAGCCACCAGCCTGGTGACGGATCATGCCGGCAGCCCGTGTCATCTCGGAATAGTGAATATAAGACTTTAGTCGCGTTACGGTGACAGTTCCGTCTGGGTAAACGTCGACTAAAAAGGCGACATCTCCACATAGCTCTTCCGCCCACCGTAGACAGGTTCAAAAATGTTCCACCATGTATAGATGTTGGCATTGAGAACATGTCATGTGCGACTCTGGCCTGTCTAAGGCTATTAATTTGCTTCATGTCGTCGAGATTACGTGTTAAACTCACATTAACTTTATTTTTCTATACACCCACCTAGGCGTACTCTAACCGCAGCGTAGTCTTCCATTAATATAGGCCTGATTGTAAACTCCACAGTGAACGTTGAGAATCGAGCGGCATGTATTCTACTTTATCTTGACTCGACGTACTATTCCGCCGTGCTCTATATAAATACGGGTATTTCGACTTCGAGCTTACTACCCTCCAAGTGACCTATCATATTCCCTTCACCGACAGACATCATTGCGGCAACTAGCACCTAATGTGAGCTCTATGGTGTGACGTCCAATCCTGATACCTCTTTTCATCGGATACCAGTCTACCAGTGGAGTCATCTAGGCCGCATAGGAAAGGACATCTCTCAAAAGCCTTTGTTGCGAGGCTGCTAGAGAGGAACAGCGCAAGAATATTTCCGGGAAATGCCCGCCCGAAAGCCGTTACTTTACCAGTCCCTCGGAGATGTCGAGGCCTTGGAAGAGTAGTAAAAGGCTGTTGCCAGGCTGACAGAAGGGGCGTGGCTGTTGTACGGCATCTTAGAGCGGCAGCAGAGTATGGGCCTTAAATGGCATCACTTGAAGCTACATTCGTGCCTAGTTACGTTGCTCAGAGCTGCATTATGCCGAGTTTGCCGAGCAGATTGAGGTGGAGACAAGAGCATGACGCTTGACGCCACGCCGTCCTCAGCCCTATTACGTGACTGTTGCGAGGATGGGGGCATCTGGGTTAGGGTTAGGGTCATGCCGAGGTTTATATCAACTACTCTGCACTTCACAGGACCGGACAGATGGTTGTCTGCATTCCTGTCTGACTACTCATACGACCGTTTCGCTGCTGCATCATGATTTTTGACGTGTCTATATGCCCATCGACCTGTGCCTACCATAAGCAGAGGAATCGTAGCTGAATCGAGTTCAAGCTACGCAGAGGACGTCGAAGCATGGCTGTTAGGACCGAGGGCTACACAGAGCAGAAAGACTTAACCTATACATTTCCCCCTCGTCAACGGATTTAACCGCTTCTCACCAGCAATGATTCTAATAAAGTCAACCGCGCCACAGTGCCACCTTGTTGTATGACTTACACTGACGTAGAGCATGTCTCTATGGGATGTTATAAGGCCTGGGCCCTGCAGTGTGACGACAGAAGCATGAAGACAGGTTGGAAGGTTGCAATGAAATCACCTCCTATTAGATCACTAGACCAATAAATATTTTGTTTGGCTTGCCAAACATCGTGCCCCATTTTCAACACATAGCGGCTGTCGAGCGAAATAGCAAAACAATGACACAAAGAAATAACACCTAATATTACTCCATATCGCCATCCTGCGACGATCCTACTCTCTTTTGCTCTTCTTTAGGGTCCGAAACCCTGGGTTTGGGCAACAGCAGTGTTTGAATGACGCACAACGCATAAGGAACTATATACGTCATCCCTTTTACGAGCCCATCAAGCCGAACACTCCAGCTCAGACTTTGCGCCATGATTAGGACCGCCAGGAGCGTTCCAACGGTATACATAATAGACAAAGGACTGTAGATGGTTCTAATCTGACTGGGCTCTACCATGACGCTGATAATCGAACGCATGAATGTTCCAAATGTTACACGGAAAAGGCCCAACAGATCGTGAAGTCCAATAAAGGGGCTTCGCCGATACAAGACTTATTAGTTACACAGCTAGAACACGTGCCTAGGCAAGGACCCTAGGCCTAGGCGTTCCTTTTATGTATATAAGGCGGTCACCCTTCTCTCCCTTTTTCGTAGTAACTCAAGACCTTAGAGACCCTTCGAGATTATTATCGAATTGAGCCCTTTTGCTCCAAGCCTTCTATGTTGAACCCTTGTCACACCAAAGGAGCTGCCTAGGGTATAAAGCTCTATCCCTAAGAATTGAATAAGTACAATCTCAGCAGGAAGGTTTGTTGGGTTATAAACTTACCAATGATGGCCACCCATAAACTAGAAGCTGCTGCCAACACAGCATACCCGAGCGTAAGAAAAATAATGCTCATACGTGCCAGAGTCACATCTTTAGACACCACGTGCATCTTCACTGTGCCCTCGAGGAAATTATCAAGGGGGGTTGAAACCAGAGTGCTCAAGACAATAGCCGCCGCGGCTCTCCAAGACAGAAGGTAGTTTGCCTGGAAGCATGTCAATCAATATGGATGCTATATGCCCCTGAATGAAATTTTTGCTATCAATGTCCGACATGTTAACCAAGTTACGACTCCAGCATACGTTATAGGGGGCGTTATAGCTCAAAACTAGGCTTACCTTGTACTACTCTCGCCAACGAGATGAGGGCTTTTCGCTCGATAGAAGGAACCCCTCCTACGAGGCCTACGATGTAAAAAGCAGCAGAATCGCACACAAGTTACAATTCGCCTCGCTGTTGTCCAAGCCATGATTCATCACCGCCCAGAAGCCACTGGGCACATCAACGGCATGCTTGATTCTACTGGATTACACAAGATACATAAGCAAAGCTTGGAGCTGCTTGCCCGTACAACACAGGAGATAGCTCATGAGCAAACCTCCGAGAAATACAAAGAGCCTTCACGGTGATGGATGTGTGACATGTACGATTCGCGGTGGGTTAAGATATTATGTTTATATAATACCTGTGTTATGCTTATATGATTATTTATCTTAGGGTGAAATAAAAAAGACTTAAAAGTACATAAATAGTAATTATTAAGCCAGATTCAATTCATACTTACCGTGATGCTCCGAATATATGCTAAGATAATGCTCCATTAGAGGCTCTGCTCGCAACGCCATGTCTTCTGTCACATTTATAGGCATTGGCAACATGGGCGCGTTCCTCGCCAAAACACTTTTCAAAATCATATCCTATGTAGTCAGTCTTCGGAACCGAACTACACACCGACCACAAGTAAAAGCAGTTGTCGACGGCGGAGCAGCGTTCGAGCCCACCACATCATCGTCATCTGCGTGGTCGATCACGACATCATCTATCGTGTCCTGGAACCGATCGGTTCGTCTACTTCGGCGCTTTCCAACAAAACTATGGCCAATGTCACCAACGGCACCCCGAGACAGGCTTGGGAAATGCAGGAATGGATCAAGCCCCGTGGAGCAGGGTACTATTTCGACGGCGCCGTCATGATTCCGCCTCAACTAGTTGGCACCGAGCACGCCTTCTTCTTGTACAGCGGCGAAGCGGAAGAAAGCTTCACCAAAAATGCGGCACATGTCGTCAGCTCCCTTGGCTTCGCACAATATACAGCGGCAAACCTCAATCCAGCTGCTGCTGCGCTGCCTCACCATAATAAACAGTGGTTCATATTAGATCTGATGCCAACGTGAGCACTTGCCATAGATGCAATTAAAGCTATCAGTTCCAGGGTAAAGCCTTTTAAAAAATTTCGTCTCCGAAGGCGGCCTGGGGCGCCTTTCCGCGATGTCGTGATGCTATAATTGTGTATAGGTTAACCTTACGGTGTCTGGCAAATGCCTACAGCTCTTGACAGCAGAAAAGCTGGACGGCATATCTGAACCCTTAGTGTAGTAGCACAAGGCTGAACCTTTTGATGGGGTCAATTCAAATGTTTATTTTTAATCAACTAGCTCTAAAACATGTCACGCACCCAAGAGTGCAAATATGAGCGCAGTTTGGAGGAATGGGTACGGCACATGATTAATTTCACTGGATCACAAGCTTGGTTTCTTCAAGCACATGCATTTAGCTTTTTAGCGCAAGCTACACTTGAAATAATTAAAAATAGTCTTCAATAATTATAAGCAAGTGTATTGATCGAGCTAGTGGTATTGTATGTGGCTCTTGCTATTACCTGTATCAACCACTTGCGAGGTTTACATGTTGAAGAGGTAGGAGCTATAATTGATATTCGCTCTAGATCAAATCAAGTTAGTCCATTCTAAAAAAAGGATACTTTTTGTTTCCCCGCCATTCCTCGAGTTGGCCCGCGACCTCAAGGCCCGGTCCGGCATACGAACCGTGCATGCAAGGCTCTCGCAAGAAATTCGCCCATGTTCCCCTTCTCCAGCGTCATGGCTTTGCACTACGAGCCCTTTGTTCTGTTTGTGTTTCGGATTCATGTCCTGCTGCGGCCGGCGTTCATGTGACCTTGTGCAACCTGGTCCTGCATCCCTGCCACCGCCGGTGCCTTGGTTCGGTCCCATTCCACCTTGCTCCAGGTTCGCAATGCCGTCTAATCTTGTTTCGTCCAAAGCTCTAGAAACAGAGCTGCTGGGGGTGTTTATGGCTCGTACAAGGCCCGGCAGAGGAGACATGAATGACGGGCGCCCGCTCGCGTCCAATGGCGCCCGATGGCAGAAGGATGAGAACCAATCTCCCGGGTCACCCATGCATTGAGCTGTCTGGTTCGATTCGTGTGTCCATGGAGCGGGTCAGGGCCGGTGTTGGTCCGTATGTACATCCAGGGCAGACAAACAATGCGCCCATCGCGTCCACCAATCATGAGGCTTGTTGGCACGAGGGCACGGTCGTCGTGTCTGATCTGGTGTTTTATATAAATTGTCCTCAATGCTCTCCGGGTGAATCAGGTGGCCAGGAGCAACAATGGGGGAGCTTTGGCCGCGGCTCCAAACAAGGAACCAAATATGACCAGTATTCCCATGTTTGAACCATTTGATACAATAGTTTATGCGAAGGGCAAAGATTCATGCTTGGCGGGGCGATATCTCGGCGAGCGCCCGATCCCGATCCACCACGCCAACCCGTGGCTTGACTGGAAGTGTTCTAGAGACATCAATCTTAGTTGGCCATCACTAATACCGGACCTTGTCAAATCACAAAGCCATCAGGGGGTCAAGGGGCTCCCCCCACCTTGGGAACGAACGTATAATGCGACCTGGGCTGCTTTCAACAGCCGGCCATGGATGGGACTAGTGTCTGGACTCTGCCATCTCGGACCCAGGGGTAAACGTGCTAGTTCCAAACTGGACATGGCTTCACGGCGCCGGCTGTGATTTCTTTTGTCTCGTCTACCATTGTAGCAGCGCCATGATCCCAAGTGGCGTCCGTGGCCGTTGGCGGCGGAGCCAAGGGACGGATACAGGGTTTGGCTTCATCATATCAGTAATTGCAGTCTTTTGCTCTTGACACGGAGCCAGGGAGCAAGAGGGCCTAGAACCCTCGGGAAATGATGGCCTTGGGCGTGCATGATTTGATCTGCGACATGATTGAAGCACGTTCGTTCTAGCGTGCATCTTTAGATAGACACATAAGTAGGGGACAAGACGCCGTACGAGGAGGAGGAAGGGGAAAGAGAGAAAGAGCTCACTTCCGGGACCATATTCACGACCATCTAATCGTTTTGCCGGTGACCATTCAGTAGTATCGCACAACTAAACGGGCATGTCTTTGTATGTACGCCTGCGCCATTGCTAGTTTCAACCACACGCCAAAAAGTATCGAGACATGTGCGTACACGGCGGCGGATTTTTACAACGAGCAGCGCGACATGCCTGCCTCACGACCCTGGGCGTTGCCGCCATATATGGCTCCGTCGTGGCGGCCGGACCCTGTGATATATACGGATCCCACGGCACGCCTTGCATCGCGGCGCACAGCACCACGCGCGCTTTATATGCCAAGTACTCGGGGAGACTCTACCAAGTGAGGCGCGACTCCGACCAGGCGACGACCGACATCACGACCACGTCAGCCGGCGGCGTAGCCAACTCCGGCCACCAAGACTCGTTCTGCGCCCGCACAACCTGCGTCATCACCGTCATCTACGACCAGTCCGGCCGCGACAACCACCTCACCCAAGCTCCGCCCGGCGGCGCCGCGAGCGGCCCGGAACCAGGGGGCCACGATTCCCTCTCCAGCGCCATTGGCGCCCCGGTGACGCTCGGCGGCGAAAAGGCATACGGCGTCTTCATCTCGCCCAACGACGGCTACCGCAACAACGCGGCCGTGGGCACGGCGTCCGAGGACGAGGCGCAGGGCATATACGCCGTGCTCGACGGCACGCACTACAACTCGGGCTGCTGCTTCGACTACGGCAACGCCGAGAGGGACAACCGGGACACGGGCGACGGCAAGATGGAGACCATCTACTTTGGCGACGGCGGCTACAAAGGCTCCGGCAACGGGCCCTGGGTCCAGGCCGACCTCGAGAACGGCATCTTCTCCGGCAGCACGGCCGGCAAGAACGACGGAAACCCAACCGTATCGTCGCGCTTCGTCACGGCCGCGGTCAAGGGCAAGCCGGGGCACTACGCGATCCGCGGCGGCGACGGCGCGTCCGGCACGCTGTCGACGTTCTACAGCGGCGGCCGGCCCAAGGGCTACGAGAAGATGCACAAGGAGGGCGCCATCCTCCTCGGCATCGGGGGCGACAACAGCAACCGCGCCCAGGGCACCTTCTACGAGGGGGCCATGACCTCGGGCTACCCGTCTGACGAGGCCGAGGCCGAGGTGCAGGCCGACATTGTCCGGGCCAAGTACGCCGTCACCTCGCTGACCAGCGGGCCGCGCTTCACCGTCGGCTCTCACGTCTCGCTGCGAGCTACCACGCCCTGCTGTACGAGTCGCTACGTTGCTCATAGCGGCGGCGCCGTCAGGACCGAGGAGGTGTCGTCGTCTAGCGGCGACCAGCTGAAGCGGGAGGCGAGCTGGGTTGTGCGCGCTGGGCTGGGCCCCGGCGACTGCCTGTCGTTTGAGTCGGTCGACGCGCCGGGCAGCTTTGTGCGCGTGTCGCCCGAGTTTCGCCTCGTCGTGGGGGCGAATGATGACTCGAAGGAGTTTCGGGAGCACGCTACGTTTTGCCCGCAGGAGGGGATTGCTGGCAAGGGCAGCTCGTTGCGGTCTTGGAAGTATCCTACCCGCTACTGGAGGCACTTCAACAACGACATGTTTGCTGCGCGGAATGGGGGGCCTGTGTACTTTGACGCGCAGTGGGTGTATCATGAGGATGTGACGTATGAGGTTGGCGATGGCTTTGCTTAGTTGGTACGGTGGGTTGGATAATTGGACAATTATTAAAGATGGATTGGTTTTGTTATTTAGACAGCGTTGTTTGGTTTAGAGGTAGATTCGCATGATTCCCCAGATTTTATGATGAGATGCTGTAATACAAGATAATGGATATTCAGGTGGTTGTCTACTTTGCGTGTCAAGTGTCAGGAGTCGTCGCTTTTTTGCATTCAAGTGACTATACGTAGGCATGGAAGTACGCAGATAAGTGTTTCACGCTAGATTTCTACGTCCAGGTAAAACCCGCAGTGAGAATGTGACGAGGGCAAGTAACTGGGCTTGGCACGGGTTAGTTCATGTATTCATGTAATAATTAACCAGACTTTAAGCTATTAAAGATCCTTGGTTTTTTAACAGGCCTCAAGGGACCAGAGGTTTCTAAAAATACAAGAATTTAGTAAGGGCTAGTGCCCAAGGCAGCCCTCGCTTAAGACCCAACTGCGGGTTCTCGTGATACTTGACCTTTCTTTGTTGTCGTGTAACCTTTGTAGTCCGAAGCCTTTGTCCAGGTCTCGACTGTGTGACAATGATTGTGATTGGCCGATATCTCAATTGACCGACTTTCCACGTGATGCTACGGATTTGTGAAGTACAATCTGGTTGTTCAACAGACCACATGATCTATGTAATATTAGTCATCTCAGAGCTGACACCCTGCTTATGCTCCTTCATCATGATCTGGTTCAGGTGGCTTCTTGGTAGTGACGATAGATAAAAAAGCCTTGAACTCTTTTGTTACATCAACACACCTGTGTACGGCCACCGGTCGCATATTGCTCATGGACCCAAAGTCGATAGCTTCCAATACAGCATCACTCCTTGCATTGAGCATTCAAGTGATTGCTGCGCTGCATCGCCACTGGGACCGGGATAGTACACCCATCGTCGACCGCCTATTGTATGAGCTTGCTCGCCTTCGCACGACGCTAACATATTTGGAGGAATCGTCGCTGCGGAGCAATATCCCGATTGTTGTTGGCGACCTGCCCCGAGTATTCAGGGCTTTGAAGAATGTCTTGGTTGCCCTGGGATCCAAGCTATTTGGTGATGACGAGTATGGGACGGAGTGGCAATCCTCCATGAGCGACCTGGAGCCCTTTGCATTGCCACTCAGCAAACAAGAAGCCGAAGCCATCTTTAATGATTTTCAGGTTCACATAGCACGCCTCAGGGCATCGTGAGTGATATAATTCTGTGAAAGATAGCAATGCTGCTAAGCTAATGACAATACTGTTATCAGGTACCCCAGTTCGCTGGCAAGTATTCCGGATGAGTCGATCAGCCGCATGCCTTCCGGAGGTCTTAACCGATCGCCGCTTTGGAACGCTTGTGCTGAATACAACGAAATACATGCTGCTTCACAGAGCAGCCGCGTCCAAGGGTCTGGTGTATGGCTACTTAGCGATTCCAGATTCCGCAACTGGATGGAGAGTGACAGAATCGACATGAGCCGACATGAAAACGTTATCTACTGTTTCGGACGACCTGGTTCTGGAAAAACTATTCTTGCGTGAGTCAGCATTTCGCGATGACATATTTCGTTGCTAACTGTGCAACTAGCTCTGCAGTCATTGATGAACTGAAGAGCTTGCGCCACCATTCTTCCTTGGGTTTGGCTTATTTCTATTTGAGCTACCGGAATCCGACTTCTGTTTTCAGTATTGTGCTCACACTGATTCAGCAGCTGTATATCCAGTCACCTACTTTGCCGACAGAGGTTCTAGCACTAGAACATCGTGATATGCCTTCGGTTACGGAACTTACGGGCGTGCTACTATCTCTCTTTGCGAGGTTCCGCAAAGCCTTCATTGTATTGGATGCTCTTGATGAGTGCTCTAGCGAGCATAGGTTAGGTCTGGACGCCTTTCTCGGATCTCTTCAATCTTCCCATGCTCGTCTATTTGTGACCTCTCGCCCATCTCATGGTCTACGTGACTTTGATCAATGCGTCAATATCCACATCACTCCCTCGTCGGCAGACATGAGTCTCTTTGTTCGCTCGAGGCTCAGTAAGCTCTCGGAACGAATAACCACCTTCAGCAGGGCGCAGGAGTCCAAAATAGAGGAAGAACTTGTGGCCATAGGAAGCAAACATGGAATGTAAGTTTCGCCTTACTACGTCGAGACCCTCATCCCGCTTACGTGTTACCATTTGCAAAAGGTTCCTGCTTGTTGAACTACAGCTCAACAGCATATTCAAGTTATCTGAGAATGGGTTGCCAGAGGGCTTCAACATTGACGACAGTCTTCGCAATCTTGCCGAAGATCTTGGCCAAGTGTATGATGCGCAAATCAATCGAATCATGTCGCAGTGTACGGCCGACTCCAATCTAGCGAAGCACATTCTAAGCTGGCTATTTTACAGTACGGGTTCAATGCCAGCATCCGCACTGGAGCACGTACTCAAAATGGAAACCAAAGACTGGCAAGAGAAACCCACTGACTCTATTGACATTCCTCGCATTGGAAAGGTTTGCTTAGATCTCGTCCGTTACAGCTCTAGCACCAAGTCGGTTGTCTTTTTCCACTTCTCCTTGCAAGAACACCTTGAGAAGGCGTACAAGTTGAATCCAGGGCTGCTCATACCGTCTAGCGTGCTTGCGGCGGCCTGCATTAAATATCTCAATGGTCTAGACTTGGCACCTCCGGCGCTCACGTCTGAAAAATATCGCCAGAGGCTCCATGAATACCCATTCTATGAGTACGCCGCAACCAATTGGGGGCGGCTTCTGATGTTTGACAGAAAGGTTGACTTTGAAGACCCAGCGCTAAAATTACTGGTGACAGACGAAAGAAGGAGGCTTGCTGTAGTGGAAGCGCTATTCTGTGAGGATGCAGAGTTCTTCCGGGATTCACAGAAAAAGCGAGTCGGAATGCTGCACTTTATTACCTATTTCGGGCTGTTACAACGGGCTTCAGGTCCTCCCAGATATCTCGCCAAGGGAAACATAAGCAGCCGAGATTTCATGGGCCGAACGCCAATTCATATCGCCACCATGATGGGTCACGCGGTAGCTCTCGAGGTCCTTTTCGCTTTACCAGAATTGAAGGGTCGTGATCGCATTCATGAAGCCATCACATCAGCCGACACCCTACGAAAAACTGTTTGGCATTATGCTGCTGAAGGAGGCGATATAGATGTAGTGAGAGTCCTCGAGAAGAAGCTGCTTTTCCTGGACAAATGGGCTAAGCCTGCTGATTTTGCGACGAGGGACGACAAAAGCTTGACACCTCTATCATATGCGGCGGCTCATGGTCACTTGGAAGTTCTTCAACTCTTCCTACAACACGGACTCTACGATGACGAGATAGAAGACGCTCTTCAGAATGCTATCCATGGTAGACACACAGAAATAGTCAGAGCCTTGCTACTGCATGGGGTAGCACCAAAATATGAACATGTAGCCGCAGCGAGTGAGATAGGCAGCATGGACGTTATCAAGCTTCTTCTGGAATATGGAGCGGAGATTGAGGGTCAAGGGAGCGGATCCGGGTCCGCCCTTCATAAAGCTGCCCGGGCTGATAGAGGAGTGGTACTATCAAATTTGATATGGAACGGCGCAAGCCTAGAGGCAACTGATTCAAAGGAGAGGACTCCATTGTCAATTGCCGTCGAACACGCTAGTCTTGAGGCAATCAAGGCTCTGTTGGAGGCAGGGTCTAGTCCAGATGTCCATGTACTCAAACACACAAGCGACAACAAAACAATCAGCGTGAAAGCAGCGGTTTGGGCAGCGGAGCACGGGAGGGCCGATATCTTCAACCTTCTTCGGCGAGCTGGAGCCGAGTGCTCTGAGGCACTTTTCCCAGCAATCGAGAGCGGTCACACCGATATTGTTCGCCAGCTCCTTATCTCTGGAACTATATCCGAGCTAGACGAACCAAAAAGAGCCCAGGCAGTGTCACTTGCCATCGAAAAAGGGAATATTGAAGTGGCCGGCCTTCTTGAGAGCTGGGAGACTCGAAAGTCTGGCCAAGTACAAAGCAAACGGTTGCTGAAAGAAAAGGCTCCATTATACGAGAATATCGACACAGACTTTCATAATTCCACACAAAGATCCAGATCAAATATCCGTTTCACCGAAGCGGTTGAGTCTATCAACAACCAAGATGACTCCCCCCCATCTCAAAAAGCACCCGCGCTCTCAAAATCTCCAAGCTCCCAGTCAACAGAAACTGAGAAAGTCATAGACAAAAACCTATTGTCAGAAGCGGTTCTAGCAACTACACCGATAGTGTCCAACTACAAGGCTGATGAGGCGTCCAGTGACACTGGGGTTGAGCAGCATCCTCACAGCCCACGCGATATGTCTAGGCCGCAACTTCGAATCTCATCCATGGCGACACCAGCTGGAAGCAAAAGATCCAAGACGCCATTTATTCTCATAGAATCTCCAGTTAGCATAGGTCGCATCCAGCTTGGTACTCTCGTACGAAATCCGAACAGTCCCTTGCAGGATTTTGTTCCATCTAATCAACAAGCCGATCTCCGATTGCTGATACCAGAAGATGCTATCCACGAGCTGCATCAAAGCGACTTTCAAATGCGGAGAGAGAAAAAGAAGCAGTCGTCTGTCGGGATGTTTCTCGGCTTTGGGGGCGCGGAGGCGAATGCTGAAACAGAATCTCAAATGGCAATGAAATCACCACATGTATGGCGAGAGCAACTTGTTCATCACGACCGGATACTTCACCACATCCTGGCCGAACCCCGGTATCGGCAAGAGTATGTCCATTTTATTCGAAAGAGGGAGGCCTATATGGTAGTGGGTCTCTTTATCATGGATGACTCCGAGGTTACTCAAGGCGACAGGATTGGCAGCGCCTTGGAAACGCAGCCTTTCGTCCCAGTGCCAATTATAGAAGCCAATTTGGCGGGGTTTACGACCAAAAAGTCTAGCATGGTCACCGCACGGTACAAAAAGGGACTCATCCATGCAATACAATATCGGAAAGTCCGATTGAAAACTTCATATCTATCTAGGTTCCGGCCGGAACACAAACGAGACATACAGGTAGAAATGGGGCCCTATGTGACTGGACCAGACTATGTCACCGTGTTTTGAAGTTGACTCGGATAGTTGGAGTGAGGGCTACCGGTATAAAGGTTTCGTAGCATTGGATATTCCACCACACAAGTACCCTCTTTATATATTAACATGACACTATCATTGTTTTCCATCCAATACAATTTGATCGAAACTAGGCTCGTCCGTCATCTCTAATGCCTCTGTACTTGCCTTCTATCCAGTCAAGAACTGAATCTCCTTCACCCCATGATGGCTTCGCTTTCTCGTCCTTGAAAAACACCCAGGGACGAACATACTTTCCGTCGCTCATCTGTTCAAAGATCTGCTTAACAACATTGACTTGTAGCCTATGGTGGTAGTTTGGTCTCTTGAAATTCTGTTTCTTGAAGAGCGCAAAGCGGTTGCATGACAAGACAAGCGACGCCACGCCTGCCGCAACCGCCGTTGCGACCGAAGGACCCGAGACGTTGGGGGCATCATCCAGCCCCCCTAGATATTCGGTGTGGGCTACAATCCTTTCGCCCGGGAAGAGATGGCGCGCTTGGCCCTCGAGAGTGCCCGACGAAGCCGCCCCAGTGCCATCAGCGGACCCAATGGCAAGCACATTGCCGTAGGCAGCCGGGATCGGCTTGATTTCCGTGTTGACGCCTTCGCCGCGCACGCTGGCGAGGATAACGGCACCGCTCGCCGCGGCCTTATTCACAGCGAGCTCCAAGTTGACGTCCTCCTTGTCCAACGTTAGGGAGAGCGATATAATGTCGGCACCGGCAGCAACTGCCCAGCCCAACGCCTTGATTATCCTGGCGGCGTTGAAATCTGACCGGGAATCACCCACCTTGGCCACGAGGAGATGACAGTGCGGGTTCAGGTCAGTCACAATCCGAGCCATCTTTGTTCCGTGCGGGTGCCTAATGTACCACCAGTTGCTTTCGCCGGTATGCGACGGAACAAACGAGGCGCCCGTGATCTTGTGACAATGGATGGATTCAGGATCAACGCCATTGTCGATGATGGCTACTCTGATGTATGGTGTGTGCTTCCTGCTTTCGTCTAGGTCGTTGCACAATATACCTTTTTCCAGCCTGTCATTTCGCCATGCTTGATTGGCAAAATCCCTATGTATGCTCTCATACGCCAACAGGAAGTCGCCGAGCTTCGTAACCTCCACCGCTGTGGTCTCGCGGCGCAACACGGGACGTTGGTCTGTAGGGCTGAGGTCGGACCAACGTTTCGGGGTAATTTCGAGTTGAAAGGTAATAGCATTGCTGTGTGCCGTCTTGAATTTATTGAATCGTTCCGTCGCCTCTGTTGCATATGTCTCACAGAGTGTCATGCCGACAAACTCCTTTAGAACAAAGATTTCAACCTGTTTCAGTCTAGTAAATCTGCCAAGAAAGTAAAGGCTCTCTTCGCTAGTCCAATAGGCCAATGCTGGCCATCCTCGCGCATACAACCTTAGCGTTTCCAAGTCGGGGCAAATCGGGGTTTTGCTCTCATCACCGCCATGGAGCACTTCCAGCGATAGATCAGGGCACCGCCAATCGAGGACGGAGATGTTGAAGTCTTTCAAGCAGGCCCGTATGACATTTTCAGCGTGCGGGAGGTAGCACGAGTCCCGGATACTGAGCTCATAGATTCCCTCGACATGTTTTGTCTTTTGCAGCCAGTTCAGGATGGACCACACTTCGGAACGGATCAGCGTTGGCTTGCCGTCTGTTCGAGGAGCGGGCAGGTCCGTTATAGGTATATCGACAAAAATCAAGCTCTTCTCAAACATGAGCTGCAACAGAGCATTTGATGGTTTGTCATCGGGTGAGGTGTAGCTGTTGGATTTCTGAATGAGACCCAGAAATGACTCCGCGTGTGACACCCATGAGCCAAATCCTCCGAGAGAAAGGCTTATTTCTTTTCCTTGACTTGTGTATTAGCCCCAAATTGCCGATCGACATCCGCGCCGGCTCCGAGCGCGCGGTACGTGGTTGAAACAGAGAACCTACTTTTATCTGTGTCGATGTCAGAATGCGACGTTTTTTCAATCCATGACTATAGTGGGAAAAACTCACCTGGCACATCATCTATCAAAGCCCTCACAATTTCTGACGTGGACGGTATCGATGAGTTATCCGCACAGAGACGATAGTAACGCTGTCGCTTTTCTGAGCACATGGAAGGAAGTGTTCGGAGTATAATACCGGCCACCCTGTCCCTGATGGACTCGTCAGAATTGTAAGACAGCACTGGCTTTTCCTCCTCGTCAAGTTCTAGAGCTAGCTCCGGAAATTTATCCAATAAGGTGTTGACTATAAGTGTTTCACCGTCTTTTACCAACTGGTGAAGAAATCCACGTTTCCTAAAAAACAAATCATGGCACTCGCGGGCATTTTTAAGCGCATTGATTAGTCTCTCGCTTTTTATTTTCAGCGCATGCTGAAGCACACTCTCATCCATTTCTTCTGGCCGAAGCTCTATAAGTGTCAGAAGGGCCTCACTGGATCCCTCGTTCAGAACCCACTTCAAGAGTTTGCTGTCGTTGATTGGTCGCGTGTTGTATCTCAGGATCTGGCGGACAAAAAACAAGGAGTCATTCTCAACCGCAATTCTGAGAGGCGTCTTGGATCCCTGGTTATTTCTGACATGCAGGAGTTGATCAAACGTTTCATTGTTTTGCATGCTAGAAAATATTGTTTGGGCGAGTGCCTCTGAACGGGACTTTGCCGCAATATGAAGGACGGTTGGCTGGCCATCGTGGTGCCGGTGGTAAATGACGTCCGGAGACTGGGTTAGGATACAGATACTAATTTCTTCGGCTACACTACTGTGGACCAAATTTTCGTTCTCGTCATGCCGATAAATATGGCTGGCGGCTGCTTGTAGGACTTGGAATTTATGCGCTCTGTCGCCCCATTTTAGTACGGCATGGACAAAATTCCTCTTGGTTTCCCAAATTGGGACGATTTCCTGATAGACAGATGCCGGCGGCATTTTCCTGATGGTGGAAAGAACTCTATGGAGCTCTTCTATATCATTCTCGAAGATGGCATTGGATACGTGCCCGAAACGGTATTCCGGAATGTTTGGAGAGTGCCGAGTGGTCCTGGGAGCCGCAAAGCGTTGGATATCCATCGTTGTTAGCTGGGTTTCGATTTATCAGAAAGTGACGTTAGATAGGTAGTGTCTTTTAGGACAATCAAGCGCCGTCCTGCGGGATTCGGTGAAGAGTCAAGTATTGTTGCCAATGATGGTGGCGAGTCCGATCGACCAGACTCTTTTGCCCCCTAGCAATGGGCTTTGGTGGCACATGCATAGAGCTGAAAAACCTTGTCAGTTGAACAGTGCCCAGTGGCGCTTGAGGCTTCCCCGAGCTGAACGAAGACGGCCGATGAGGCAGACAGTAGCAGAGCCCCAAGGCAGACCAGACGTCGACCGTACAGCAATTTAGATGGCCCGGGGACGGTTTAAATTGTGCTGGTCCCTGGATGGTGCAGAAAGCGAGGTTGGTGCAAAAAGCGGGCCTTGAGCCAATCAAAAAAAGAGTCAACTGGTATTGATGAAAGTATGGGGTCAATCATTATATAAAGATTCGAGAGAGAGGCCTCAAGTGCCGCTTTACAAAGCAGGGAAGGAAGGAAGGAAGAAAATACAGCCACCTACAAGAATTAAACATTTACACGTAAAGATAAATATTAATAAAATTTCCACTACGGCCCATCAGATACATGTACACCAGGCATGATGAATGATGTAATCTTTTTATAGAAATTGATCCTTAATGTTACGTCAACTGCTGAACCGTGCCCACACAGTTGAAGGCTGGCTGACCGGTCAGCAGCTACCTGCAGTGGTCAGCACATGCAGATTCCTGCACCGGTCTGGACCAGCACTGTTGAAGTCTTGCCGCTCTGATAGGCTACTGCCATTGATGCGGTGCAACGAACAAAGTGGCGGGAGCTGAGCGAAATCCAACTAGGGCATGGCGCTCGCAACAAGCTGCATGTGCCCGAGGAGAGAGTCTGGTGTGGCTGGGTAAAATGTCGACGGTTGTATTTGAGTGAGCACATGTCCTGCAATCTGTCAAGTATTTTTGTTCTTGCACGATTCATTCAGCTTGAACATTGCAGCAACAGTGCGTTCGACTCCAGAAGACGGGTAAAACGAAAAAGAACAAGAAAAGCGCTCGAGACACGCCATGGACTCAAATGCCCTTGGTCAAGAAAACCTGCTTAATGGCTTCGAGTTCGACGTTTTCGAGGCGTCACTCGATCAAGGGCAGACTCGCAGCGACGAGCCCGACGCGGATGCCCAATGCAGCGTCATCACAGACCGCGGCCGCCATAGCAAATACAAGGTACAAGCTCTCCTCAAAACGTGTATACACGGGGTGTTAGATGCCACGTCCAAAACGCCTGCGTCCTTGATCATTGTCGACTACTTCCTCTCCAATCTGGAGGAACAGGGGCGCTACAGCTCCGTCACGACCACTTTCGACTTTGAGCCGCATGTGGAAGACGAGCTGGGCCTTGGAGACGGGCATGGCAACCCACTCGATACCCCCAACATCACGGCGTATGCCCCGTTTGAGGCTGTGCGCTGGGGCCAGACCACGGCCCAGGAGAGCAGCAAGCACAACTTGGACGCCTCCATTGAGCCCGAGGTTGAGGGTGCCAAGGCGGGCAAGATTGGATATGCATACGAGAGTACCACGTCGCATGAGCAGCGCTACTTTACACAAGGCCTGGCAGGGCGTCACTATGTGCCCAAGGGCCCGGCTCGTGGCGTCGCCGATCAAGTTTGGTGGAATATGCAACACAACTTCAGTCAGCACAGTGGCGTGCCACCGCATTTTCGTACGGCAATCCTGCTAACCAGGCGCTCCGAGGCAGCAGAAAAAAAATTCATTGCCCACTTTAAAATCGCTGTGCGTGGGGGGTTCTGGATGAATATGAGTGCCCTCGTCGACGTCTTCTTACGTCGAAGTGTCCAAGATAGACCTGTCGTGTTTGATCCTAGCATTCGGTTCATGGGCGATGAGCTAGATGGGATTGAGCCCAATGCCGACGGTGTATACGAGCTTGGTCGCCTGGCCGTGGGACGAGAGTTGGTCAAGCTCACCGGCATCTGGGGACTGTCTCCGTTGCCCAAGGCTTAGTGTTGGCTTTGATCGTCGATAATAAAAAGGGTTGTTTTCGAATTGAATCGGTGAATACGGAGTAGTGTATTCATTCAACCTTTTAAGCGAGTAAACTGGGTGGATCGGCGATGAGAGCACTTGAGGGCACGATTGGGCCCGTTCCCGACCTCCATGTCGCTGATCTAGGGGGCCCACAGTTTCTCGTTCTGATTGACAGCATCATAACAATCCAATCTGGACAGCGCAGTGCACTCTGCATGCCTGATCAGAAATCTTGGCTGTGGGATGTACACTTCATCAATAGGGTGACTTATTACCTGGAATTTCTCAGATGAAATTTTGTTTAGTTTTTCCAGCTTTGCTGATAACCGCTGTAAATGCCCAGTGCTGGTCTTTGATGAGGCGAGGGGAATGCGTGATGCAGGCGGAATAACGGAAAGGCTAGCGGCTATATATGGGACCACAGTTGAGCGGCATATGGAGGACCCACCAATGACATGGATAGATGTGGTGGGTGGACCACGATGGCCGCGCTAGTCCGAATCCAATCATTTACCAGTCCTTTGAGACGAGTCTTTTTTGTGATATTTCAACGATCTGCGTTGCTGCCTCTACAGGACAAGCGTTTAGATTTTTTCTCAGCAAAGGTCTTTTAAATATAACAGCCTGTGGATGAGTCTGGAAGGAGCGCAGTTGAATGGCCTTCCATGGGCTCTAATAGTTTCTTCCTTGGAGCCTCGTTGAACTATCGCCGATCTTGCCCCTATAGATGGAGCAATCAAAGAGGGCCCGTTTCAAGGACAACCTCTAGAAATGCATAGAAGCAGCTTGGGCAGTCGGCTAAAGAGCCACTTGCTTGATTGAGTCTGACGCTCCATTCGGCCGGGGCGCTTGCTTGCCTATTAAGAGTATATAGGGAGTAAATGCAGCAGTACTTTGGCGAATACGTCCCGACGTCCAGCTTGTCAGTGTGCCTATTTGGCTTTCTCTCCATGGCCTTGACAAATATCTAAGCTATTTTTGCCCAGTGGAAAAGTTGTTTCATGCTTGTGTAACTTCTATATTATGGCCGACACATATAAGAAATGCCCGCCTACTAGTATTCGGGGGTGTGAATGTGCGACTGCATCAAGCATTCACAAGTCTTTGCTTCCTATTCACTACATCACGCATTTGCACAGTAACTTGTAGCTTAGGCTATTTTAGTATTTCTCAATCATAGTATGCTACATCTGTGACAAGGGCTCGGAAAGAGGGCTTGGAGCAATAGCTCAATTCAACTAATAACAGTCTTTAGTATCAAAGGTCCTTGGTTTTCCTTAAGGCCTTGAGGGACTAAAGACGTCTATTTATACAAGAAGTCGGTGAGGGCCTTCTGCCCTAATCCCGTGACCGTAGCCCTTGTGTAACAGGGCGATTTCCGTGTAACAACATCAGCCTAATAAAAAATTGTCTCATGCTGCGTAACTTGTATACTGTCGTTCATGCATATCAGAAAGAGTTCTTGTCCAACCCTCCATCTACTCCACGCGCCTTGACGTCCGTAAATTTGTTTTGATAACTAAAAAAAGGGGCCAACAATTTCGGGGTGGTGATACTTCATGCCATTGCACGTAATTGATTGTATGCCATCTCTATTCACCCACTAATAAAGTCCGGTGGACTTGACGAGAGCGAATGTGTGGATAAATAACAAAAGTACAACAGAACTTTTTATTGGCTTCAAGGGGACCAAAAAAAACATACAACACCAGGTATTCGCGGGTCGTCACCGATCCAGCTACTAATCCGGCACTCGCTAGGTTATCCAACGGAGTTCGAGACGGGATCCAGATTTATCTAGCGGTTATGGTCGTATGTGTCCGAAGTAGAGACAAAATTCATTTATAATAGCGTCTTGAATCACTTTTTTCTCCTGTTTAGTCCGGCGTACAAGTCGCCAGCGCTGCGGAAAAGCCCGCTGCATGCATATGTCTAATTTTCGACGTCTTGCACGTCGCTTTTGACCCATTCATCGGTGGACCTATCCAACCACCCTTTTACGGAACCTAACGTATTGTATCTTCAAGTAAAACCGCCGCAGTATACTGTAGGAATTCGCGGGCGCATACGGGGCCATCTTTCGCCCAGGCAACTTGCGCGTGTCTCGTCCGCTTTGAACAACCTCATTTCCTAGGAGGCCGTATCTAGTCCGACCCAAGAGCTCGAAATATGCTGTCAGTGTAGGTTGGACCTCCCTGGAGCGCCTGAATTCAGAGCTTGCGCCGGTGCAAATGGCACAATAAAACAAGACCGAGTGACTATGAAGAATGCGTACGAGAGCAGAGATGGTGCCAATCCTCTCGGGTTGAAGTGATATCCCGGCGGGAATAGACACGGCACAAGCCTGGCTGTTGCTCCATTTCAGCTTCTTACAAGTGCATAATAATATGTATGACCTCAAAGCACAGAGCTAAATTATCAATTCTTATGCCTCGTGTCATTCTATATTTTACATATTTCGGAAACAGGATTAGCATATGGCCTAGGTATTAGCTGAAGCCTGTAGCGACTTTCTACAAACTTTTTGATATTATTGCATAGTTGGATACAAAATCACAAAACATCGAGACCAGCTGACCATGTGGTAATTCTTGTATCCTCAATTTTCATAGTTATTCGAATCACTTCGCCGTCCCATATAACCCTGCTAACCTACGGGTTATACGCCGCCATGCCATCGAAGCTGGTGTCAATGGTATCAACTTCCCATAAAAATCAGCAGTTAATTAATCCCCCGCCCTCGAGTCAGTCTGCTTGCCTGAATGGCCTCTCTTCACCCATATTTCGCCAATAGCATCGCCGGGCTCATCGACGCACACCCAGTCCCCAATACCATACTCCTTGGGCGCTCGTCTCTTGCCTCGGCCGCCTCCGCCCATAATGAGGTTCCCTGGGCGGTAACTCTCAACCTCGTTCAGCCTCCTGATAACACTCCCATGGACCCGGACACCGTCGGGAATATCGCGCACCTCGCCACGGGGCAATGGCCACCGGATAGGCTTCCAGGACCCGTTTGGCTGCAGGTCCATCCTCCGGAACGGGAGATACTCCATCAATTTCCAGGCCGTCACCGCCATGGATCCTAGCCCTCCTCCGTACTGTAAACAATCATGGAGACGGGAGGTATGTGCCTTGTGCATCACGTCCTGCAGGCCGCCGTCCTTCTCGTTGATCTCGGGCACGTCAGCTTGCGCGGCGTCGCTCTCGCCCTGGACTCGAATAGCTGGGTTTGGACGGCGAGGCTGAACGTCGACGGGCTCAATGCAGCATTCCATATCGGCGACCTTTTCCATGTCGAACAATAGCCCGGCCTTCATGGCTTCGCGAACAATCCATGCCAGGGGCACGTGGCTCGCGCTCTTGCGGTCGTCCAAGGCCTCCCATCCACCCCCTACGTCGCCGTGGCATCCTGCGAACCACACCTCGTCAATGTCCTGCTGATCGTCCCCATCGCCTGGGCTTGCTTCGGAGCCTATCAAGTGTGCTCTGTCGTCTTCACTGAGGCGTACCTCCTGGGTCTGCGACCGCGGTCTATACGAAGTGTAGTGCGAAGAATCAGCAGGCTTCTCACTTGGCCGGGACTGGTCATCTGGACGGACGTCGTGATGCTGTGTATTGCCATTCGTGGCCGACTTGGCTATGGACGACTGCTCAAGCGGCCGGTCCTCGTGGCTTTGTCGGAATTGATCGAGCCATTGTTCAATCTGATGGCGATGGGGGCTGCCGCCTGGTTTGTGCTGATACATGAGGTCCTGGCGGAATTTGGCCCGCCTCTCATCGATGCTCACGGCGTGGCGAATCACCTTTGCGCTGCTGCGCGCCGTGTATGGGAACTTGCTGCGCTGCATCCAGGACGTTTCGAACCGCGGAACTGAGTTGACGGTGTCGAAGAGGCCGAGGAATCGGATCCTTCCAACTGGCCGGGAGAAGGTCTCGCGGAAACCCTTCATATACTCGTACATCTTGTTGGTCTTGAATTCTGCTTCCACCTTCTCTCGGCCCTCAAAGTCCTTGCTTTGCGGCCTGCTCTGCCATTGAGAAAATGCTTTCCAAGCGAACCGTACCATTTCTTCGTTGCCGTGTGATAGTAACCCTATATGATCGAGCATTTGGGCCAAGAACCTTGCGATATAGGCCCCTCTACTGAAACCGAATATGTAAATCTCGTCACCGGAATTATAAAACCTCATGAGAAAGCGGTAGCCGCCAACTACATGCTGGTCAAAGGACGTGCCTACGGCAGAGTCTTTGGTCTTCTGGTACCATGAGTTGAAACGTGCACGGTAGCCACTGTTAGTGAGAGATGTAGAGATGGCATACGTGCCTATTCCAGCTATATTTGTCACATTAGCCTCGTCATCGTTCATAGTCCGAAGGGGAAAATGGGTGGCTAACGCTGGTAGTAGTGGTACTGGTCGCTTGATGATCGGTCCAGCATGCGGAAGATCTTGAGAATGTTGCTGTCGCTGTCGTCGCCATGAAACTTGTCTCCAGTACCGTCAAAACAGAGGACCAGCTTTCGCGGTCTGCGGCTGCCGTCTCCGATGGCACCGAAAGATGTGTCGGGGTCCATTGTGCTTGTGCTACTCACTAAGACTTTTGGTCGATTTGGTTCCGAGTAGTCTGCTGGTGAGCGTTTTATGAGTTATGGTTGATCTGACGCCCAAGAGCCACAGGGTGGTATTGCGAGGTTGATAGTCTTTAACGCCCAGGAAAACCTAGCTCGTAAGAGGCTTACAACTAGGTCAGTACTGGCTTGCAGTTATGATTTGTATGAACAGAAGATAAGACACGGAGCCATTTCCAGTCGCGGGCTCCGGATGGAGAATTCTTATGCGCAATATCTGGCATCTTGCACCGGGACGGTCGGCATCGTTTTGTCCTGGTAGAGTTTGCAATCGCCGCCACCAATGTCATCCGTAGCATCGACTTGCAACAAACTTCAAAAAGTATCTGGTAAGCACACTCAACCCACCCTCTGTAATAATATCAGCTGAATGGAGACTTTTCAACACCTCGTTTAATTGTCCTTTTATATCTCCATGGTGGTCGCCCTGCGCTTTCCTGCTGCTGACGGTTAATGATGCCTGACATACCGACACATCGTCATAAGCTCAATAAACAGCCCACGGCTGCGAAAGTACATATTTCTGCATCATGGTAGATAAGCTTTACGACGCCCATGCCATCCACCACCAACGACACGGCCGATGGGCCACTACCGGCACAGTCAAAAGGTAACTTTTGGTTAACATAAAGTCTATATATGCCACTTGGCCGCATGCAGTCGCATTCAAGCCATAATGTCGTCGGCGGCATGGCATCGAGTAACAGCAGTCGCTTCGTATCTTGTGCTTCTGGCAATAGAAGCGTTTGATGATTTAAGACAACACCTGGGCGTCACTGGCAGTCAGGATGTGCAAAATTACTGCCGAAACTGGTATACAATTTGGCCGATTCCCACCTGCTTCCACATCTCTCCCCTCCATTTTTCTCTCAACAATTCAGCTGCTCTTTCTGAACCACCTGCCAAACAATTACTTCAAAGAGCTTCACCATGCCTGCTAAAATTCAGACATTAATGAGCGCGATTAGGCGAAAGCCTGAAAGGGCCCCAGATGGAAAATCAGACCAGGAAGCTTCTGCAGAGGTGCAAATGAAAAGAACCTCGATCAGTCATGACCTCACCCATCTCAAACCCAAACAGGCCACGACAGTCGCACATGCCATCACAACACTTGCCTCGGGGAAGCCTCTGGACGACAAGGACCTTCTACTCGAAAAGGGAGTTTCAATGCTTCAGACTCTGCCGCCCAACAGCGGCTTGAGCAGCACCATCTCGGACGGGTTCATCACCATGCTGTGGAACGACCTGCCTCATCCTGCCACAACGACGGCTGGCATTACGGCAAGATACAGGCAACACGACGGCAGCGGCAACAATCCCTGGATCCCGGATATGGGCAAAGCTGGGTCACCCTACTCTCGCAGTGTTCCTCCAACCAAGCCCAAGGGCCCGAATCTTCCGGACCCCGAGTTGGTCTTTGACAAGCTGCTGCGGAGAACCGGGCCCTTTCGCCCACACCCGTCGGGACTCAACCGCATGTTTTTCTCGTTTGCTACCATTGTCATTCACGAGTGCTTCCAAACCTCTCGAAGTGACCAGTGGATCAACGAGACGTCGAGCTATGTAGACCTGAGCACGCTGTATGGCAATACGGACAAGGAGCAAAAGCGTGTGAGAACCTATGAGAATGGAAAGATCTTTGCGGATTCTGTGGCCTCTGACAGGATTATGATGATGCCGCCAGGTGTAATTGCCTTGTTGGTCATGTTTTCGAGAAACCACAACAAGATTGCCGAGGATCTGCTGTCCATCAACGAAGACGGAAAGTATAAGCCCTGGGATAGTCTTGGCGAGCAGGAAAAGAAGTGGTCAGTCATTCAATGTCCATTGCCATCAGAAGACGGTGCTGACGTATTCACAAATGATCTAGGCAAGACGAAGATGTTTTTCAACTTTCTAGAAACATCAACGTCGGGTTCTTTGCGTCTATCGTCCTGAAGGACTACGTCGCAGCTATTCTCAACACCCCCCGCGCCAATTCAACCTGGTCCCTTGATCTTGGGGCCGAAATCAAAAAGTCTGGGCGGCGCATGGAGCGTGGCATCGGAAACGCCGTGTCGGTCGAGTTTGCCGTCCTGTATCACTGGCATGCCGCGCTCAGCTCGGCCGACGCCAAATGGATGGAGAACATGCTGAGACTCCATCTGCCTGAGCTGAAGTCGCTCGACGACGTCACGGTGGAAATGTTTACAAAGGTCGCAATGGCGGCGGAGCGCAACCTAATGACCACGCCAGCGAAAGAATGGACGTTTGGAGGCCTGCAGAGGGGTCCGGATGGGAAATTTTCAGACGTTGATCTTGCTGAGATTATCAAGGATTGCATCGAAGAGCCGGCACACTCCTTTGGAGCCCATGGGACGCCGGAGAGCCTCAAGGTGGTGGATATCATGGGCCAGTTGCAGGCCAGGAATGTGTTTAACGTGTGTACTATGAACGAGTGAGTGCAAATCTTGGGTTCCGACGTGGTTAGCATGTCAAGCTAATGGCGGCCGCTTGCGGCTATAGGTTCCGTCGATTCCTGAACCTGAAGCCGTACGAGGACTTTGAGGATTGGAATCCGGACAAGGAAACCGCCAGAGCTGCGGAGCTCTTGTACGGCCACATCGACAACCTCGAGCTGTATCCCGGCTTGATGGCCGAAGTGACGAAGCCCTCCATGCCGGGAAGTGGCGTCTGCCCCGGACACACGACGGGCAGAGGAATTCTCGATGATGCCGTCGCCCTTGTGAGAGGAGATCGATTCCTTAGCTACGACTTCAACAGCACCACCTTGACAAACTGGGGCTTTTCCAAGCTGCATACACTTCCGGCCGGAGCGTACGGCGGAATGATGCCTCATCTTCTGTTCAATGGTCTTCCGGGCGCTTGGACTGGCACCTCGGCATACGCACTGCTCCCGTTTTATACTCCCATGGCGGCGAAGGAAATATTGACCCATAACAAGAGTGCTGAGCAGTACGATATGCAGCGGCCGGCTAGCGGTCGGGACATTATTGGCATCCATACGCACCAGGGCTGCAAGAAGGTTTTTGAAGACAGAGAAACCTTCAAAGTCATGTATCAAAAGGCCATTCGCGAGTGCACAGACGGACACGACTTCATGATTGGATGGGACGATGCCGAGCGACACAGCCCGCGATCAAAATTACTCCACGCCGTATTTTTCGAGGAGAGCTTCGAGCAAAATGTCGCCAACTTCTTCCGCACCCATGCCGCCAAGCAAATTGCCGAGCATTCGGTGACGTACTCGTCGAGTAAAAGAAGGTCTATCGACATCGTCCGCGACGTGACCAACGTCGTGCCCATTCTCTGGCTGGCGAACCGGTTTGCCATTCCCCTCAAGAGCAAAGACCATCCCCATGGACTGTTGACAATACCCCAGACCTTCATGGCCTACCTCGTCCTTTTCATGTATCAGAGCTTCAACATCATCCCCGAAAACGAGTGGGCCCTGAGGGAGGGAGCTACAACCGCGGCACAAACTCTCCGCACCGTTTTTGACGCCCACCTCAAGACGACGCGAGGCGTGAGGGAGCGTGTCGTAGACTGGCTCGCCAAGAACAGCGCATTTGAAGTCAGCCCCGATGCGCACCGACTCTACCACGCCCTCAACGAGTCCAAGCTGCCCATTGGCGATCTGGTCGGCGACTGCATCGGCATGGGCGCCCCGGTCGCCGGCAACATTACCCAGCAGGCCTCTCTGCTGATTGACCTGTTTCTCAGCAAAGGATACGAAGAGTACAAGGCGCGCATCGTCGAGCTCGCCCACAAGGACGACGAGGCGTCGGAAAGGGAACTCCAAGGCTTTGTGTTCGAAGGCATGAGACACGCCGGCGTCGTTCCGGGCCTTCCGCGCGTTGCGGCCAGGGACGTCACAGTCGAAGACGGCGCCCGCGGGCCGGTCGATATCCAGAGCGGGAATACGGTTCTCCTCGCGACTTCCAACGCCGCCATGGATCCTGTGGCCTTTCCCAACCCGGAGAAGTTGGACCCTCACCGCCCCTTGGAGGACTATACGCTGCTTGGGTGCGGGCTACACTATTGCTTCGGGTCGAGAATGGTGGGTGCGTCGCTTGCCGCCACGCTGAGGGAGGTGTTTAGGTTGAAGAATTTGCGGAGGGCGCCGGGGAAGCAGGGGCATTTCACGGTGGTTCGTCACACGTTGGCTGGGGTTACGATGAAGAAGTACCTTGATTCTAATGCGAAGGAGTCTCCGATACCAAGTTCTCTTACGTTGGATTACGATGCCGAGTAAGTTATGTAGTGGCGGCGTACGGGTGTTGGAAATAAATTGCTACCGGTCCGGCTAAGGGTGTGCACTTCAACCTCGTATGCAAGTTATGACTAGACAAGTTTTCCACACACCGGACGCTTCCAACACTTTTCTGTTGGTTGTATTGCTAGTGACTGTTGTAAACAGGCAGGAAGCTTTGACAAATATTTATCGTATTCTGGTGTTGGTGGACTTTTGTTTTACTATTAAAAGGGTCTCGGGCGCTAATGAGATCTATTCGCCAAAAGGGGTTAAACTACGACTACTAATAGCAATAAACTATACTTGGGGTAACTTGGAAGTTATAGCAAAGTATAATTATATTATACTATATCATATTTTACTAAAAGCTACAAACCTATATTATATTTAGTACTTTGGTTATACTACTTAGGTTTAGCCGTTGTGCGTGTCTGCCCGCGGTCACGTTGTGACAAGGGCTCTGAAAGAGGGCTTGGAGCAATAGCTCAATTCAACTAATAACAACACTGTCTTTGGTATCAAAGGTCCTTGGTGTTCCTCAAGGCTTTCAGGGACAAGAGACGTCTATTTATACAAGAAGTCGGTGAGGGCCGTCTGCCCTAGGTCTCGTGACCGTAGCCCTTGTGTAACCAGCCATTTCCGTGTAACACACGTGAAGTAATTCTATTAAATTAAAAAAAGGCTAAATACTAGATATCCAGTAATAATTTATTTCAGCTGTACCCAGGCTAGGGAATTATAATAAACCGAGCGATATAGTATTGCCAGGCTAAACAGAGATAGTCAGACGCCGTTGGCCTCGATGTCTGCTTTCTCCAGCGCTCGATTTTTCTTTCTTATTGATTCTTGGTTGGTTTTCGTTGGGCTCGCCGTTCGCGCCGTGTCAGACAATTGGCTCCACAGATCGCAGCTACCGTCAACTTGCAGTAAGTGATGAGAATCATCTTGAAGAGACAGCTGTAATCGCACGACAATGCGCTGCTCTTGATACACAAAGGAAAGCGTTGCTTGCGGTGCAGCGCCCTCTGGGCTATTCTGCACCACCGAGCGTACGTTGCCGCTTTGATACGCTGCTTGACGCGGGAATATGCAGCCCTCTTGTCCATTAGAAGCTTACTTTGAGCCGGGCAGATGACGGCTGGGTCGTCGCCAAGAGGGTGAGCGGTTGGTTGGGCGTGATTGCGCGCAGCAGAAAGGTTTACTTCGCCAGAGACAAGTGGCGCTATTGTGACAGCACTTGAGCCGTAGAGATTTGCCGTTGAACATCAAGACATGTGATGTAGTCGGGTGACGCGGCGAGAACATGACGCAAAGTCGGAGCTGATCAAAGCCCTCAAGCGACAGCTTGCATCGACCAAGTACTTACAGCCCAAACCTCGAGGCGTTTTAATAAAGGTTGTCGCTCATTCAGTCCTTCAACAACGAGGCGATGTTCGGCTAGTAATCACCGTCTCGACCTGAATTTCCGGTGTGAGCTTCCCCAGGCCCCCAGTAGTGCTCACTGCTCCCAGACCACCCGACGACGAGTCCTCGGAGACGGCGTTTGATGACCTGTTGACGGACTGCATGGCGTACTTGTACTGGCCAGCGCCTCCCACTTGTCCGGCAGTTATGCGGATTTGCGACGTTGACGGGAGGTAAGTGTCGGCATTCTCGCATCGCGCAAGGCGTGTGATGAGGTCCGCCATGGACATTTCAATGTTGAGCTTGACCATGTAGGCCACGGGGTGGAACTGTATGTAGACTACCTGATTAGGCAGTGACATGAGTCCAATAAGCAGGCCCTAGCCGCCCTCGACGTTAGTAAAGAAACTCGAGATTCCCGGGTGAAATACGTACGTCCATGCAGACCGAGAGGACCATGAGCTTGGCGTTGAAGCTAACCAGGGGCGTATATTTGGTCAAGGAGTGCTGCACAATGAGCCTTCTCTTCACGGTGCGCAGAAAATAGTAGTTGAGTCCGGCGTCGACGAGCAGGATGAGAATCTTGGAGATGCGGTCCCACACTCTGTTTATATCTACGAATCTGTGATTCGCGGATTAGCTATGCCTCATCTTTGGCCTCGGGGTAACATACAGCTGGCTAACTGGCGGGACGGTGTGTGCCGGAATCCAGATGCAGAACACTGCAATGTTGATGCAGGTGATGAAGAAGGCGGTGCCCCATTTGAGGTTGAATATCGTACTCCTGTGTTCTGCAATGATGGCAATTCGATTGATGATGATTTGCATAAGCAGTTGGATCTGGAGAACCCAGAGGCTCAGGATGCAAAATAAAACCGGTACCCTAGAAGCGGTCAGGATGCCGGTCTGCGGCTGGAATGAGCCGTACACTTACGTGGGTGATATGACGCCGTCGAGGAGGAGATATCCCACGACACCAATGGCAAGGTTGGCGAGAATCTCGCCCCAAATCATGTAGATGTAGGCGCTTCTGCATGGGCGCTTGTTCCTGCGGGTCTGCTTGATGGCTTCCCAAACGGTCAAGAAGCCGAATCCCAGGGTGAAGCCGGCAGCCAGGGTGGCAATCTGAATATCCCCTTTGGATGCCATGGTCGTCTGGTGGCTGGGCCAAAAATATCGGACAGTGGAGGGCTCTGTATGAGAGAGGAACGAGATTCTATTTATCTGCAATCGAATGGGGACTTGTGGGAAATATCGTCGGCCTTGGCCACGTGGCACTGGGTCTCCGTGCCGCCGGACACAACCAGCCATGTTCTTGACTTGACGTATTGACATCTGGTAGGTCCTGGGCCACGGACCTCTTCTCCGAGTTCTAAGCGAGTATCCATACCGATCAAGCTGTGCCACGGACCGGCTTGGCCGTGTAAAGTGGGCATGCCTTTGGGGCTCAATGAAGCTAGGGGACAATAATGTGCTGCTAAATCCGATAGACAGCTAGCATGCATGTAGAAGCAGCTCGAGTTAAGGTTTACTATGGGAACAGAACGGCGAGAAAGTACAAGGCGATATCGAGGAGCCGGCGGTGACCGACCGTTTAGTATAAAGCCTTGATTATTTTCTTTTTTAATAACTCACTTTTATTTTAATCAATTAAATACGATGTGCGACGCGATTTGTTGGTATTAAATCAAGGGCGAGTAGGTAAAAGACGGAAAGTACTTTGTACCTCCTGCCCAAAGACGAGGGCCGCGGATACATCAAATGTCAACGTGATGTCATCGTACATACATGTAGCTACCAACTCCCTAGGCTGTCCCTCAAGTGCTGACAAGGCCGGTGCGCACCACAGGCATTTGGTGAGAAGCATTGACCAGACTAGACCGGACCAGACTGCACCAGACTACATATGTACATGTGTAGCGATTTGATTTCGGATGCCCGCAGGGGATCCCATCCGGACCGTTTACCGGGCCCGCAAGAATAACCACATGTGGTGGCTGCAGAGTCTTCATTGTTGGTGCGCCGCATCTGCGCCCGCACACGTGGCCACGGGTTTGACAAGCCGGCAGAACCCTGTCTTCTCAGCTGGAGCTCTCACCAAGATTACCCAACTAGTTGGACATCGTACCCTCCAGACCTTTTAGGCAAGTTTCGAAGGCGGTCAGAGCGTTGAAGCCACTCCTGAATCGAACCATCCCTCCCAACGCCTGCCCGTGGCTCTCAAGCAAAGACTCGACAGCACCGCACTTGAGCCGGCGCTTTGACCAGACCGTCGCTTTCTGTCAATGGTTGACGCCACCGCTACCATTGCGCCTTGACATCAGCAACCAGACATCAGACGATAAAATCAGACAATGGTCCATCGAGCAGTCGACTGCGGCATTTCCACACGCGAGTCCGTGAGCCAACAAGTCCGGTCTGGTCTGGTACCTATGGCTAGGGCGCATCATCACACCGAGATGCCCGCGCGAGACATTATAATCCTACGCGCACATTCCCCAGGCTTTCCCACTCCAATGTTGTCAAGTCCAACAGACACCGTCCCGTCCCATCATTGATCTTACCCGATGGCTTCGTCAGAGTTGCGCAGGCCTGCAAAGGCGCAATCGCTCGCCCGCCACCTCGACTTGCGAAACACCTACGCAGACGACAATGAAACCGCAGGCATCAGGATCGAGAACTGCATCGGCTTCAGCAAGGTGCCCATCGGACTCGCGGGGCCCCTGCGCGTCTCCGGCCTCGACTTCCAAGACGACGCCTACGCGCCCCTGGCCACATACGAGCCAACCCTCGTCGCCAGCTGCTCTCGCGGCTGCAAAGCCTTCAACCTCTCGGGCGGCGTGCGCTTCGATGTCCTGGGAAACTCCATGTCCCGCGCTCCCGTCTTCGTCTTCCAGCACCCCGGCCACGCCGTCGCCTTCTCCCGCGCTCTCCCCGCCTTCCGCGCCAGCTTTGCCCAGTGGGCAGAGTCGACGAGCAGCCACGTACGGCTCCAGGAATTGCGAGCCACCGTCATAGGCTCCCAGGTTCACGTCTTCTGCGGCTACCACACGGGCAGCGCCGCGGGGCAGAACATGGTCACCAAGGCCACGCAGTATGCCTGCGACATGCTCCTCAGCGCCTGCCGAGACCGCTTCTCCATCCGGGACTTTGTCATCGAGGGCCAGCTGTCGTCGGACAAGAAGCCCTCGTGGGGGAATGTCAAGACCCCGCGGGGTGTCGAGGTGCTCGCCTGGGGGACAATCACGCCGTCTGCTTGCCAGGCTGTGCTTGGGTGCAGTACGCAGCGGCTCTACTGGGCGCAGCAGACTCTCAAAGAGGGCGGCATTCGCAACGGTCAGTTCGGCTCAAATATCAACACGGCCAATGTTTTTGCGGCAATGTTCATAGCAACGGGTCAGGATCCGGGGAGTACGGCTGAAGCCTCCTGGAGCCATTTGACTTCGGAGCTGGATCCAAGCACAGGGGTGCTGACTATGAGTCTTTACGTGCCTTCCTTGCCTGTTGGGACTGTCGGTGGCGGGACCGGATATTCGACGCAAAAAGAGGCCCTGGGCTTGCTGAAATGTGATGCGCCCGGCATGAAAGACCGACTTGCTGGCATGATTGCCTCTTTCGCCTTGGCTCTTGATGTGAGCACAAGTGCTGCTATTGCCAATGACACCTTTACAGATAGCCATATGCGACTTGCTCGCGGAGGGACACGAGAAAAGCTATGACGCATGTTTGGCGACTGCTGCGTTGGGAATCGACAACTGGTAAAGACTACCAGGTTCGAGTAAAGGAATGACGGGGTGAAGCTACCTGGCAGAGAGTGGGAGCTGCAACGGCGCCGTTGGGAAATCAGGCCCCGACGTGACCAAAGCTATCGGGGCAAGATATATATTGCAAATACGAGGAGAGGGTAGTCTACACTCTCATGCAACAAAGTGTTGGTTCCGCCTTATCATGGGCGGCAACATGCAGTACAGTGAACAAACTGGAAACTGGCCATCATTTGATGGGCTCACCAAATCACGTCGCCCAGGAAAGAAGGAAGAAGATGCAAACACAGTTACGAGCATGTCCCCGCGGGATTGCGGCGGCCATCGATGCATTTATTCACTCGGAGCTGGCCGCGCAGAGCTGAACGGAGGGCCGGGCTACCGCCGCAACGCTACAAAAGAATTTTTTTTATTAGCCTATAAATTTATAATAACATATTTTTGTAATAATTCACATTATTTCAAGTATGATATAAGTTAATTCCGGGGAGTAAAACTAAAATATAAGCTATATATACAAAAACTAATATCATGTTCTTGCGGCTCTAGCGACCCGTATACTTGCCTCGACGCAGTACAGTCAAGGTTGGATAACAGAGTCATGGCACCTGGGAGCTATAAATATAGATGCACTGCACGCTTAGCAATCCTAGATACCGGCTGATAATGCGCAAGCTCTAAAAGTAGCGGACAGACAAGTTCTACAAAACGGTGAACAGGCACTTGGACGACAAAAAAATAGCACAGCGAAAACACCAAACCCGATTGCGTAAACAAGAGTAGTCTCTATCATGGTTGCATTAGGAATGAAATAGAAATCGAAAAAAGTCTGCAAGGTGAGGAGACTGGTTATATACTCTAATGCATTGTGTCAACCCAACAAAGGGCCTAGCGGTAAGAGTCTAATATGGAAGACTCCCAACTATATATGCAGCGTAGTCATTACTCACTGGATTATGATGGTATTGTCGCCGACGTCGTCGGTGATATCTAGTCTAACTAAATTCCAAGTACGCAGGCGTTATAGTATCGCCAATAATACCCTGTTGCGGAGGAAATAAGAAACCTCATCAGCGCCCTCCGTTATGCCGTCTGGCTGTTTCTCTGTTTCCCTGTTTCCCTGTTTCCCTGCTTCCCTGTTCCCCTGTTCCCCTGTTATCTTCTTCTCTTTTCATCGCTCTGACACAGCTTCATCGCTGCCGCACTGGACGATCACGCCACGCAAAAGAAATTTTGCAATTATTGTATGCAGTGGTCGCGTCACGAGTCAAGGAATCGTATTTTATGAGCTACACAATCAATGCATACAGCATATTTAACATGTTGCCTATGTGCCCACGTCCCCGTCAGACATCCAGTGCGAGCCACCAGCACATCTATATTCGCCCGTCTGCTTGATTCAGTAATACCCCGCAGGACATGCCCCCAGTGCCTTCAACTTGTCTTTTTTGGTCGCTTCCTCCTTCCTACGCTTCTCTTCATCTAGCAACTGTCTCACTGTTACACGGAAAAGGCCCAACAGATTGTGAAGCCCAACAAAGGGGCTTCGCCGATACAGGACCTATTGGTTACACAGCTAGAACACGTGCCCGGGCAAGGACCCTAGGCCCGGGCGTTCCTTTCATGTATATAAAGCAGTCACCTTTCCCTTCCTTCCTCTTAGCAACTCAGGACCTTTGACATCCTACGAGATTATTATTGAATTGAGCCCTTTTTGCTCCAAGCCTTCATATTGAACCCTTGTCACACTCACAATACGGTTCCGATCAGCGCCTCTGGCTGACTTTTGCGCTCCCTTCAGATTTCGACATTCTGGATCCATATAGTTCATCATCGCCGAACTTGGACTTCGAAAGAAATTGAGTTTTAAAACCTGGCGCGACGACAAGAACACATATCTTGGGCATAGACCTGATTAGGTGAGGGCGGATGCGCAACCTAGTCAGTTAGGATGCCCTACGTCACCATAACTGTGGACGATATACGCCGGTCCCAAGAGACAACGATAAGAGATATATTTCAGAAACAGTAATACCAGAGCTGACGTTCGGTAGATAGTTCGGCGGTAAAATCTCCATAATATTTGAAAACCTTATCAGTAATCTTCAACCACCGCTGGTGAAGCTTTGTGATATAATGAGCCTTCGTGTAATCCCAGTATTCCGGATACCATCCTGAGTTCTCCCAATCGACGATCCCTGAAAGCCTCCCATTACGCATCAAAATATTTCGCATATTCAGATCCCCGTGCGTAAACACGATTTGATGCCCGCTGCGATGCGAAACATGCGGCAATGCGCCGACGCGAAGGGTGTCGTTAAACTCCTCCTCGGTAACAAATGGTCCAACGAAATCTCCTCTGTCACTGTCAACGTTCAACCCCGCAATGATTCTGTAATCATAACATGCCTTGCCAAGAGCATTGGTGATGGCATATTGAGGGGCAACCACCTTCGGTATCGCCCGCAATTCCGCAAGGCTTCTCTGTAGGTCGCAAACTAGAGTCGTCTCCTCGTCATCGCTGAGCGAATCAATGCACATCCCAAGGCGGATGCCACTGACTCTAGTAGTCAGAAGATAAGACTTGTCCGAGTCTGATACAAGATCCAATGCGCGAGGAACTGGTATTTCTGTATGGCGCCTTACGAGCTGTATCGCAGCATACTCATTGGCCAAGCTGTCGTGATATTCCATACTCGCAACCTTGACGTACATGCCAAGCGGAAGTCTTTGAACCTTGAGGCTACAAGTCGGGCCATACATATGAGCCCCGAGACATATGAGACCACGATACGCTCTTACGCGGATGAGGGCCGGCACCAACATCCAAACCATCAGAACGGCTGTAGTACCCCATTCTGAGAAACAGTGCCATCGGGAAGCTGGCAGCAGGTTGGGGACTCTCTTAGATATTTTACTTGCGATCTCTCGCGAGACCAGAGCCCACCGAATGGGTTTCGCGAATCGTGACATGATTTGTAATGCAAAAGCGTCCGGACAATCCACACCGGAAAGGGATTGGGTTGTAAAATAGTCAGTCCGAAGGACTGGGATCTTCTCGATGATGGGGGGCCAAGCTGGACCCCCAATTCTGATAACACTAACACGGTACTTGGTTTGTGTAAGTACGGGTGACCTAAATGGTTGAACATAAGAACAAGGGCAAAGGAATACCTACCTCGGATCCTTTGTCGATTGCGAACTGAAAAAACCCTTCGGAAAACGCTGCAGCCGCAGATTTGCGAAAAAGCCAATAATTCCGATAGGGATTTGAAGAGGTTGCGTTCGACAGCACCCAGTCCAGCAGGTCGGGTCCAACGAAAGCCCCAAAAATTTCATGCAATTTCTAAGAAAACCTGTCAATAAACGTAAAAATAATGTTTGACCAAGACAACAACTACCTCGTCCACGTGGATCTTCCCTGCTGGTAGTACAGGAGCGACGACCAGCGGATCCCAGAGAGAGTTGCCTAGTCCGGTGATGCAACACCTACCACGGTCTCTTGCGATGATGTTGGCAATGACGGCTTTGTCATGAAGTTGGTAGGTCGGGCCTTTGTGGACAACTGTTCGTAATTAGTATAACTTGACCCTACTCGGAACCTCGTCGACGTACACAAATTGATCAACTGTTTCCAATCAGACACAAACGATTCCAAATCGAGGCCACCCCCCTCAACAAAACATTTTTGGAGCATGTAGCGAGCGGCTTGCACAGGGTCTGCCGAGTCTTGGAGGAAACATTCGAGCAATTGTCCGTCTGGGTACGGACGTTCTATGCTCCGCACGAATTTCAGTGCCAGTTCAAATTCAGTTGTAGCCTCCGCCATGGACAATGTATCGTGGCGCTAACGCCGACCTTGTGCATCAAAAAGAAAGAAGGGAGAGAGAGGGAGAGGGAGAGAGAAGTTGTTCGAGGACAGCGGGATAAAAGGCACGGGGCGACACTTCTATTAGAACTTGAGTAATAGCTTAAATTTCTTAATTTTATAATATATATATATATATAATGTTATTAAATTAAGTAAATTTTAATTATAATTATAATATAAAATAAAAACTAGCTTGCCTAATATAATTTCCCCTATAATTCCCTTTTAAGTATTTTTAGTAGCTTTATTTAATCCTTGTTATTAGCCTAATTAGGCTAGCTAATTTATACTTGCTAATATTAATTTAGTTCGCAAAATTAGCGCTATTATATATTACTATTTATTAAGCCAGGTATATTACTAGTAGGTCCTGATAATTAACTAGCCTTTTTTTTTAATTGTTTTATAATAATTTAATATACTGACCTTTTTTAGCTTACTATTATTTTTTTATATTCTTAATTATTAAATAAATATTATTAATTATTGTTCGTTATTTCGCTTTATAGTTAAATAAAATTACGCGTATAATATAAGTATCGTGCAAGCTAAATATTATATATATTATAAATACCTAAGATATTATTTATATGTATTATTAAAGTAGCTAATATTAGTTAAGTATATTTATTACTAGACATTTACGAATTATATTTTAATTATAAATACGGTTTTTTAAAGTATTTACCCTCTAGATTTATAATAAGTAAAACTATATATATATTTTAATATAGCAAATATATTATACATAATTCTTATTTTAAATAATATGAAAAAAGAAATTTTAGTTTAAGTAACACTTGAACTTCTTTATAAAACCACCAGAGCCTTAAAGCACGTGAAGTAGTAACACCAATTCTGGGATGCAGCTTCTAAGCAGAATATTACACGTATTAATAGCAGTTATAGTCGGCCGGGCCTCCTTTATTATTATTCCCAGGTCATCGTTCTCGTCGAGGTACTAGTACTATTAGAGCACTGAAAAATGCCGTCGGTTAAGTCATCTCCGTTATGGCTGGTCAAAGTGGCGTCAGGCTCAGTCTTCAACGATGTTTTAATTGACTGGTCTTCGGCGCCACGCCCATCCGCGGCGTCGAGAAGCTGCAAATCGCTGCTGTTTATCGTCTCCACTTGACTCGCGGTTAAAGTCAAGTCGGTAATAGGGTTCGGACTAGGCGGGCCACGACGAAGCCAGCTCGGGCCATATTTGCCGCCCCCTCCAAACGACCGAAAGCCAGTTGGCGTCCTGTCACTTTGCTTCTGGGAGCCCAGTGAGAGCATTGAGCCAAACACTAGGGCAAACCAGCGGACGAATCGAGGAAATACTATAGGAAGGTTGGTCGTGACAACTGCGACGAAGACCTCTCGCGAAGCCCATAAACAGGCAAGACGCGTACCATTGATAGGGTCCTGTAATAACACAACATGACGTATTAGTGATTGAGTGACCTAAGAGCTGAGAGCTGGGGGGACTAGTTGGGAGAACGAGCGGGGAGATCTTACGGTAAAAACCAGGACAGAACGAAGCACAGCACAAACTGCAACTAATAAGCCCCCGCTGAATAACACTATAAGTCCTATTTTCTTTACAGGTTTCAAAGAGGATTTCCAAAGCAAGGGAACTGGTATAGATATCAGATATAAGTCGGTAAAAATATTAAGCGACATGTTGACCCAAATAATTTGGCTGGACACAGTCGGCTGACAAATATCTAGAGAGTAGTAGAACAGTTAATACAACGTGATCTGACCAGTCTAGGGCACGGAGCAGGCACCTACTCCCGGGATCCGGCTGAATCTGCCAGTATTTGTAGAAAGGGCGGCATGCGAGAAGGAGGTTTGCTAGGACAGCAATCCAGCTTGTAATAAGCAAACCAAAGCCGACGTAAATGCGAACAGCGTAATGCCGTCCAAGGCCTTCCTGCTTGACCCGTCACTAATTGATACAAGAAAAACTCGGGTATGGCTGCTACATACCGTCAATTGCAGGTACAAGAACAAAAGCGATGCTTTCAGCGCCCAGAGACACGCCATATAGCTCACCCAGCGCCCAATCTGAAACTTGGAGCCCATTACCCTATGCGCAAGTTAGGAACTGGTCATCTATTCTTATCTCGGTCTGGGTATTCGACCCAGGTAATAACGAACCGTAGCTGAAACTCGGCATTATCCGGTGCGAGTGCGGCTCGCTGTTCGTCCGTCATGCGGGTATTTGTCAGGGCCCAGGCCATGTAGCCGATACACGCCGAAAGCGTAGTTAGGATGGCATAGAATAGCTGACATGTGTTAGCGATGTGTGGAATTGCCCATGATAACATGCAAAAACATACCGCTCCAACCAACACTAGGTAATCATCGGCTCGAAGGCCTTTTAAACCCGCGGCTCTAGCCCGACCGCACACCCTAATAAATATTGCCAAAATACCAATCGCACAGAGCGTCACTTCTTCAATCGTTACGGCTGTAATGCTCGCTATCCAAGCCTCGCTAGGTTGGAACGGAACGGCAGGCGGCATGGTAGGACCTTGGAGAGTGTTTCATCTGGATTCCAGATTCAACGTCGAGAGGAGAGGAATAATAATAACACTGTTGAGAAGGGAAACAAAGGCCCCGGAGGCTATATATTGAGCCCTGAACGTCCCACCACACTACAGCCTGGTTGGTTGGGGGTTACCGGGAATTGGCGACCAGAGGCTTTCCAGGCTGGGTGGTAAAACGCGAGGCGTTTATCGGACAGGCCGGTGAGGTCACGCCAACATGGAGCCCATGGCTAATAGTGACAGCCACGTAGCCACCACCCCTTGGTCTGAGGGAGGTGTAGGACTACGAGCACGATTGGATAGAAGTAGGAAACACGAAATGCGCCAGGTTTAGGCTTAATTCTCTTAAAATACTACGCCACCTCTTGCAGGTTTGACCTGTGACTGTAAGAGGTTGGTAGTGGGGTTCTATGGGGACCTGTAGCGGTGCGGGCACCGTGCCGGCACCGTAACAGAGGTGCCGGGCGGGTGCCAAAGGTGCCAAAGGTGCTAAAAGCTAGTGCCAGGCAGTGCCAAAAGGTGCCTGGCCACATTATCAGCTATGTGCATGTGGGCATCTTACGGACAGCGTGGAGCTGCGGCTGTCAACGAGTTTGAGTTGCTTGTGTGATCTGGGTCCTGTATTTCAAGACATTTGGAGTGTCGGCACGGAGCGTGTCGCAAGGCTTTGATATCACCTGAAGTTAATTCCGTCTACATCTCACGATAGATTCAAGTCCACTTCACGCCTCGATTCCCTACCCTACTCCAAGTCTATCTTTGCATTTCCACACCACGCACCTCTCCCGTATCCGCTCCTCTCCAGCTTCCACAGCGCTTCGACCGCCTATTCCCACACACCGTTCACTCTCTCTCCAGGTACATGTCAGTCTTTCCGAAAAAAAGGTGCGCCCCAACCCGTCAGCCTCATTGTAAACCCTTTGTTGACCAAATAGTCACGCACAGCCATATAATCCTGGGGAAACTTCTTCCCCTCCGGAAGGGTCCCCGTAAAATGCCAGTTCACAAAGTAGTCATCCTCCTCAGCCTTCTCATACGCATACCGTTTGGTACGCACCAGCTCAGCCAATTCATCATTAATGTTGGCAATGCCTTCTTTTTCATGTTCGGAGAAGACAATCATGTCAAGATCATCGCGGCCCATGGTTGTCCTGCCTGCATCTCTTTACGTTAGCACTTCCACAATAATCACTTCTCGAACCTGTCCAACAATGCCAGCCACCACGGAGCACATCAACTGCCAAAGACCATAGCTCTTCGCAGCGCAGCGCAACACCAATCTGACGACATGGACCAATTCCCACTGGGTATTACACTCACCAACAGGGATTTGTGTGACGAGGGCTTAGTAGGTCTTGGAACCTAAGGGTTCAAATTCAAAGATAATATCGAAGAGTGTTAAAGGTCCTTGGTTTTTTAAGAGGAAGAGAGGGAACAGTAACTTGTATATATATTTAAAGGCAACGGCCATGCTTAGGGTTCTTACCCGGGCACGTGTTTAATCTATGTAATAAACAAGTCTTTTGTCTGTGAGGCCCTCTGTTGGGCCTTTTCCGTGTAACAGATTGCCTCGATGAAATCAATGTCTTGTTATCTCTGACAGACCGCACTTCTTTCACAAGGTTCCTGAATGTTCCTCAACGTGGGACACAACCGATGCACCACTTCCACTCCTGTTGGCTGTCAGGCCTTCAGCAGCCCAACTTCACCAACCGGACTTCTCGTAGGCCCGTGTCCGCGACACAAAGACGTCTGGTACCAACAACCACCGCGTACAAAAATGTCTCAGAAATAATGGTCGCCAAGGGGGAGGGATAAAGCCCTCTTTATACGTCCCTGTCTCGTTTATCTGTCTAGACAGAAGTAGATAAGCTCCACCTGTCGCATCTAATAAAACATCGACTGACGTCACCTCATCTTTTGTTCCTCTCGATAAAGATCATTTCAGCGAAGCATGCTTGATGAAAGAACCACCGGACTCGGTTTGTGCTCCTTGTGCTCTGTGCGTCCTTTGTGCCCTTTGACATAAATGCCGGGACAGGGCCGGCAAACAGACAGGAAGCCGCGAACGCGATGGTTGAGCTGCAACAAAGGTTTCCACAGAAAACAGGATTCCCTTCTTCAGTTTCAGCTTCGCCCTGCCCTCGTCCCCATCCTCAGCTTCGCCAGTCGCACAGGCAGTAGGCTTTCATCATAGCACACGTCTTCCACCAACCTGCCCGTCATTTACGTCTCCATGGCGCCGGAAACACGGGCGAGCCGCAGGCGCGCCGATGCGTCGGCGCTTCATCCGTCGGTCGAGGCCGCCTCCCATCATATGAGTACTGCATCTAGCGGCGACAACCTCAGTGAAAACCCCGAGCCCAAGAGCATCAGCCATGACGCCGACCGTCACCCAATAGCGCAAACAGAAACAGAAGCAATCGGGGTGCGCGTATACGTGAGTGGCATAGAGATGGCTATACCCCAAACCTACGATCCCGACACGTACCATCCCGATAGGCGAATGCCATGGACGCCCGAACCAGAGCCATACAGTCCCGAATCCTATACAGCCTGGGGTCGCAAGCATTTTGGTGAAGAGTGGTATAGACTGCGGCAGACCATGATCGAGGAAAGGAACATTTTCCGCGAGTACGATCCGGTCTACCATCAACGCCAAAGAACCCTTAGGATAATAGAGCATAAGATCGAACGCCGGCCGTTTGAACCTTCCAATCGTGTATGCGATCCGGACTGGAAACGACTTTGGGCTCGGCTTTCCAAGGAATGGGGCATTGAAATTGTCCGTTCCCCGACACCTGAAAAGAACAGTGACGATAGCGATACCGACCTCAGTGGTTACAGCACCTACGATCCTACCCCTGAATATCGTACGCCGACTCCTTTTCCCGATGACCCGTGGGAAATGCTCGAGTATAATCACAAACGGTTCTCTTGGAACGAGGAGGAGTACGAATTTGAAAAGATGTTTCTCAAGGAGAACCTCATAGACAGTGCTAGGTGCCAACATGAAAACGAGCCAGGTGACGAGCCTGCCCGTGAGAAGCGGCAATTCATGGAAGGCTTTCGCAACTCGGACCCTCTTCGTTTCCGGATTGAACAGGGCCGCTTTCGGGCTCACGACTATCAAAGCGGATGGACAACGGAGCAGATCGAGGCCTTGTATAATGCCACCGTTTCCATGCATGAATGGATCAAGGAGAACCCTGCACCAGATGAAATGCGTCCATACCGTTGTGGAAAATTCGAATCATCTACTCTAGAACAATAGGCTGCAATAGGCAGCTGGTGGGATAAGAATACTGCCGCAACCATTGAGTACTACGGCGCGTGTCCGCGCATAGGCTGGGGTCCTCTTGGCTTCTCAATATACGACTTTTAGTCGGCTTCACAACAATGGGCTGCAAGGACAAGGAGGAGGAGGAAATCTGGCGCCAGAACACCCATGCTCGCTTGTGTAGCCGACGACAACAAGCGGCTCTGGCAAGCACCAAAGGCGATGCTCCGTCTACAGAAAAGCCATTGAGCCAGCGGAGTCTATTGCCTCAACAAACAGACAAGATTCGACATGGGACGCCCGGCAGCCGAATCACCGAGGCGGCTCCAACGCATGCGAAGGCCTCGGCATCAGACCGAAGGCGTCGTCCCCTTACACTTGACACAGTGGGTAAGCTCGGAAACAGCACAAGGACGGCATCCCATCGTCAAAAGAGGCACTTCAAGATCTATAAGAAGGAGCGCTCAAGCCGAAGGCAGGCAAGCAAGGCACCTGAATACGGTATGCTAGGGGAAGGTGAAATACCATCTTTGCGAAAGGCTTCCAACACACGTCCAACAAGTCGCTCAAGTCTCCGTGGTGGCAAAAAGTGGAAAGGGCAAGGAAAGATGGGAGCTTAAAGTCCCAAGAGACTTTGAAGTCTCGTAAATCAAGGAAGAGCGGTTAAGTGCCTGGCTAAAGGACGGAAGGGCTGAGAATAATCACCACCATGGCGGTAGGGGCGGCAATGGTGAGGATAGCAATTTGTATTGTGTAGATTGAGGTTCTGGCTGCGTAAAAGTCACTATCGCGGCAGGACCGGGAGTATTTGTAATGCGTTTCTTGGTATGATACTGGGATGACCTGGAAAATCTATGACGTTTTATTGATGCTATTACTACTACTATATTAAGGGCTTGATAGGGCTCCCAACCAGGGCACTCACGACATATTTCTGCAAGTTTAAATCACAACCACATCACGGCGTATCCTATTCCCGACATGGCGGATAGTTATAACAGCCAAACTCATTCCAGCACCTCCAGCGGTAAAACTTCAGATAGGGCCGACGTCACTGTCCACGAAACACAATAGGGAAAGTCGGGCGAGGCAAACGATATGAACCTAGTGATTTCCTCTGGAGGGGTTGCACGAAGAGTGCGAGGCAACATTGAAAGGAAACAATGACAAAAATAAGGGGGGAAAGAAGTGACATCGTATCGATGTGTCAAGTGCTCCTAGGCCCACCAAAGACCTCCGTTAGTTAACTTACCAGTCCAGAACGCCGGGCAGAGAGAATATTTAAAAGGCAACGGCATTTAGTATATTCCTCCCCGCAAGACAATGATAATTTGACGTGTCCAGTTTGAATAAATTATGCCTCTTTAGATAGAACATCAAGAGTACCCTTCCGATTCAGACAGGCAGCTTCCGTCCACCACCAGTGGTCCAGTTGACCATCTTATGTGACTGTTAATTGCGGTAAATTGCATACTCTGCGCCCTTTATAGTTCCGTATCAAAGAGGGACCGGAGCTCTGCCTGGTACCTTTCTTCGTCGTCCACTTTAGCCTTGACAACTTGTCCAACGTTCTCTTGCCAAAATGCCGAGACCTGCTTCAGGCCAGCAACCAGTGCTCTATCAGCTGAGAATTTGGGAAGAATATGATCCTCAAACACAAAAAGCCAAGCATTTATAGACCTCAAGCAGGTCCAGAACCATACTCCTTTAGAGTCCCAAACATCTCTCATTATGCTTGTGATCTTAATATCATGTTCCATCTGTACGCTTTTTTTTTCCTCATCCATGATTGCTAGGAATGCCTGCCGCATCTCGTCAAATTCGGCATACTCGTCGTCAATGATACCGTCGATGCTGCAGTTTGTAAGCCAGTATGGTACGGACAACATTTCCACCGGAAGCGCGCAGATCCATTCAAGATCAACCAAACAAGTAATGTTCCAATCATGGTCCACAAAAATATTGCTTTGGTGAAAGTCGGTCAATTGTAGGAGGAAAGGACCGTCCCTCCGATCTGACAAGATGAAGCAGTGCATTATCGTTCGAAGTAATGTCCTAATCGCCATTCGTTCTCGGGCATCATCTGCATCTCGCACAGCATGAGGGTCGTGAAGGAGGTGGTTATCATACAGCGTAAGAAAATCGGAGGCAAAACTGTCTGTAGTACGGTAGAGTTGGTGCTGCTGAATTGTTCGTGGTGTCCCGCTATTCTCGAAAATCATCATGGTGCATGTCAGGGGCCGGTTAGAAAGCTGAATTGTGCCGTCACTGGCATTGAATTTAAAGGAACCAATGTGCGGTTGTGGGAGCCGAGCAAGCGAGAGCATGATACGCGACATGCCCTGAAATAGGCGAGCTCGTCGACTGGCATCGCGCATGTGTTGCGTCCAGGTACATGAAAGCATCTCTCCGGTTTCGGGACCGATATATTCTAAAAGCATATAGGCGGTGTCAACGGCTGGTGCGGATGCGTTACGAGTGTAATTCGAGAGCAAGGGGTAGTGAAAGAGGCGATGAATCCATCGCCAGAATCGGTGGTAGACCCGAGCGTAAAGTGGTCGCTGCCCGACATGGGTAAACTGGTTGAAGCAAAGTTGTTAGCATCATTACCATTCAGGTGACATTGATAGTAACTGGGACAACGAACATGACCGCCATCAATGAGGCCAAAGGCGTAAAGGTTTGGTATCCGAATATCAGTGCAGTGCTCTTGCATCCATATATACGTGGCCACTTCGCAGCCGACTTTTTCATCAATGGTGCCAGGATAACGTTGCTCAGCAAGCTTGTGAGGCATGGGACACCGGAAGATCAACCTTCTGGAGAGGCCCTCGGAGTTCACCTCGACTACAACGCAAATATTGAAGCCGCCTTGCACCCATGATTCCGGTGGTAGAACAGTGCAGACGTCATCTCTGTGTAGTCGAAGATGGTGCCTGACCGTAGCTTGAATCAACTCCCGCTGATCCCACAGTCTACGTCTCAAGTTCTCCGCAGCATATTGATGTTGGATAGAAAGAAGGAAATTGGTTTCTTCTTCAGCAGCTGATTCGAATGAACGAGGTTTGTTGTGTAATAAGACGTTCCGAGGCATGGCAAATGCTGGATTGGTAGCAGCGAGAAAGGCGGATTGCCAAGCTTGATCGGAAAAGGGGAAGAGGTCGGGTCACGTGGCATGGTTGCCTTATTGCCTGCAAGTGGCCTGAACACCTGAGTAGGCTGGTAGTAAGTCTAATAAGTTACTTAAATTATAATAGTAAATATTATAAAATAGCTAATTTTCTAGCCAACTAGTATATATCGTGTGCACAAGACGAAACCAGGAGAACCGATAAAGAGGAGTGGCGGGAAAATAGCGTTTTTGCATGCCGTAAACCAAGCAAGCAACGGGCAAGTAACAAGACAAGTAATAAGAGCTAATAAATTATTTATCGTTTAAAAGCTCTCCTATTTTAGGCTTTTTATAAAGTGAGCCTGGGCTGACAATTTGCAACCTTGACAACTAAAAGCAAAAGGTATTATCTTGTTAATAAGATTAGCGTTTAAGCTAATTATGGTAAAACATAAGGGCGCTATACCGTAGAGGGGCTATTAATTGGCTATAAGAAAACACGTCGTGATAGCCGCCACAAACCTTCTATCAAGCTGGCTGAAAAGCTTTAAATTCAATAGCTGCCGCAAACCTTCTGACAGCCTAAATTCACTTGGTTGAGCTTCCTCGCTTAAACTTCGATCCTTGTCTCAGATTTACCTCTTGCGATCCAGGCAGGTAAAAACGCCAAGTTATCGTCAAAATAAATTGCTTCAAGTCTTACAAGAGTTTATCAATTAAGGAAAAAAATATTCAGTTACCTCGGCCTCGGGCAGTTAAGCCTACTGTGATAGCTGGTAAAAGCGCCTCAGCAAAATCTGAACTTGAACCTTGCCAGAGAAACTCAAAAGACGCCGAACTTTTCGAGATACAAAAAGATATTTGGCATACAGCTTATAACGAACTTATAAATAATACACCCGATTTAGTAGAGAAGTTTGAGAGTGTCTTGAACAATAAATTTGCGTCAGGTTCAGATTCAAGTGATAACAAACTGTCTTCAAGTCACGGCTGGACTCTAATACAGAGATTCGTCCAAATGAAGCTTAAAAAACTAAGTCAAATAAGAATCTTGATAAGATAATATGAGGGGCAGGTTTTATCCAAGAAATAAATTCCTTGATTGATAAACCTCTTCAGGCTGTCCCTGCGGCAAGTCCCCCTATTACAGCCTTGGGTCTTGCTGCCGAGGTAAGTACATGTAGTTTAAATATGCCATCTTACCGCTGCCTTGGTATCTCTAATAGAAAAAGTTTGTTTCTAGGTCAGTATCTGAACGAACTGCCAATCGCGAGGGGCTTTAACACGCGTATCGCTGTCTATCATGGTACTGGGAACTATCGGGTCACTTACTACAGTTCAACAAATACGTCAGTTCGACTGAGGAGTTGAGAAACTTGCTTAAAATCGAAATAACTCGTCTCTATAAGGAGCTTTCTCAAAGTATCTTATGGAGAGCGTTTTAATTCGTCGCAAGAACTGCTTGCTCTGTGCTGTGCGCGACACGATCAAGTTTGATGAGAAATGTTTTACCCAGACTAAGTTTTATAGCTGAATTATGAATTACCCGAGCTTCCGGAACTTCTTTGGGATGCGTACATGTTTTTCCTTTATTTCAGATATGCCGTTGAGGAGTGCCCCTTGCAACTCTATACCACGGTTATGACTTTTACTCCGCGGCAAAGTTACATCAGGAAATATTACCGCCACGAAAGCTGTCACACGGAAATGGGCCAATGTCACACGGTTACACAAGGTCTACGGTCACGGGATTAGGGCAGAAGGTCCTCACCGACTTCTTGTATTTAAAGACGTCTTTGACCTTCAAGGCCCTGAGGAAAACCAAGGACCTTTAATACCAAAGACTGTTATTAGATGAATTGAGTAATTGCTCCAAGCTAGGCCCTTGTCACAAAAGCTCTTGTTGGGTCAAAACATCGTCCTTTGTGTTGGATCAATGGCCATCGTACTTTTTACTACCTGAAAGATCGGGAACACACGTAGGTACAGCATATTCTCGAGACAGCCACCAATTCGTTCCGGCAACTAGCCATGATATTGAAATTCGAGATACAATTACTGGCGCTCTTTTGCAAAAGTTTCAAGTCCCACATGATGACAAGCCTGGATTAACAGATGTCATTGCATCATTATCCGAGGACGGTATAAAGTTTGCTATCAACAGGCATGACCTTGGCCTCAGAGTCCTTGACATTCTTAATGAAACCTGGTCAGAGTTATCTGAGGGTCATTTTGGAGCGCATGAGCTAATATTATCAAACGACTCAAGGAATTTATTATCGATATCTAACTCTTCAATAAGAACATGGGATACTAACACAGGCAGACTTATTATCTGTCAGACATGGGTCGGTGAACCTGCCAGGATTGTCTTTCCTGGGAACACCACGAAGATTGCACTCGTCTTAAGGGGTGGCAATATTGCAATTCTAGACGCCAAGATAGGGTGCTATCATTGCGAATTCTCTCAACATAGGGACGGGACCTTGACGAGTGTGCAGCAACTGGTTCCGTTCCCAATATATTGGTCACTGTTGTTCTCAGTTGAGCTTGAGAAAATATGTCTTTGTAGCCTTGAAACTGGAGCCAAGGAAATCCTAGAAACACCCCGGAACTATTCCAATGGAATATTTCGTCACGATATGGCCATGGCCATATCTACGAGCGAAGACATAGTCGCTATTCTGGCTGAAGACTCCCTACACATATACAGGCGACATAAACAAAGGGGCTCTACGACACGAAGAATCGAGTATACGACAACACTTTCCGGAAGTTTTGCAATGTGCAGATTGGCGAGGATTGTGTTTTCCGAAGACAGCAGATTCCTGGCAGCTATACGAAGCGATACGCAGATAGAGGTTTGGGACATGAACTTGAGTAAAAGCACCTCCCTATTCAAGTTTGATGTTGCAGTCAAAAAGTTCACAGCACTAGTATTTAACCCCGACAGCACCTTCTTAGCCGCAAGCATTATTGAAGAGAGTGGGAAAATCCAAACCCGAATTTGGAAAGTTGATTCTACCAACAAGACGCTGCCGTGCGGCTGGGACCGTGGTAACACGGCCCTGGTTTCCTCTGTCCAATTTTCAAATGATGGCCAGTGGCTTGCGGTAAGGTTTTCCACCTTGCGTGCTGAGTTGTGGCGCAGTTCAGGGGAGCCTCAAGACTCTTTTCTAGATGGGGAGAATGACGAGATAATAGACCTGGCATTTTCATGGGATAGCACCAAGCTTGGTTACGGTACAAAGGATGGCAAGGTCAAAGTCTTTGACATGTCTTCCAACCGTACCAAACATCTATACGATACTTTTTCTAGGGCAGAAAAGGCTCAAGCTTTGTCCTTTTCCAGAGACGATACGCTTCTTGCTGCCAGGATATCTGATTCAATCCGAATATATAATATACAAACTGGCCTTTATCACGATCTACAGATACCCGGGAGCGACTTTAGCAAATCTCCGACGTTTCCAGAGCCCAATTATTGCAATATATCTGTCTTCAAAAACTGGACTGTTGTAGCTGAGCAACAGGGTCGCATATATCTTTGGGACGCTGGCAAAGTTGTCAAAGTGTTTTTCCTCGACGATATCTTGACTCCCGTGAGGGGATGAGGAGATGTCGTGTCAACCGATCTAAGAACCATTGGGGGCAGGATGCGGATTGTATTAGGTTCCAATAAAGGAGGCATACACATCATTGATGTTCCTTCTGGAAATGTTTTACATTCGGTTGAAACGGGGCCGCTTAGTACCTTGGCCACGCATCAGGATGACAACACATTTGTCTCTACCAGCCAAGGCGATATCGACCTAGCTCAATTCTACCTTGTTGAAACCGAGACATTTCATAGTCCCAACCCGAATGATATAACTTATCGTGGGTATGGGGCATCGGGTTCCTGGATTCTAAAGGATGGGAAACGAATCATTTGGCTTCCTCCGCAGTATTGCACAAGGTGGACTGGACTGGATTTTTGGGGGAAAGAATTTGCAGTTAGCAACTCCCAGATGGCTATTTTGTGTAATAAGGGACAGAGAGGTGGGCCTGGGCCATTGTTACTACTTCACTTTTCCCAAGACACTATTGACTTTGGCTCGTGGGAGTAATTCCAAGAGGCAAAGTCCAATGCACGACGCACGTTGTGTGACAAGGGTTCAATTATGAAGGCTTGGAGCAATAGGGCTCAATTCAATAATAATCTCGTAGGATGTCAAAGGTCCTGAGTTCCTACAAGGAAGGAAGAGAAGGGTGACCGCCTTATATACGTGAAAGGAACGCCCGGGCCTATGGTCCTTACCCGGGCACGTGTTCTAGCTGTGTAACTAACAAGTCCTGTATCGGCGAGGCCCCTTTGTTGGGCCTCACGATCTGTTGGGCTTTTTCCGTGTAACACGTTGGCACGAGAGACCATCTACCGCAATAGTGAAGAATTAAGATCACCATAGCACTACCAACCTTCCGGATGTCGTCGGCATACGAAAGAACTTTTCAGAAAGTTCAACACTCTACAATGTACCATCAATCGTATTCGAATGTCTGGGAGGCGTCCTCTAGGAGAGTATGGCGACATGGTGGTGTTTACTCGATACACCGGCCAATTCTAAGGCCTTGGGCCTGCAAAGCGCGACGATTACGAAAACGTGTGCAGTGATAGAGATCAAGGCGCGCGGATTCAGTCGGCAAACGTCTTGGTCTTTGCTGTGCACGACATACGGACATGCCACGGATGCAACCGGACTTGTCGTTGATGCCTGTGTCTGGCAAAGGTGCCATTCGGAAAGTACCAGGTTGCTCTTTCTCGCATACCTGTCGACGGTATGCATGGACAGCTTCCGCGGGCTAGCTCATACCCTGACCACGTTTCATTCCGACGATGCCGTCCCAAAGACAGCGCATAGTTGCGGCAAGAGGATGGCACGGCAGTATGCGACTCGACGAGAAAGGACACTCGCTTTGTATGGCATTGAACAAGCTTTCCGGGCGCTACAGATGCAGAAGACCGTTGAGGTATGAGCGACGGTCGGTTAGAGACTGGTTGCAACACGTCACATATATTCGACCCCCACACAATACGTGGCAGTGTCCAAACCGCTTACAACGAAAGTACCTTGTGTTTACGTGGAAGAAAGATGGCTACATTACTACACAGATCATGTTTGTGAATGCTATTTAAATAGAGATGAGCGGTAGTCACCCATTCCGCCTTGCTCCGAACCACCGAGCTATATCGATATAAAGTGACCGGGTCTCGATGAATGTCCAGAAGACACAGAACAAAGCGAAACACAGTTGTATACATCAGACTGAAGGTTCAGTGACTTTGATTCAACAATATAATGCAGCCGCATTTCTCCTCTAGTCAGACTCTTCGTATATCGCCATATCTAATATAGGCTGCCCATAATCTCCTCCGCGACAATATGCCTCTGGTCTCTGCCTTTCTATCCGAAGTTAAGACTCAAATATCGGCGTTTATCCCCTTCGGACGAGCCCTATGCTTCATATTGTTGAGCTCCGTCGTCCTACTACCTCTAACCTTGATTCTCGCATCTCCAACGCGCACATGCCCCCTGAATCACTTCCCAGGTCCTCCAGGCTGGCCCCTCGTCGGTAACCTTTTGTCAATATATTGCTAACCTACGGAAAAGGTCTACCTCCAGTGGGCGGCACAGTATGGCGACGTATTCAGAATCCATCTCGGCTACACGCCAGCCCTGGTTATCAACTCAGTCGAGGCCGCGAAGCAGATTCTACACCGCAACTCCCAAGTCGTGGCGTCACGGCCTTCCTTTTACAGGTTCCACACTGTCCGTCATCCACGCCACCTGTCACGTTTTATGCATGGATAGCTAACCCCCTTAGATTGTGTCGAAAAATCTCGGGACAACCATCGGCGCCTCGAAATTCAACACCAGTCTCAAGCGTACTCGCAAAGAGATAGCTTCCGAGGGAAGCAAGCCAGCCGTCAGAACACACCTAGCGGACATAGACCTCGAGACGCGCCACCTGCTGCGGGACCTGATGAATAGCTGCGGCGACGGCCAAACACCAGTGGACATGTACATGCCCGTCTCACGACTGGGCCTCAGTCTTATGATGACGATATGCTACGGCCGGCGAATGTTCCTTGAGGACCCTCTCACGACGGAAATCATCAACGTGGAAGACCAGCTCTTGGGCCTGCGGAGCCCTTCGGGAAATTACCTCGACTATTTGCCTCTGCTGCGCCTGTTTCCATTTACGCCGTTGGCCTGAAAGGCCGCGCGGTTGAGAGACCGCCGAGACGCATACGTGCTTGGATTCAAGGACGAGGTGGATGGTAAAATCGAAAACGGCACGTACAGCCCTTGTCTGTACACGAAGAATTATTTTAGCACAAACCCGCTTAGTTCGAGTCAAGTGTCGATGATTCTGGTCACTTTGGTGTCGTCGGGCCTTGCGACGGCCACAAATACAGTACGATGGTGTATGATGCTGCTTGCGGCTCGGCCGGAGCTACAAGAGAGGGCTTATAATGCTATTCGCCGGGTTTACCCAACGGACAGCGAGGCGTTGACGCCGCTATGAGGGATGAAGAAGAAGTTGCCTACATCTCTGCGCTTGTCAAGGAGACGCTTCGGTATGGAAATTGTAGGTTCCGCAGAACTGAGCACCACGACTAACACTACTGTTGCAGTCTGTATTCTCCTGCCCGCGTCTCCCTCCCCCGGGCTAGTATTCAGGAATTTACGTATAATGGAAAACTCGTGCCACCCCACGTCATGATTATTCACAACGCGTGGGGTTGTAATATGGGTATGATCCCGCGTTGGACTTGCAAGTTTGGAAGAGCTGATACGTGCAGATCCCCTGGTTTATCGTGATCCCGAAGTCTTTCGCCCGGAGCGGTGGCTTGAGAATCCCGACCTGCCGATTTTCAGCTTCGGGTTAGGGTATCGAATGTGTCGGGCGATTTTGTTTGCGCTTCGCGAAGTGTACACTGTGCTGATGCGAATTATGTGCACATTTTCGGTTTGCGCGGTAGAACATCTTGACACCAACCCGATATCGGGATGTGGTCTTGCGCCCAATCTTGTGACGGGCCCGGCCAACGTGAGGTTGTATCTTAAACCGAGGGATGGGGCAAGCATCCAAGGCATCCTAAACTTGGATTAATGCTCTTGGAAACTCTCGTCAGTCAGTTTATTCGCCTGGGTTATCGCAGCCGCCATCTTGGGTATCCTAAGCTGCATTGGTACGGTGGACCAAAGTTTCCGTCATTATACTACGCCATTTGCCAAAGATGCGCAGCGGTTGCACGTCAGGGTAATACAGGTATTCGTGGTGTTCATGTGGAATTCTCAACATAATGTTACTCAAGACTGTCAACGGAGTACAAGGGGGTATGGTTGCTTCGCAATTCGAGCATGTTCTTTTATGACAAAGTCGGTCATTCAAGGCAAGGTTACAGTTCAAATGCTGCTGGAAGACAGCAATGATGTAATAGTGATTTACATGTTTAGTTTTTATATCCTGGGAGGCGCCGTTTCCCCCAGCGCGTTGGGCGGCATCCGTGGCCTCGCGCAACTTCGGCACTTGTTGCCGAATCAACGGACGACGACGACACGGGCGAGGACAGTGGACTAGACCAGAGATCATATATGAAAGACTTGGCTGCTTTTAGACATCAATGTACATGCATGTATACATTGAGTCGTTCATCCCTTACAACCACCTCGCCCCAGCTCGATGCCCAAACTAAATTCTATCTTGGCTGTCTCCAATATCCTCTGAACCTCACTGCGCACTTTACATGCCTTCTTAACTTCCCAATGTCCATGGCATGCCTCAATAATTACAAATCTCCCCGTCGCTGCACCGTACCCCTCCACCATCTTGCATATCCTATAGATGCTGATCCCATCGTACGGCGCACTCGGCCGCCGATATAATTTGCATTGCGTCATTCGTATCAGCAACGCTCCGAGATGGAACGAGTCGCAATCAGTCGTGCATCCACTGCCATGGAAAAGCTTGTCTACCACGGCAAACAAGCTTTGTACCAGCAATTCGATCCTATCCAGTCGATGCTTGTCTACCAACGCCGAGCGACCCAGCTGTTAGTCTTGGCACCTAGCATTTTGAGGCAAAATATAAAGAGCATAGAAAAGACAATCGCCTCGGACCACTCACCAACTACCCTTTCCTCAATTGGCAGACCAAGCGTATCTAGCGGGCCAGTTCCCTCCTTGATCACCATCGTGGCCGCCGAGTCGAAGATGGGCCTCATCGCAAATACCGTCGACACAAGCAGCCACAAAACCACGTCTCTGCTGAATCCCGATTTCGGAAGCCCTTGGTAGTCCGCCGCCCAAACCTTGCTCACCGGCACAAACGCCTGATGGCATCCCAGGTGGTGTACAATCACTGCCATCTTCGCCAGCCCTTCCACCGTGAGACGTTCCGGATTGAGGTCAGCTTGATGGTGCAATATGTTTAGCACATGGTGCAGTGCTACCGAATCAAACCCTTTCAGCTCTACGTGGCGGATCCCTTGGTTGTCGGGGCCTGATTCTTTCCAACCCACCCAACGACGATCGAGTGACGTGTTGAGCAATGGCGATACCAGGCGCAGAATATCTGACAAGCAGCGTGCCGTGAACTTTGTTGTATCGCCCTCCGTTCCTTGCTTGTCTGGCTCGCCGTTGTCGTCTCCTGGTCTCCATGGTGCAAACGGCTTACCAGAAGGCGTGTGCTCAACCAACACCGTCCCCGAGGGAACCAGCACGATCTCCTGGTCCTCACCCATCTCGGATTTCATCTCGGACCACGTCAAAGTATCTTGAATCTCGTTTGCTTGACGGGTCTACCACGTCGGCGGCGTCTGGCCCCTTTTCCCTTCGGTCTTCGTTTGTGGGTGGACCAGGCGTTACTGTCGTGACACCATTTCTGTCGTCGGCAGAGGTTACTTGATCTTCGATGTCGTAGCTTCTTGGAGGAAGCCCAGTCAACCGCCCGAGCCAGTCGTGCAGTAGGCAGGTACTTGTTCAAGGAAGAAGCTCGCAGACGGTAATATCCTCTTACGAGAGCATAGACGAGTCTGGTTTGCATTGGCTGGGCTTTCTGTCAAAGGGACAGTGTTGTGTTCCCAAAAAGATGTTGACGCCGTGTTGATAGGGGTTTGACCGTTGGCTGCAGGTCAGCCGACCACCACCTTGGCCAACTTTTATTAAACCCTGTCACGCGTCAAACGCGTCGGCGATGGCCTTGTATCCCAGCGCTTTTCTACGTAGTATAATTTTAAACTCGAGAGTCGAGTCGCTATTAATCGAACTTGTAAATCGGGAGTTAGTTTAAAGCATAAATTTAAAATTATAAATTACAAATTAATAATATATAGTATATAATATATGTATTTTATATATATATAATGGCTTTTAATATTATTTATTATACCTACCTAGCATTATACCTTTACTGTATAAAACTACATATGTATAGCATTATACAATAAGGTTTCATAGTGGCCTACCACTGATGCTTTGACTAGTTGGGAGGACAAGATGTGGCTGATTAAACGAGCATCCTAAATAGCAGAAATAATATCAGCATTGACACTTCTCAAACTCTCTTTCGAGGCGGCGGGTTTGTGTTTGTGCGTGGCACAGGCCTGAGCACCTTCAATGTTGTATCTGAAATGGCGATCTGGTTTTAGTCATTTTTAGCATTGCCGGCATCACGACAAGACGGTATCCGCCGTGGAATTACTACAGTGCGGCTGAAGCCGTCTGGTGCTTATCAGTTCGGATGTTGAACCAGACATGACTGCGTCGGATGACGCACCTCTTCGCAGCACACTTTAACCAAGTCGATGCAAACAATTCAATTTCATCCGACTCTTTGAGACATTCAACAAATATAGACCAGTTTATCTCACTCCTCAAGGCATAGGAAACATTGTGATGCCAGTCTGTGCAATTATTGGCTTCCCTCTCAACTCTCCGTACTCATCATGTATCGCGACATTTCCAAACCGCCACCTCCGCTACCGTCACCGGATTTGACCGCGTTGGACGAGGGCATTCACCTTCTTAAACCCTTGTCCCGGCGTGGTGAGGGACCTGGCCTTATTCTCGTCACCCCAGACTACGTCGGCCATTTAACAATTACCAATGGCGTCCCGTCGCCTATTTTGAAATGGGCAGAGGAGGGATATGTCGTCGCCGAGGTGCAGGAATCAGCGTTGCGGCGTCGAGGCGGCCAAGCCATCACCATGGCCCTCGAAGCGATTGCCACGTGCGACAAGTGCAATTCACGCCCGGTTGGACTCGTGGGCAAGACGACCCTACCCCCAATGTTCTTTTCTTTCCGTCAGCTCCTAAGTTCTAACATACTGCAGCATATCAGCCAGAGGCATGGAAAGTCGTGGCCCCTACACTCGCTCAATTCGAGCAAATTGTCGGCGCAGTTGTATACAGCCGCGCCGGCGACGATGATCCGGCGTCGGCATCTATTCCGGTTCTGCAACACCTCGCGGGTCCCGGTGACAATTCTAGGTCGCCTTGTTTGACTGTGTATTTCTATCCTACCGCCAAACCAGGCTTTGCCGTGCCCTCCCATCCCAACTTCCGCTACAACGCCGAGTCGCTCTCGCACACGCGAAATCTCACGTTTCTCAAGCCCCTCATGAACGGGCCCTACTTTGACCTTGAAAAAATATGGGACGAGCACACGTATTATGAGTTTGCGGACCGGTCGGTAGAACATACGATGAGTACCATGGTTGCCGAGCCATATGTGAACCACGTTCCTACCGTGAGTGAATCCTGAATTCCAACTAGTCTGCAAGACGAATCCGGCGCGTACTCACGCATTTCTAGTTGACGGGCGGCATTGGACGCGAGCGCCTCACAGAGTTTTACCGCAACAACTTCATCTTTTGCAACTCTGCCAACACACACCTGGAGCTTACGAGTCGCACGGTAGGACTAGACCGCGTCATTGACGAGTTTATATTCAAGACGACGCACGACCAACAAGTCGACTGGCTGTAAGTAGTGCTTCCTCCCGCGCGGGTGTGTTCTGACTGCTTACATGCTTTAGGCTTCCGGGCGTTCCGCCAACCGGGCGGGAGCTCGAGATCCCCTTTACGGCCGTTGTGAATATCCGCGGCGACAGGCTCTACCACGAGCATGTTTCTTGGGACCAGGGCACGGCGCTGAGGCAACTAGGTTTGATGCCGGAGTATTTGCCGTTTCCGTATGCGCTCCCGGATGGGAGGGGGCCGGCTGCCGGCAAGAGGTTTGAGTACAAGGTGCCTGTGCTTGGGGTGGAAACGGCGAATAAGATGCGGGATAAGAATTCTGTAGAGTCGAATGGATTATTTGGAGGGGAGGTACGGGAGGTTTCGATTTAGTGTGGGATTATTCACGTTTCTACCTGTACAGTATCTTCAAGACCGTGATGGGAGTGCTCAGTACATCATCAACATGTAGCGCCTTGAACGTGTATATGATCCTTTACCGAGTTTGTACTGGCTGTCTGGCCACCATTCCCACCACTGTGCCGACAAGATGGTCGAGTGTGTTAGCCGCCTGGCAGTACTTTATCTATTCCAAATACTCTGCGCCCTGCATTACCCCGCAAGCCACTTGCCCTCTTTCCAAGCTGTCGCCGTTGAGCCAGTAAGTCGATCATGTCCCTATCAGTCGACCTATCGGGCTCCTCCGAACTCCTCCTATCGACGGTCGACCCCTTTCGGCTAGAGCCTCAGTATCTCCTCTGGCCATGACGATCCGTCGGGTATGGCCACACGGACCCCCGTCGGGCGAGACACCATCGCGACCATGTAACCGCCATGACGGGCCGTACCCGACAAGCCATGACGGAGGCGAGCAGGTACAAAAAGTGCCAGCTCACCAGGCCAAAGCACCATGGATACGGATGTGAGCAATACGTGTAAGCCAACTGTCAAGTATTTCATAGCTACTCGTCAATACAAGTCTACGTCATGTCCGCACGGCAAGAGTACGACGTCATTGTGATAGGAGCAGGTACGTCTAAAGCAGCATCAGAGACACAATCCGCTGACTCCCAACAGGGTGGTACGGTCTCGCCGCGGCAAGGACATATATCGAGCTGCACCCCCATGAAAAGATTGCCATCCTCGAAGCGGATTCCACCTGCGGAGGAACATGGTCCAGAGACAGGCTCTACCCCGGCCTCAAGTCCAACAACCTCTACGGCTCCTACGAGTACCCGGATTTCCCAATGACGCAGGACGTGTACGGCGTCAAGCCCGGACAGCATATTCCCGCCGGCGTGCTGCACAAATACCTCACCGACTTTGCTACCAAGTTCGGCGTGCTCGAGAGGACACGCTTCAACACGCGCGTCGATGCCCTCGAGGCCACGGCCCAAAACTCCTGGATCGTCCACACGTCGCCGTCCAAGAACGCCGACCCGGGGCGTTTACCAGAAATCCTGCATGCGAAAAGGGTCATTGTCGCATCGGGACTCACTTCGCAGCCTAATATTCCGCACTACCCGGGCCAAGATACCCTCGAGTCGACGTTTTTCCACGCCAAGGACTTTTGCGAACAGCGCGACACGGTCAAGACTGCCAAGAGGGCCGTCGTCATCGGCGGCGGTAAATCCGCCCTCGACTGCGCATACGCCTTCGCCACGGACGGCGGCAACGCACAAGTCGACCTGGTGATTCGCCCGACGGGCCAAGGCCCCGTGTGGCTCTGCCCAGCACACGTCACGCCCTTCAAGAGGGCGACGGAGGAGCTCCTCAACACCCGGCTGCTGACGTGGTTCAGCCCGTGTCCCTGGGGCGGCGAGGACGGGTACTCCCTCGCACGGCGGTTCCTGCACGGCACAGCCGTGGGCCGGTTCCTCACCCGGTCCTTCTGGCGGCTCCTGAGCGCCGATGTCATCCGGGCGAATGGGTATAATGGCCATCCGGAGCTGGGGAAGCTCAAGCCGTGGGAGAGCGTGTTCTGGACGGGAAGCGGCGTCGGCATACACAACTACCCCAGCAATTTCTTCCATCTTGTCAAGCAGGGCAAGATCAGAGTCCACGTTGCGAGTGTTTCCAGGGTGGGAGGGAAGAAGGTGTACCTCTCTGACGGGGACGTCTTGCCAGACGTGGACGTGGTCGTGTGCGCTACGGGCTGGGACAAGAAATCCGGCATTGAGTTTGTCAACTTTCATCCGCAGGCGTCCCTTGCCGATATGCCCGAGGAGAAGAAGGGGGCGCTGGTCAGCCAGGCGGACGACTGTATTCTGTCCTCGTTCCCTCTTTTAAGGGAGCAGCCTGCGCTGCGCGGCGCGCCGAAAAGCGTGGAGCCGTTGCGAAACTACCGCTTCATCGTGCCGCTGGACCACGTGTCGAGCTGTAATATCGCGTATGCGGGCATGGTGTCGACGGTTAGCACGACCATGTTTGCTAGCGTGCAGGCGCTTTGGATCTCGGCCTTTTTCGACGGCAAGCTGCGCCGCGGGCCGGGGGGCCAGGCTGATGTGATGCAGGAGGTGTTGCTGCACACGGAGTTTGGCAAGTGGCGGTATCCGTATGGCTACGGGGCCGAGCTGCCGGATTTTGCGTTTGATTCGGTGCCCTATGTTGATTTGTTGCTGAACGATTTGGGGTTGAAGGTTCATCGGAAGCAGTCGCGGCTGATGGAGCTGGTTGCGCCGTATAAGCCGCGCGATTATAGGGGTTTGATGGAGGAATGGCAAGAGGCGCAGCACTGGGGTAAAGTTTAGCCTCGAGTGCTGCGCGAGTATATACAACCAGAATCAATGATACGTCGTGATTTAGTTGCAGCATATATGTTATCGCTCTTGCACCTTGTCTGGGAACCGTAGAAAAACGTTGCTACTGCCCCTGAGCCTGGCAAACTCGTATCTACCACAACCAGGCAATAGATTGAGAAGCTGACCTCGTCACATGTGTACTAATGTCAATGGAATGGTCAAATCTCCGTCTCGACTTGTCTATCGTCTCTTCTTCAAGTTCCACGCGGTACTTGGTCATAATTAAGCTACAAAACGAAGCTACATCTCCCAAGTCTCCGGTCAAAGTCGGCCCAACAGCTACTTCTCATAGCTAATCAACCCGTCAATAGTACCCGCATGCAGTCCCCCCGTAATCTGAATATCCGCCGCCGTCGTATGCCTCGCCGCATCGCTCAAGAGATACACCACCGCCCCCGTCAAATCATTCTGCGTGCTGAGCCTCTGGTTCGGGGGCGCCAGCCACATCTGCTCGCCCTCCCTCGCGCTGCGCTTGCCCTCCCTCACCGTCCGCGTCATGTCCGAGTCGACGAAGCCCGGGCTGATGGTGTTGACCCTGATGCCGTGGGGGGCGAGCTCCACGGCCAGCGCCTTGGAAAGCATCAGAACGGCGCCCTTGGACGCATTGTACGCGGCCATGCGGTAGCCCGGCAGGGCAATGTGCGCCGACTGCGAAGCAATCAGGACCATGGCGCCCTCTGTGCCTTGCTTGACGATTTGCCGGGCGGTCAGTTGGGCGACGAAGAAGCTGCCTCTCACCTAGGTCCGTCAGAGTCAGTAGAGTACTTGAGAAGAGTCGTAGTACCAGACGTACATTAATGTCTTGGATTCTGGTAAACTCGTCCCAGGTTTGGTCTAGGAACGGTTTATCAATGGCAATTCCGGCGGCGGGGACGCATCCGTCAATCGTTCCCAGACTGTCGAGGGCCTTGTCGAATGCTGTTTTGATGCTGTCCTCGTTGGTGACGTCCATTTGGATATATGTCGTCTTGACGCCGAATCGTTGGCTCAGCGTCGAGAACTCGGCGACTGGTTCTGGCTGAATGTCGAAGACGGCCACGTTGCCGCCCATTTCGCAAATGGCGCGGGTGCAGGCGAAGCCGATGCCTTGGGCGCCTCCCGTGACAATGTAGCTGCGGTTGCGGAGCTCAAACATGGGACGGACATTTTGGAGTTGGTCTGGAGATGCCATTTTTTTTTGTAGCATATAATTTCGTCTTGCCTATAGGTTGATGATGTTGGGTTATTGCTGAGGACAAGTGCGACTTGACGCAATAATATCGCCGGACGGCCCTGAACCGCGCATGCAGTCTTTGGTCATGTCGACGAATGTCTCGCCACGGGTGTCGGACGCATGTGTCTTGTCCGACAAACGAAGCCGCCTGTCGGGTAGTGCACTTTTCGGTAATGATTCGGAATCAAAAAGTTTATCGGAACATGCACCAATCAGACTCACTTGGCGTCAACAGATAAACGCCCGTGCCGCAAGCTAACGGGAGCTGATGCTGTTCCTTGACCGTCTCAGTCAAGGTTACAATGTATTTACAGTTGCAAGGGGTAACCCAAGACAAAACATTGGGTAGGGAAATAGAAAAAAACTTCATTTCTAGCTATCTCATCATAAATAATCAAGTAGCGTGAGGTCTTGAATGTATTTCTTTGTTTGGTTTGAAATAAACGATACTTGTGTGTTGTATCGTTATGGACCCGCCGTTGGTGAAGTTGGGAACCACGACACACCTGGAGAAGGGCAAGTCTAGTTGAGCGTTCTAACCAGTTCAAAGTCCACCGAGTACCAGCGCGTCGAGTATTTCACGCTATGGGCCAACAGCAGCTCCAGGATGAAGCGTCCATGACGCAAGCAGACAACTCATCCGGTCAATGTCAGGACAGACACTAGGGTAGGCGGCTTGGATAGACTGCTCTGCATCATTCACCAGTTCACAAAACCTGGATTGTAGTTTGGATGCTTGATGCAAGTTGGCGTCATTGTAAACATCAGGGAATGAGTACCATGACCTCGGGCGATGGAATAGCTGTATCAGCCATCTCGATCTTCAGAGCCACCCATGCCTCAAGGCTGCATGTTGGGAAGTTAGTACCACTGCAAAAACAGAGTCTCTTGAACCAAGCTTACAGAGTGTCTCTAGCAAAGCAGACGATGGAAAACCCTCCCCGTCCTAGTTTATGGGCAACTCTGTAACGATTCTTTTTGAACGTGTCGCCCAAACAAACAGGATGGTAGCCGCCCGGACGATATGACAAGAGACTTTCCTCGGTATGTAGAAGGTTCGATAAGGGACTTGTATCGAATTGGTCCATGACGAGCTGATGTCAACGGCCAGGAAGCAAGTGTGTTGGCCGGACAGAAAGTAAACGAGGAAATGAGTTGGCAGAGGACATGGGCCTTTCTTATTACCAGTTGACGTTGCAGGGCCAGTGCAAACAGTCTTCCGGCCTAAAAGAGAAAGTTTTCCAAGCGATTGTGAACATGCACGTGGTAACAGCGCTAAGGTCTATTCACTGAAGTATTGACCAGACTGGAAAGGCCTAGGCCCCATGATGTCAATGAATTGCTCGACGAGATCGCTTTCTGTACTAGGTGCGCTTACGCCTTGCTAGGTACTTGGCTATTAGGCTTTATATTATAATACATTTTATAGTAAGTAAATATATATTATAACAAACTATTTATATAAATACTTAAATATATATAAGAAAAGTGTAAATGTACTAAATACCTAGGTAGTAAGGGGATGCGCCTTTCGGATTCTGTCGAGTGGTCAAGTATTCAATGTTACGTATTATTGATCCCACTTCCTGTGCAAAAAAACAAATAGTCTCTTGTTTAAGCTGTCCCAAACAATGCTTCTATACAGTAATTTTATTATAGAACCACCTTTAGTTAGAGTTTACTATCAGGATTTTCTTTTACTCAGTGTGAATAATCGTTTCATCAAAGTCCTGTTTAACCCCCGCCCGTGCCCGTACCGCCACAGCATAGACAAGTTACTGATCGATTAGACTAGGTGGCCTTTATATTATTCTCCCTACCACTATCGGACAGCTTAAACAAAACGGTAATTATGGCGGGGAAACGGAAAATGACGACCGCATGGTCCTCTGCCACGGTCCAAGCAAGTGTATTGACTGCTTAGCTAGGCGACTTTCACCAAGATCTAGATGCTAGAGAGGAAAGGGAAGCAAGGAAAAGATCTAGAGCTCGAGGAGAACTCGACTATGGAAGAATATACTTTATTCTAAACTTTTTACTTTTTCTCATATCTCCTTTATTATATCTTAAAGGCTATATGCAATCTTTACTGCATATTATACTCTTTCAAGCGTCCACGTGAACTTGACAAATACACGAGCAATATAGACTAATTCTAGCACATGAATAGCAGTTCCCGAGAGCCAAACAGTCTACGTCAAATAAACTACTACCAGAACATTCAGCATGTCATTTATTTCGTAAAGCCAGCTACATTCGCCCCTGCACCAATACAAGTCTTGTCCCTTATACACCAGACCCCGTCTTCTAGTCACTCTGCTCCGCAAGTCTCTTCATCTCAGCAATCTCCTCCGGTGTAAACGGAGCATCTTCAAGTTCTCGCCCCCCTCGGCCCGGGCAGGCCGTAGCCCCCGTAAAAGGAAACCCAACCGCATAGTTCTGCCACAAATGGGGCCTCATCCCGTCCTTACCCTTCACGACGTTTCCAAGCTTGAACTCAAACTGCCCACTGCACGCGACATTGTTCACCCCATCGCAGACCTGCATCTCCTTGGTGGCAATGCCGCCGGGGAACCAATACTCTGGCGAAACGTGGGCAAAGCCCGGATCATTCCAAGGCACATTCGTCACGGGGTCGTCGGCATTGGTGATGCGAAAGTTCTTCCCGCGGCCCTGGTTGGTGACGAACTCGGCAAACGTGGCGTCGCCCACGCGGGGAGACCCAAACGTATACAAGTCCAATTCAAACGAAGCCTTGCGGAGATATGTCGCTGCCAAGGTGGCCACGGCCGCGCCGAGCGAGTACCCGGTAACGACGACTTCGAAGTTGGAGTAGTCCTTCTTTTGCTGCCGGACCGTCGTCAACATCTTGTCCTTGATGCCCATGAAGCCTTCGAAAAAGCCCGTGTGCACGAGGCAGTTGTGGCAGAGCGGGAGGAGATCATCGCGGTCGCCGGCCGGAGGTCTGCGGCACACGTGGTTAGCAGACTTGAATTGTGTGTGCTGGGAGTTGTCAAGTATTCGACTTACTGGCCCGCCAGTGAACAGGCCGCCCCGACGATATTGACGACGACGTTCCTGAAACCTTTATTTAAAGCGTTGCCAAACTTTTCCCGCTGTTCGTTGAGCCATGGGAAGAGTGTCCGGCCAGCCCGTGTTTTGCAAGTCTTCAGGTCGGCGACGACGTCCTTTGCGCTGCCTGTTCCGCGGAAGGAGACGACAATTTTCTCCGTTTTCTTGTTGACGGCGACGAAGCCCGAGACGCCTTCGGCGCTGGGGAATTCCATGACGACGACGGAATCCGCAAGGTCGCCGCAGCCGCCGGGGATTCCGCCGTCGCTGGGACAGACTTTGGTTCCGGAGTTGATGTCCCTGCCGTCTGTCAAGTTGTCGCAGTATCCAAAGGCCGCATAGCGAGCGTAGGTGGTGATGTTATGGAGGAAATCCTGTGAGGCGATTTCGGCAGAGGTTGCTGCTACGACGCCGAGCAGAACACTCAAGTGTTTGGTTGAGAGATGCATCATGTGTCAAAGTGCCAGCGAGGACAAGGGGAAGTTTCGTGCTTGAATGTTGTATTTGGTTTTCTTGTTATTCTGCAAAATTTACTGTTTCCTGCCTGCTACAACTATATATATATATATACACACATGTATATAGCCTGCGTGTGTATGTGTTGTAGTTGCTATCGTATATGCCACCACGTTACCCATGGCCGCGGTGTTACTTTGCCGGAGATGGTGCAACGCATACTGAGTCAGCGTCCACATTTCGGCAGATGAATGCCACAAGGCCCTGTCGTCCGGAAGCGCGGGTTTGCACGAGCCTGACTCGTTAATGTTACTCGGGCATGGTTCTTGGCCCCTTCCAATTAGCCCGTCTCCTGCTGGCTTATAGCCTGCTGCGCGTCAATTCAATACCATAGTGAACTGAATCCAAGGCGATACTACAATGTAAGCCTCTAGTATGCAAGTTGACATGAAGAATAACAACCAACCATGACTGGGGACAACCAGGCCCGATCAAAGGCTCGTCTAGCAAGATGCTTATCCGCAGACATGTCGACTACTCGACTACAAGACTCGGTGTTTTGGACACGAATAGTTCCCGAGGCCGTATCCGTATAGGAAAAAATAGGCGAGGTCTTGACGTCTCTCTCGCTCCATAGTCCGGGTTCCTGACAAAGTCTGCAAGCTGCCAAGAAGCTTCGCCACATCCCGTGTCCTATTGCCGTGGATAACTAGTCAATTCACGTTTTCGGTAGTAATAGCCCGCTTGTCACTTGCAGGCTTCATCTTGATTGGCTGAGTATGCCTGGATTAACGTGGCACTGCCCACAAAGTTATTTGATCCATACCAGGGAGCCCTTGTTTGCATCGAAACGTTTTTATTTATTATGGAGCACTTGAGACTACATAAAGACATTGAGACGTGCAAGATGCCACAGTCAAGGTTGCTTGGCAGGCACCTTAATAGCTTATTTCCAGTCTACCACTGGCGACGTTACGCCCGGAACGGCAAGCATCATCTAATGCCATGATCTGATGTGCATTATCTGCTTCATCGAGCATTGACAGAATGCGACCCGAACCCTGATCAGTCAATATTCCAGTCATGTACCTCGCCTTCGCCTTCCGGCTTCCCCCGGAGGCCCGGCGCATGTGTATCGATAACCTCTTTAAAATTCTGATCCCTGTCATTGCAACTGTTGGTCGGTGCGGCTGGTGTCCTCTACAGGACACGTAGCAACGACTCCATTCTGGACGTGGAAGCGAACACAACGTTGAATTACAATCCAACCCCCGTACGTGTAGCCATGAATGGCCTGACAAAGAAGTTGTTGAGGGTTATATACGAACCTCTGTGCTGGCAATAGCCATCTTGGTAGAAATCCAGCTCCTTCTTTACCCTCATGCGCTCGTTGTAATAATCAACCCTTATTAGCTTGAATTCCATCGTCATGTTCCCCTCGGCAAATCTTCAGAGCCTGAAGTGCCGTACAGTCCAAGCCCTGCATGTTTCGCCATGAGTGACCTAATAAAGATGTTTATGGAGGTTGTTTACGGGGGGCTTTTATGCTAATAAAGTCTCGCTTTATTTGTATTAATATCTGTCAGTTATAATGCAAGTTTTGTAGCGGGGGAGTGGTGATCAACTTTCAGGGTCTGGATGGAACACAGCGTGCATGTCTCGTCACATACACTATTTTCATTCCCCGAGTCAAATCAACCCTCTTCACAGGAGATATGCAAGTCATCCCAATGCCCCGTTGTAACAACTAGGACCAGCGAATTCGACGTTGGCCGCCATGACGGATTACTACTCACAAGTTACAACCATGCCTAGTCGCGCCCATACTGAAAACAATCTCATAATCAAGACGAAAAAAAACTATAGAGATCAGATCTCGATTTGAAGACATGTAGGAACCTCGATAATGCAAGGTCCACGTCCAAGAACAGGGATCCGTCGGTTGGGAGCTGTCAAGCGTGCATGAACGCCGCAGCCCACATCGCTGTACAGGGCACTGCGTATGACTCAATATCATGAATCGCTCCTAGGGCATCCTTTATTCTCGAGCTATGCCCTTTCATGCCGCTTGCTCGTCGATTCGAGTTGTAGTGTTGTTGTCGAGTGGCCGACTTCTCCGTCTTCGCCCGATTCCCACGAGACTCTGGTGTATTGGACCACGCCGCTGGAAAGAGTATTCCGCCAAAATATGACAAGTCATTACGTTTGAGTAGCTTTTCCAGAGTCACCCCTCTATGATGGCGTCGTGGTCTCATCGCCCGCGACGTCGTTGGACTTGCAAAAGCCGGGGTGTTATGACACGGGCTACGGGCTTGGAGCAACATGACTCGATTGATCGAATCACAGTCTTTGGTGGTAAAGGTCCTTGGTTTTCCTTGAGGCCTAATTGACCAAAAAAGGCTCTTTATACAACACGTCGGTAAGGATCTTTGCCCTAGGGCCCGTGATTGTAGCCCTCGCGTAACCCGTGTGACAGGCGTGGACTAACTCGGCGCTGATGGGCGCGAAGCAAAATACAGCAAGGTCCGTTTCTTGCGATTGTCAACGAGCCATATGCCAAGGGCGTTTTCGTAGACAAATGCGAGACAGTAGCTTCGGTTGCCACTGGATTGGGCATCACTGCGCAGTTGCGACATTTGAAGTATCTCATCATGGTTAAAACAGCCGCAAGGTTCGCACACGCCGCATCTACTCGGTGTAGGAGGTAAATGTCCCTACGTGAGCCGTGAGAAATTTGTTCCTGATTCTACGTGTTTAATCCCATGTGTCTAGCATTCCTAATTACATGAAAAGCCTGACTTGACAATGCTATCGAAGACGATACTTTCGACCATGGCTACGTAGGGGCGTTAGACATCCATCGGCTGGTGACTAGAATGGCTCCAATTTTATGAATATCTGTATATCGAGAGAGCCTGAGAATAGAGGACAAGTTCAAGGCCAGGGCTGACGTCTTAAAAGGCTGTCCAAATTGCTTGAGCATCATGTACGACGAGCTTTCACGCAAGTATATCGAGAGAGTCCGGGACAAGGCTGAAATATAGAGGACATGGTAGTGTTAGGGGGGCTGGCCCGAGCCTCCATTTCCATAGAGTTGGTAGTCGGGATTCAGACCTGCAGCCAGGTCAGGTACTTCTGTGCCAAATTTCGGAGAGATATATTATATAATGCCTGGCTTTGAAGAGCTCACGCCGCGACGCGAGCGCGCGGCGTCTCAGCAATGAGGCCTGAGTTCTAGTATATTTGATCTATATTAAAGGTGGGTATTGTATCGCTCATTTAGTCAAGTGAATTTACAAACAGGATGCGAGTAACGTCCAAGCGTAACATCTAATAACATAATATTGGGCTGTATCTGTGACAAGGGCTCGGAAAGAGGGCTTGGAGCAATAAGGGGCTCAATTCAATAATAATCTCGTAGGATGCCAAAGGTCCTGAGTTGCTACAAGAAAGGAAGAGAAGGGTAACCGTCTTATATACATGAAAGGAACGCCCGGGCCTAGGGTCCTTGCCCGGGAACGTGTTCTGGCCGTGTAACCAACAAGTCCTATATCGGCGTGAAGCCCCTTTGTTGGGCTTCACGACCTGTTGGGCCTTTTCCGTGTAACAGTATCAGGCCAAGAAGAGTAAGAGACCAGAAAAATATTTGATCTATATATCTTGATTCTTGGCCAATCTTGAGGTTGATGCTGCAGGCCCACTACAAGTTAAACGCGTTGTAGTAAAGTATACAAGAAAACACTTCGACTTGTTTGACACGTGGGGAAAGTATCTATGCTATAATCTGTACGCCATGCTATACAAACTTCATTGCCAGGCATGGAGATTCCTTGGCTGGGTTTCAATCCATCCGGCGTCTTGGATCACGTAGACCGACCCGTGTCGTCAATAAAATGTGCTTGGCTACATACCACGCTGGTATCTAGTGAATAGCGTCTCTCTTGAAGGAGGGGAGATGGACAAGCGGCTTAATGCAATGAGGTAGTCTAAATAAGTACTGTTGAGCGATTAAGACTCCAATATAGAACGTTATAAGGTTTATGCTGTGAAACGTAAATTGCTGTCATCTTTGAGACAGTAGTATATCCCAGCTCCTATTAGACCAACTATCTACGGAATATCTGATTTGCCCACAGCAATAGCAGTCATGTTCCATCAGTTGCCACGAACAAAACGCCCGAATGGCAAGATTCCGAGCCTCTTATCTCATATCCTATTGCCCTGCCAACTCTATATAGGGGGTAGGATTGACGGTTCAAAACTGTGTGACTCCAAAAGAAGTTGCTCTGGGCTTAGAATCCAAGTAGCATATATTAAGCGAGGTCCCTGTCTTTATATACTATACCTTTCAAGGCCCCGACATGACATTGCTAGCTGTCCACTTTAAAAATGCATACTTCAATGCCTACTACTACACTTATATTATGTATATCTGTTTGTGGCTTCCAACAGTGCCATGGTTGCCGAAAGCAGGCGTCCTTTCGTTGCATTTACATGGACCGCCCTGCCGATAAATATGGTGGTCTCATCTCTCCCCTCACGTTGAAAAAAGAAAGTGTGACTGTATCTTCCGTCATCTCTAGAACCTTGAGCAATAGTGATTATCTGCCAATTGTGCCCAGTCGGCGCACTAATAGATTGGGATGACAACAAATCCTCTTTCCGCCAGATGCGGCTTGCGGGACTTGCACCCACTCTCGGTAAGATTAGTTGGCAAAAACAGGAGAGCAGATATTAATAAGCTTGGAGATTCTTAATAAAGGGGGCTCCTCTATCTTGGACTTTTGACTCCCCTGTGGGACAAGATTGGTTCGTTCAAGTGCTCTAAGCGGCATGGACGAAACTACTTGGAATAGTGTATTTTATCCTATTGACTTTGGGCAGAAGATTTCTCCAAGTAGGGCTTCTTTTCTCGTCACATAAATGCTAGGGCTCTTCGTTGAGAGCAATAGTACCAAGATGGGCTTGCTTATTCAAAGCAAGCATACCTGCA